TGAGTATCATCACGATGTATCAACAATTTTCCACGAGCTCATGATGGTCATGAAGTATCTTCTGTTATATTTTCTCGTAATGGTAAATATATACTTTCATCTGGTAAAGACTCATTGGTAAAGTTATGGGGAATTATCAATGTCTCGTTGTCTTATTGCATATACTGAGCTGGTACAGCGGGTAAACAAATGCATAGAGCTCAAGCAGTCTTCAATCATACAGAAGATTTTGTTTTATTTCCTGATGAACGGACAACTAGTCTTTGTGTTTGGGACTCAAGGAATGCTGAAAGACAAAAACTTTTAAGTTTAGGACATAATAATACTGTTAGATATTTCATTCATTCACCTGTATCACCAGCATTTTTAACGTGCTCAGATGATTATAGAGCAAGATTTTGGTATAAGAAACCTGATTTATCAACAAATTAGAAATATAAATTGTATAAAAATTTCTTAAATTGCTAAATTGCTAAATTATTGTATAATCTTCATGTTATCAATCAAAATTAAAAAAAAACATAGATTCTACTTAAAAACTTTTGTGTGTAAAGTTTTATCTATTATATGAAAATTTAGTTTCTATTGACATATTATTCAGTGAATATCATTTATATCGTAATGTTGAATAAAGTTTAATAATGAAACTCATTTCCAATCACGTTTTAAAGAGATTCAATTCATGTGAGATAAAATATATTATAACATCATTTAAAGCTTTGCGGTTTCCAACTCGAACAAATAACTAGATGGCGCTGTCTGTCTCGCTTTCCAACTTTGAATTTCAATGATTAGTATTTTGGTCTCATACAATCTTGTTTAAATCAATTTCATTTTTTTATTGTTGTTTATTTATTTTTGTTTATCTGTCCTGTTGGTCGGAAAAGCAAATCAACTATTAATATGAGTTATAATCCATTTGTTTCTTCTGTTCATGGACATCCTAGTTTCAATCCTGTCAAAATTGGTTCTAGAGGAGGTGCGGGCTCAGACAATAGACTTGTTAAACCACCAAAACCACTCGATAAACCAGTGGTTTCATATGCTCGTTATGGTCGCAAAGGATTACAATCACCTCAAAAGCAAACTGATGGTAAAGTCAGTATTCAGGGTGTCGAAGAAGAAGAAGAGACTGGTGAAATATCATCAAAACATATTGCAAGTGCTAGATTCGCCAGGAATCATAAATTGATAAATGAAATATTTAACGATACTGTTGTACCTGATGTAAGATCTGTTGTGACAACTGCTAGAATGAAAGTATTGAAAAATCAAGTTCAATCTTTGACAACTCATCAAAAAAAATTGGAAGTTGAATTACAACAGATTGAAGAAAAATTTGATGTAAAAAAGAGAAAATTTCTTGAAGCAAGTGAAACATTTCAGGAGGAAATGAAGAAGAGATGTTCGATTAAACCAGTTGATCCTGCATCTTTCCAAGCAATGGTAGATAAAGCTTATCAACAATTAAAAAAGGAACAAGCCCAGAAAGAAGAATCTGCCCGTAAAAAGAAAGAAGCTGAAGAAAGACAAGCTCAACTTTTAGCACAAGAAAAAGCAGCAACTATTGATATTCAACCGGTTGATCCAAATCAAGGTCCTCAAGCACCTAGACTTTATCCACCAGCAACTACTACAATACATTTAACCTCAGAGATTCCAAATAACGGACAATCGCACCTTCCTGATACTGGAGATGTAAGAATGGATGACATGACAACTGTTAAAGAATATTCAACAGAAACTATCGCAACTCCAACAGGTAGTACAAGTATAGTAGAGTCTAGTCATAACAGACAAGGAGAAAATGAACGATATGATACTCGGGTTGTTATTTTGAGTCAAACAACTCCTCACTCTAGTACTACACGAATGCCTGTATCTTCTAATTCAGGTAATGCAGATGTAACAATGGATAATATTACAACTGTCAAAGAATACACAACAGACTCAGATAATTTGAATGAAGAATCAGATGGTAAGTTTAAGCAAATGAAACAGTTAATGAACCGCGATCTAATTTTTTTCTCACAATTTTATTGTAGCTACAACTGTTAAAAGATTACCCACGACAGAAATGGAAATAACTGAAACTTCACGAATAATTGAACCAACAACCTCGAAGGCTGACAGTGTTGAAGCGACCAGTATCACTTTTGGATCATCGGGTAATAGGACAGATGTAACAATAGAAACATTAACAAGTGAAGTGACGGATTCGAGCAACTTTTCTAAACCAGAAACAACAGCAACAATGACTGTATCTGAAGCCCAATATTCTACTACAACTGGATTCATGCAAATCGGGACAACAATTGAACAAAAACTCACCCCTAGTGAAAAAATGGATACTCATGAAATTAAAACTGAAGATCAGCCTACATTTGAATCGCCATCTATGATATCCACATCACTACAACCTTCAGTTTCAGATATTACAACAACGAGAACAGACATTGTTGATAATTCAACTGCGCGTTCAACTGTCGATGTAACGCCTGAACTCGCATCTACGAAAAAGAGCGTTGATGAATATAACACAGAAAAATCATCCACAACTATTACACAAATAGAGTCAATACCTGATTCTATAAGAAAAGATGAAATGACTATATCTGCAATGAAAGTGCCCATCAGTGCAGAAATGGATGATAAATTAATTAAAGAATCACCACCGCAAGAACCTTTAGTTAAGGATATGGAGAAAAAAGAAGAAACAACCACACAAATAACAATAATACCAACTTCTGAACCAATTGATAACTTGAAACCTGTAGTAGATCCTTCATTGACTACACTTATTACACCAGTAACTTCGGAAGTAATATCACAACCCAATGAAAACGATCAAAAATTTACAACTACAATCTCATCAAGTACGATATCACCAAGTGTAGATGGAATATCAACTGAAAAGATAACAATTTCAAATGAAACGTCAAATCAAGTACCAGAAACTAGTAGCTTGGAAGCTGAATATAAGGTAGAAACCGAGGAAAATTCAACTACAAAATTACCATCTACTTCAATGTCAATAACAACTGTACCTAGCATAAGTGGTGAAGCTGCAACAACTGAATATTCTGGCGATCAAACCACTGTTGAAACTACCAGCAAACCTACAGAACCATTATCTTCATATGATACACCAACGACAAAAGCAGAAGTTAAAGATGGAGTTAATGCAACAGTTGAATCCAACGAATGTTGAAGAAAAAACTTTTAATCTTTCGTCGTTTTAATACTATTAGATAACTCATTCATTCGCCTGTATCACTGACATTTCTAACGTGCTCATAGAGCAAGATTTTGATATAAGTAACCTGATCTACCAACAAATTTAAAATATATTGTATAAAATTTTCTAAATACAAAAAAATTTCTATGAATTTGATGAGTTATCATACGATTTTTATGTTATCAGTCGATAACTTCGATATAGCTGATCATATTTTTGCACTCTTCCCAATAAACCAATTTTATTAGAATAGACAATAACTTAAGTTTCTGATGCAAAAAGGCAAATTATCATATTTGAAGTGTGTTGATGACAAACAACGACTTTAATCCAATGATAACTATTATCAAATATTCTTGTCTCTTCACATATTAGCTGCTTTTGTTGGCCTTCAATTTACAGATTTTAAGACATGCACAACATAAAATCAACTTTGTTTTATTTCGACTGTTATTTAATCATCAACTTGTGAGAATTGGTTACTTTTTACTTTCCCGTAAAGTCGGTAAATGACTTTGGTTCAGAAACTTATTGCTGATAGATTACAATGAACCCCAATGACTATTGCTGCTCTATCTCTATGAAAGATATTAGTAATTGTCTCAACCGCAGGAAATTGATTAATTACAAATCTAAATGCCTAAATTATCCAATTTGATTAATCATAACCATTAGCAATGAAGTAAGAATAAAGAAATCATAACAAACTCAACTCTAACACTTACCTCAACAAAGTGCATTGACACATTTGCATGTTAGTGCTTAGTTTTTTAGCAAACATTTCCATTATGATTGATCGGCAAACCAAACTGTTTAATTTAGGTACTTAGATTTGTAATTAACCATTTCCTTAAATAGTTGATAATTGTTATCATTTGGTTGTATTGAAAGTCGTTATTTGAGTTCTCATCAATATACACGTCAAATGTGTGATAATTTGTCTTTTTGCATTAGAAACTTAAGTTATTGTCTTTTTTCAATGTAAAAAAAATGTTTATCGTCCAAAGAAAATTTAACCTTACTCATTTGCCCTCAATTGTTTTTTTTGCGCTAATCACTACTAATCCTTTACCATCATCATAATCAAATAGAGAGAATGAGTCGGAAAATGAGAATAAATTAGTTTTAACTTGCAATCTTTTTAATCTCTGATTGTTGGATTAGATCAGACCCAAAATTTAGCATGTAAAACCTCTTAGACAAGCGAAGAGTCTCTCAGTGTTTTGCTTAAGCTAATAGATCCAAACTACAATTCGTGATGTCTATTGTTCATTATTTTTTCATTATTGCATCAACAATCTCATCATCATCATCATCACCATCTTGTCTCTTCGTTTAATTGTCTCCAATTGTCCCAGCGTAAAGATCAACATTGATTTGCTTGCTTCTATCTTTCAACACACTCAATACAATTTGAATTGCTGTTGCTTATTTTTGTGAATCCTAAGACTGCTGATTGGAACCATGAGTAGAATCGAGGACAGCAATATAATTACAACTCTATACCAATCTTCAACTGTTGATGATTACCATTGTCATTCAAGTGACCGTTACAACAGTGCGGATACAGTGGCACGTAAGCGTCTCATTGTGGCCAGTATCATTTGTCTGATATTCATGGTGGTTGAAATTGTTGGCGGTCTAATGGCAAATTCACTTGCGATTGCTACCGATGCAGCTCACCTATTAACCGATTTTGCCTCTTTCATGATCAGCCTTTTCTCCATTTGGTATGCATCCAGACCGGCAACACAACGAATGAGTTTCGGCTACTATCGAGCTGAGGTTATTGGAGCTCTAATATCAGTTATGCTTATTTACATTGTCACCGGTGTACTAATCTACTGTGCCACTCAACGTCTTTGCACTCAACAATATGAAATTCAACCCACTTACATGTTGATCACGAGTGCTTTTGGTTTGATTGTCAATATCATGTGAGTTTTATTACGAATTGTAACTTTTTATTATCCTTTTGACTTCTCTTCTAACTTATCAAATTAATACTCATAATGTCCTTTCTTTTTGTATTTAGTATGGGAATCGCTTTACAAGCCGGTGGTATACCTCATGGTCATTCACATGGCCCCTCACATGGTCACTCACAGAATCATTCACATCAACACTCACATGATGCCTCCAATAAAAACAGAAACTACCTTTTAGATTACTCCAGTTACTCAAACTATCATTCAGTTGAAACTGGGGAAATTTTGGATAACCACCAACATGAGAAACCAAATATAAATGTCAGAGCGGCTTTTATCCACGTTTTAGGAGACTTTTTTCAAAGTCTTGGAGTTTTTGTGGCAGCTTTGATCATCTATTTTAAGCCTGAATGGGCTTTTATCGATCCAATTTGTACGTTTCTCTTTTCCGTCCTCGTTTTATTGACTACATACCACATAATTAAAGATGTTTTCAATGTCCTTATGGAAGGTAAACAAATCAACTTATTTATACTTCAATATTAATTTCCACCAAATCTGTTACATCAAAGTACTAAATCGCCATTTTTCAACATCTAATCATTGTATTTTAAAATAATTTCAGGAATTCCTAAAGGTATCGATTTTATCAAAGTATACAAAGCAATGGGCTCAATTCCAGGAGTTATTAAGGTGCATAATTTGAGAATCTGGTCACTTAATATGGATAAAGTTGCCCTTTCGGCTCACATAGTTACAGGTAAAGTTAATTAGCTGCATTCGCTCTATTTAGTTTTTAACACGTCATTATTTTTATTTTATTTTAGGAAAAGATGAAGATCGAACGCGAATTCTGAAGAAAGCTTCTGATCGTTTAAAATCGGAATTTGACATATTTGAATTGACACTACAATTGGAAGAGTACAAAACAGAAATGGATAATTGTGATCAGTGTCAAGTGCCCAATTGATGTACTCTACAGTGCACTTCAAAGGTTCAGGATCGCATACTTTGCACTTGATTATTTGAGTTAAATTATGGCAATGAAATTAAACTATGGCGATAATTCTCATATGCTGGTCGTAGTCCTCAAACCATTGAACGCCTACTTAATTCCATCAATCCCTTCATTAATTCTGAGTGATCAAACACAAAGCAAGCGATTCTTGAACTTTTTCTATGGACTGAATAATTTTTTCATGACTCTTAATGTATTGTCCTTTGCGCTTTTTCATCCGTTTTTTGTTATTCATTCCAGTTTCTTTTCAACCATTCTGGATGTCTCAAGATTATCCATGCAAAAGAAGGCAAATTTAATTTTGCAACTTTTCCAGTCAATTAATGCAAAGCATCAAATATGTTGTAAAGGGTTTAATTGTTTTCCAACCCTGACGATTCCATTAAGTTGAACTTGATTTTGTTAATTTCCATATATATAAATTTGTAAATGCTTAAAAAGCATGTGATGTAACATGAATTTTATTAACTGTAGTCTTAACTATTGATTGAAACCATCTAGATTTTTCAATAACTGACCCTAACTTTCGATTAATTTTATTTAATTTTAACTTACAATTTTTCTCTGATAATTTGCTGATTCCCTTATTCACATTATTTCAATTTCCTATTCACAGAATATAATACAAAATTTATAAGTTTCGTGTTGATAGTCTTTGATAGTTTTTCTACATGATTTTATCGGACAGAATGAGGACTGTTAATGATTTATTTAAGCAAATTAAACTTGCTAATTATTCTTAAACTATAATTTATAAATTATGCTGTAATTTAATCGATTACGTTAATCGGCTAAGTTTAACTCTTTTATTTGGTAATGATTGTGAGTAGCCGATGATCATAATTTACTTGAGATTTGAGCTCAGTAAAAGGAAATTGCAAAGTAGATGAAATTGAATCACAAGATAACTTCCACTTGAAAGATACGTTGGCTACACACTGGTTTGGTTATTATAACTATTATAGATATTGAAGCTAGTCGATTAACGGTCAAGTGACTGATTGACAGATTAAATACAAAACGGTGCCAGTTGGTCGAATTTCTAACCGCGACTGTTCAGCTGACCATTCATTCCTAACAAGTGAAAGATGCATTTAATGCTGTTAGTTTAATGATTGGTTTTATAATGAGTTGGCTGTAATAATGTAAACTGAATGTGAAAATTAATCGATAGAAAGTAAATTGTCGAATAAAATTAACTTTATTAGCAGTTTAGACGGATAATCTAATTATTTGATTTGGATTGATACATGAAGATTGTACAATAATTTAGCAATTTAAGAAATATTTTACAGTATAAGTTTATTTGTTTGATAGACCAGAATTTTAATACAGAGATATTGCTTTAAAATCATCCGTGAAAGTTATAAATTAATGCTGATACAGGTAAATATACGAAATATCGAAAACTATTTGGAGTGTCAACTTTCTGTTTTGTCATTAAATTTTCCTTGGATTCAAGCTATTTATTCGTGTTCCGGTCTTGTCGTTGGTGTATCATATGAAGATAATGGTTCTGTAGATTTGCTTGTAGTTTCAACAGTAGTTTGGTCGACAGAATATTCAGTTGTTGCAGCTTCACCACTTATCCTAGGTACAGTTGTTATTGTCATTGAAGTAGATGGTAATTTTGTAGTTGAATTTTCCTCGGTTTCTACCTTATATTCAGCTTCCAACCTACTAGTTTCTGATACTTGATTTGACGTTTCATTTGAAATTGTTATCTTTTCAGTTGATATTCCATCTACACTTGGTGATATCGTACTTGATGAGATTGTAGTTGTAAATTGTTGGTCCTTTTCATTGGGTTGTGATATTACTTCCGAAGTTACTGGTGTAATAAGTGTAGTCAATGAAGGATCTACTACAGGTTTCAAGTTATCAATTGGTTCAGAAGTTGGTATTATTGTTATTTGTGTGGTTGTTTCTTCTTTTTTCTCCATATCCTTAACTAAAGGTTCTTGCGGTGGTGATTCTTTAGTTAATTTATCATCCATTTCTGCACTGACGGGCACGCTCATTGCAGATATAGTTATTTCCTCTTTTCTTATAGAATCAGGTATTGACTCTATTTGTGTAATAGTTGTGGATGATTTTTCTGTGTTATATTCATCAACGTTCTTTTTCGTTATTGCAAATTCAGGTGTTACATCAATAGTTGCACGCTCAGTTGAATTATCAACAATGTCTGTTCTCGTTGTTGCAGTATTTGAAACAGAAGATTGTAATGGTATCGATATCATAGATGGCGATTCAAATGCAGGCTGATCTTCAGTTTTAATTTCATCTGTATCCATTTTTTCACTAGGGGAGAGTTTTGATTCACTTGTTCCGATTTGCATGAATCCAGTTGTAGCTGAATATTGGGCTTCAGATACAGTCATTGTTGCTGTTGTTTCTGGTTTAGTATAATCATTTGGCTTAGTCACTTCGCTAGTTATTTCTGTAAATTTACTCTGTGATTGTTCATTCAAATTATCTGAGTCTGCTGTGTATTCTTTGACAGTTGTAATATTATCCATTGTTACATCTGCATTGCCTGAATTAGAAGATACAGGCATTCGTGTAGTACTAGGATGAGGAGTTGTTTGACTTAAAATAACAACCCGAGTATCATATCGTTCATTTTCTCCTTGTCTGTTATGACTAGACTCTACTATACTTGTACTACCTGTTGGCGTTGCGATAGTTTCTGTTGAATATTCTTTAACAGTTGTCATGTCATCCATTCTTACATCTCCAGTATCAGGAAGGTGCGATTGTCCGTTGTTTGGAATCTCTGAGGTTAAATGTATTGTAGTAGTTGCTGGTGGATAAAGTCTAGGTGCTTGAGGACCTTGATTTGGATCAACCGGTTGAATATCAATAGTTGCTGCTTTTTCTTGTGCTAAAAGTTGAGCTTGTCTTTCTTCAGCTTCTTTCTTTTTACGGGCAGATTCTTCTTTCTGGGCTTGTTCCTTTTTTAATTGTTGATAAGCTTTATCTACCATTGCTTGGAAAGATGCAGGATCAACTGGTTTAATCGAACATCTCTTCTTCATCTCCTCCTGAAATGTTTCACTTGCTTCAAGAAATTTTCTCTTTTTTACATCAAATTTTTCTTCAATCTGTTGTAATTCAACTTCCAATTTTTTTTGATGAGTTGTCAAAGATTGAACTTGATTTTTCAATACTTTCATCCTAGCAGTTGTCACAACAGATCTTACATCAGGTACAACAGTATCGTTAAATATTTCATTTATCAATTTATGATTCCTGGCGAATCTAGCACTTGCAATATGTTTTGATGATATTTCACCAGTCTCTTCTTCTTCTTCGACACCCTGAATACTGACTTTACCATCAGTTTGCTTTTGAGGTGATTGTAATCCTTTGCGACCATAACGAGCATATGAAACCACTGGTTTATCGAGTGGTTTTGGTGGTTTAACAAGTCTATTGTCTGAGCCCGCACCTCCTCTAGAACCGATTTTGACAGGATTGAAACTAGGATGTCCATGAACAGAAGCAACAAATGGATTATAACTCATATTAATAGTTGATTTGCTCTTTCGATCAATAGGACAGATAAACAAAAAATAAATAAACAACAATAAAAAAATGAGATTGAATCAAAGATTACATGGGAACAAAATACTAATCATTGAAATTCAAAGTTGGAAAGCGAGACACACAACGCCATCTAGCTATTTGTTCGAGTTGGAAACCGCAAAGCTTTAAATTTTTTTGCTTTGTACAAACGCTCAAATCTTGTTATTGATAAAATTTTGGCGACCAAATTAGTCATAATATAAAAGAAAAACAATTCAAATAAAACTAAATAAGTTGTTTATAGTGGATAAAATGAGTAAGTGAATACAAATTTTGATTGTTATGCGACAGAAAATAACATTGAACATCTAATAAGACTAACAAATTAGATAAACGTGATATATAGCGATTGAATTTATTTAGTAACACTCGCTTTAATATTCATCACATTGCGATAGGGATGAATTGCTGGTTCAACTTCACTTCTGATAAATTCAATCACCTGTCGAGGTGCCCGACCAACGAATGAACGGGGATCAATGAGGTCCTTTAATTCTGCTTTGATTGGCTCGAAATATCTGTGATTCTCAATTCTATTTAATAGGTCATTGTTTTTACCATATTGTTTGACTTGGAGAGCTGCCTCATGAGAGAGTTGTCGAATCATTTCATGACATTCCTGTCGATTGGCACCTTTTTTTACCATAGCCAAGATGATATTTTCCGTTGCCATGAATGGAAGCTCCTGCAAAGAAAAAAACAAAGAAAATGTTTGAAAAATTTCAACTTATTCAAGTGAATCCATCATTTCTTACCTGATTAATGTTTCTCTCAATAACTGCTGGATAGACAATGAAACCTTCGGAAACATTTTGTAATGTTATAAGAACCTCGTCAGCAGTAATAAAAGCCTCTGGGATAATAATACGCCGAATCGCACTGTCATCGAGTGTTCTCTCCATCCATTGAACTGAATGAGTGTTTAAAGCGGAAGCCATGACACCCATCAGATGTCTAGCTAATGAGCAGCATCTTTCTGATCTCATTGGATTTCGTTTATAAGGCATTGCACTGGATCCAATCTGTGTTTCTTCAAAAGGTTCCTCAATTTCCTTCATGTGAGCCAGCAATCTCAAATCTGAACAAATCTTATGGATTGTTGAACCTAGACCAGCTAAGGCACCCAAGACTTCAACATCAACCTTGCGAGAATACGTTTGACCAGTAACAATTTGACTTTGGTCAAATCCAGAATACCTAGTGACTAGTTCATCAAGTTTTTTAACCTTCTCTTCGTCATTGTTAAACAGTTGAAGAAATGACGCTTGAGTACCAGTTGTTCCTTTACACCCTCTAAATCTCAAGTCATTTCGGACACGTTCGAAGTTTTTTAGATCCATTAGTAAATCATTGATCCAAAGACAAGCTCTTTTACCAACAGTCACTAGAAAATAGATTCAAATAGCAGTTTAAATGAAATTGCAATGAGATGAAAATATCAAAGCATACCTAATTGTGCTGGTTGAAAATGTGTATAACCAAGTGTAGGCATATCATGGTATTTCTTGGCAAATTTGGTGAATCTATCGATACAACGAGCCAACCTGGGTAACAATATATTAAATCCATCTTTTATTTGGATTAGATCTGTATTATCTCCAACAAAGCAACTTGTTGCTCCTAAGTGAATAATGGGCGCTGCCTTTACACATTTTGAAGCGAACTCGTGAACATGGGCCATTACATCGTGGCGGGTCCTTTTTTCATCTTCTTTGACAAATTCAAAATCAATTTTGTCCATGTTATCTTCCATCTCGGATATTTGTTCATCACTAATATTAATTCCAAGCCCTTGCTGAGCTTTAGCCAAATTTACCCAGAGAAGTCTCCACGTTGTAAATTTCTTAATATCACTGAAATTTTGCCTCATCTCAAGACTTCCATACCGCTGAGATAAAGGTGATTGGTACAATCCGTGTGTTGAGTCCATTTTAGATTTCTTCTTTTTGTTGGCCAGGTGAATTATCCAAAAGTTGAAATCGAACTATTAGAGAAAAAACAAAAATTTTAATTGGTGATTAACAAGAGTCAATTGAGTATTAGTTTTTGATACAACATTAAAGTAAAAATCGTTAAATAACCTTCTCGAGTAAGCTTCAATTGCTTTGAAGATGATTGAATATCACTGTTATGATAGTAGATAAGGTAGAGTTCTGAACAGAGAAGAGAGAAATTCTCTTTGGTAAAGAAGCCTAAGACATATGTTTTTATCTGACAGGGTATCTTGATTCACGTAAGATAGTGAATCAAAGATGATAACGGTTGATTAGATCGCAAAGAAACTACCACTTCGAGAGCCTCACCAGATGAAAAGTTGCTGGTTTTAATAGATTAGTCTATCTATGCTACAAAATAACAATAATTGCGATTGCATCTCATAACTCGAATAAGATTACCGACAATCATGATAGTTTCGAAATTAGAAACAAGAATTGCACTATAAAAATAACTTACCAAAGTTGATAATGCTCAGATTACAAAAATTTTAGCACTTATAGATGAAAATTTCACAGTAATCTAAGAATGATCGAATTGAGTTATAAATACTTCGGGAATCGTTTCGGAAGTAAGAAAATATCCAATGAAGACATTTAAAAATCATAATACACCAAAAAAGAGGATGGGTGATAACTAGCATGGAGGAAAAATGTGAGAATCCTGCTAGAACTTTCATCCTAGCAGTTGTCACAACAGATCTTACATCAGGTACAACAGTATCGTTAAATATTTCATTTATCAATTTATGATTCCTGGCGAATTTAGCACTTGCAATATATTTTGATGATATTTTGATGATATTTTGATGATATTTCACCAGTCTCTTCTTGGATGGATTATAACTCATATTAATAGTTGATTTGCTTTTTCGATAAACAGAACAGATAAACAAAAAAATAAATAAATAAACAACAATAAAAAATGAGATTGAATTAACCAAGAGTTTATGGTAACGAAATACTAATCATTGAAATTCAAAGTTAAAAATCGAGACACACAACGCCATCTAGTTATTTGTTTGAGTTGCAAACCGCAAAAGCTTTAAATCATTTTATTTTATATTTCATCTCACATGAATTGAATCTCTTTAAAACGTGATTGGAAATGAGTTTCATTATTAAACTTTATTCAACATTACGATATAAATGATATTCACTGAATAATATGTCAATAGAAACTAAATTTTCATATAATAGATAAAACTTTACACACAAAAGTTTTTAAGTAGAATCTATGTTTTTTTTAATTTTGATTGATAACATGAAGATTATACAATAATTTAGCAATTTAGGAAATTTTTATACAATTTATATTTCTAATTTGTTGATAAATCAGGTTTCTTATACCAAAATCTTGCTCTATAATCATCTGAGCACGTTAAAAATGCTGGTGATACAGGTGAATGAATGAAATATCTAACAGTATTATTATGTCCTAAACTTAAAAGTTTTTGTCTTTCAGCATTCCTTGAGTCCCAAACACAAAGACTAGTTGTCCGTTCATCAGGAAATAAAACAAAATCTTCTGTATGATTGAAGACTGCTTGAGCTCTATGCATTTGTTTACCCGCTGTACCAGCTCCAGTATATGCAATAAGACAACGAGACATTGATAATTCCCATAACTTTACCAATGAGTCTTTACCAGATGAAAGTATATATTTACCATTACGAGAAAATATAACAGAAGATACTTCATGACCATCATGAGCTCGTGGAAAATTGTTGATACATCGTGATGATACTCCATCCCAGACTTTTATTTCTCCATCTTTTGAACTTGTAACATAAATTCCACCATTATATGAATAATTACATGCAGTTATGGGACCAGAATGTTGATCACTAGGATTAGGTCCAACATAACCCTGACAGGTATTGATATCGTATAAACGAACAGTTGGATGTTGTGTTCCAACAAGTAAAAAGTTTCCCGATGGATGGAATGACATACAACGTAATACTGATGCTTCATTGATTGTTTTAAGAGCTCGTTTTACTGCTGGTTTAGCAAAATCGTAAATTTTGATAGTTAAATCTTGAGATCCAGAAATAAGTAATTGTTCCGTTGGATGAAAAAGTAGACATGTAACTTCCTCTAAATGATCATATAATGTTCTTATAACAGGATGATGAGCTTCTGGTGTTTGATTAGATTGTGGATCTTCTGATACAGTTCCAATACTTTTTGCAATCATCTTTTCAACATCTAATATTTTGATAGAAGCATCTTGAGATCCAGTAGCCACTAATGAACCATCAATATTAAATGCACCAGCTCGACAAGGACCTAAACATAGATGAATTTCAATGTAAATTTAATCTATAAATCTTACTAAATTGTATCTTACTAAAATGTATTATAAAAGCAAAAATTATTTATCATTGTAATATATTACCTTTATGAGCAGTTACATAAACAGTTTCATAAGTGCTTGGTTCAGGAGCTGAACAATGAGATTCTGTGTCAAAATCTAAATCAATTCCAGATATTGGTGGGGCTAATAATGATTCTTGTTCTTTATTTTCTCCTTCAGTTTTTAAACCTAATCCAACCAGATGAGCAAGTCGGTCTGATGGTGGTGATGCCAAATGATTCAGATTTAGTTGTATAGCTCCAGACAACTGATGAGCAATTGATTGGTATCCATCATAAAACAGTTGACTATTAAAAGGTGAGATTGGCAGTAAATTATACAAATTTATCATTAGTAAATCATTGTATTAATATTAATATAATGTATATTGTATAGATATTGTCATACATGTAGATCCATTGCCATACCGGCAACCCGGCTTTTCATTTTGGCTCGCTTTCTCATCATATGTTAACACTTTTACAAAAGCTTGGATTGAGTGAAAAAATATAAAAAACAGCGATTTTTACCTGATCATTAATTTATATAAAGTATCTCGTTCCTTGATTGTTGTCGATTGTTTAGATTGATGTTGAGACATTTTCAATATTTAAATATACTTTGAAAAACACAATTATCAATGAGCTATTTATTATTAATTTGAACAATTTCTATTTGTTTATATTGGTGATTTGCTTTCAACACACTGTTTTTTTTGCAGCTTAAAAGAGGAAAATAGTCTGTAAAGATGTTGACTCTGTATCCATGGATTTATCCTGAAGTGTCTTTACATACCAAATAGTAAAGAGTTCAATATAATTTTAAACTGATTAATTATAGTTTTCTTATTGAAATTTATTTAATAGATTTATTTGATTAGAAAGATCATCTTGTATTAAAGAGAACAAAAAAAAAGCATTAACACACAATAAAGGTTACTTGGAAAGCTTAAAAATCGCTTCTATTTAAACTCTCTGTTTATCTATGAATAGGAAAGTCATAAGGATAAGGCCTAAAGATATCCTTATATTTCATGCTATTAGCAATAATGGTAGAAACAACAAGTATGAACAATATTTAACGATAATATTGAATTAAAATATTGAACTGAAATGAGATAAGTAAAGTTTAAATATAGATATTTATATTGTAAATTTATAGCTTTATTATTTCAACAGATTGTTACAATTGAAGTGTTGTAACCTTTATTTTTAACCGTCACATAGAAAAGGGCAGAAAATATTTCCGTTGAGAAGTTTGAAAAACTTGTATTAGTACCAACAATTGGCTAGTTTAAGGTTAGGTAGTTAGTTTGTTTGGCATTGGGGTCATTGAGAAGAGGAGAGAAGGGAAGATATACATACACAAAGGCATAGAAATGGCTGCCATAGAAAAGGAAAGGAAAGATGATGATGTGAAGATTTAAGGGAAGAGAGAAGAACGATATTTCATATTCGCCTTTCTTTTACTCTCTCTCCTCTTTACCTTGCGGGCTAAGTTGGCGGGAAAACTATTTAGGTTATCCCTTAACAAAGGCGTTTACAGCGAGCTTGCTTTGTACAAACGCTCAAATCTTGGTATTGATAAAATTTTGGCGACCAAATTAGTCATAATATAAAAGAAAAACAATTTAAATAAAACTAAATAAGTTGTTTATTTGTTTTCTTCTAAATTGTGATTGATCCAAAAATTCTCCCTAATTGAATAAAATGGATTAACAGTCATGGGAGAGAAAGAGTGAGTGAAATTTGTGTAATGATTGAAAAATGACAGAAGTGAACTAATGAATATTTCAGTCTTTGTTTCATATGAATTTTCACAGGGAAAAAAATGAAGTTTTGGGCGGTTTCAGTATTTGTATGTATCAAGTGAAGTGTGTATTTTGTGATAGTTGATAAAATGAGTAAGTGAATACAAATTTTGAATGGTATAGGGACAGAAAAAGCGCGACAATTTATAACGGTAAGGATGAAGAGAAAAGGAGATGAAAAAAAAATAGAAGTCATAATAGAACGAGGATGGGATAAGTGGATAGCGGGCGGGTTCAGGTTGAGATTTTACTCAAATGAATTAATGTTTTTAATCCTAATAGTTGGATTGTTAAAGTCGACTGGATTTTCATCTGCTAATTTATTTTTTTTATGAATTTGACTTGGGTTCAATTGATTATTTCATTTTTATCAACTTCCAAAGTCTTTGATGGATAAGAGAAGCGGTGGTGAATTTAGTGATGAAATTAGATGAAAGGTTGATTGGTACATTTTTTTCAACTTTTTTTTGTTTTCTCTCTCGCAATCAACAATTATGATGTTGATCATCGTGTTAAATCATAATGATTCTAGAACTGCAAAATACAGATTACAATTTAAATGTTTAAAAATGAATGTTTATTCATCGTCATCGTCTTCTTCTTCCTCTTCTTCCTCTTCCTCATCTTCATCGTCAGAATCGGCCTTCTTAGAGCTTTTAGCTGTAGCTTTAGGTTTTTTGTTCTTGTAAGCATTAGACTCCTGAAAATACAAAATTAAATAAAATCATTAAATAGAGAAAAAAAATATGATAAAATTAGTTAAAAGACATTAGAACTAGAAAAAATCACAAGAGTCAAATTATAGATCATGATTACTAATGAGTAGTATGACTCATAAGATCAAAACACAAAAATACTGACCTTTTCATATCTAGCTTTGTCTTTAGCAGCAAGAGCTTCGTATTTCGACTTGTCCTTCTCACTGATATCACCCCATCGTCGACCAAGTTCTTTGGCAACTTCACCTACGCTAGCCTCTGGCATAGTCTCCTTTACCTTTGACCTCTCATCATTACAGAACCAGAAAAATGCAGAAAGTGACCTTTTAGGTGCATTAGGATCCTTTGCCCGTTTCCTCTTTTTACCGCCTTTCTCATTTTTAGAAGGCTTGTAGTCAGCCATTTCTGTATCATAACGTTTCTTGTCTTTCTCAGCCATTGTATGGAAACGTTGCTTCTCTTTCTCATTCATAGTCTAAAATAGGTTAAATAGATAAAGAAAGATAGAGAAATTATCAACTACATCCTAAAAAAGGTTTTCTAATAAATAGAAAATTAAAATTTTCTTAAATAAATGCTAAAAAAAGATAACGAAACCAGAAAAGTTGAAAAAAATGAATACATTTTGTATGGGAAAAAAGAGTAGAGAAGTGCAAAGATACATAAAGGTACAATAGAAAAAAGAAAATGTCTCTTACCTTCCATCTTTCAGCACATTTCTTTGAGAACTCAGCAAATACCACATTCTCTGAAGGATGTTTCTTTTTGTGTTCTTCACGACATGTTTGAACAAAATAAGCATAAGCAGACATACGTCCTTTTGGCTTGGAATCACCACCTTTACCCATTTTGATAACTTTTTAGATAAATTCAATTAAGTTTCACTTTACAACACAATATTAAAGGAGAAGTATAGCAAGTATAGCAGATAGCAAAGATGGAGAAGAACCCAATACCAATTAATGTATATCTCAATGTATAGTCTTTTGCTATACCAGTCAAGAAGAACCAGTTTTTACTAAAGACTAAGTTTCCATAGTAACTTTCATTTACCCGGTTTTTTTCAAGTTGCTTTCAACTCATAGGTCGGTTAGCTTGTCGCCATCTATTCTTTTGTATTATAACTAAATTTTATCTTTCATTTTCCCTCAAATCTATATAATTACACAATTTAGTTTCTGATTGAATTAATAACAATTCTTGAATTAAAATTTTGTGTACAAATGTTGTATATCTCGAAGAAATACTGCTTATTAGCATTACTTGAGATCAGGATTGTTCATGATCCAGTGTTTTTCAATTTTTAAAACCGTTGACTGGTTAAGTGCTTTAATGAAGGTAAGAGCCGTTGGAAAAAGAATGATTAATCCAAAATCAAATCTTCAACTTATTTCAGTATCATCTTATATCTGTGATTATCCGATTAAAGATAAGTTCATAATAAATGAAACCATTTCTTCATTGATTTTGGTTATCTTGCCTCAAAGTTTACTTTAAACTTACTTCACTTACAACTGTTAGCTGTTGAAACCAAACTTCTAGCCTGTAACCGAAAGCATAGATGCTCTCACAGAAATCCTAATCTTTTATTATTATTAATCTTATTGATTTCTTGCTGCTTTTGCTTCCATTTTATTTCGTGATTCTTCACCCAAAATAATTGCAATCAAGGTAATATTTTATGATTACTGTGATTGGGTTCCTTGAACCAGTTGAGTTAATCAAAATTGACACAATAAACCATCACAAATCGTTTGGATAAAACATCCCATGGATTTAAAATGAGTCGAGGAAGCGTATTTTTGTTAAAGCTGATTATTTAATTACAAAAAAGTGGAAAAATATTAGGTTGATGTTTACAATTATGATCAAGCAAATTAAGATCAGAGAATGATGTTGAAAGATGAAGATTGTTAAATAAAATGATGAGAGAAGAGATTCCAACACCTAAAAAATTGTTCAATATGGATGATGATGAGACCGGCACCAAAAATGACTTGATGAAGAAAGGACAGAATTACAATTTGTAATTGTGATTGGAATGATATATTTTTACATAATTGGTTAAACAAGGGACAATTAAATAGGCCAATTAGGGAAACAAACAAATTTTCAACATACGAACATTAAAATACAAATAATCAATGATCTCAAAGGGAAAGATTTTCATTTATAATAATTATAAACTGTTTCTTTCCCTTCAAGTCCAATGCTTTCCTCCTGATTAGTTAATCTCTTTTTCAAACCATGAGCATTTAGATTCAAAGTCAAGTCCAAACAGCGCGAATTGAATGATGTTTTTGAAAAAAATTCAACTTTATCATTATAACCATCGCTTTTTGGTAATCTAGTTTGAACTGAGTATCACAAAAACCTTTCAAATGTTGAGCATAGCTAAAGTTGTCCAAGCTTCAACAAGTTGAAGTGAAAGTAGACTGTAACTGTCTTGATGGTCAATAGAGAAAAACTAATTAGGAGAAGATTAAAAATGAAAAGTTATTAATTAATTGAGTGAATGGTTGATATTTTTGGCAATAAAAACATAAGAAAAATGAGTGTCAAATAAATAAGAATTATAAAATCAAGAAATGAAATCAAAATGATAACTAATATCTAGTCGAATGAGGTTTGTATGGAGAGTGTAACATTGAGTTACTTCCCATTGAACTTGAACAACTCCTTTTACTTGATTTGTATGGACTACTTGGATAATTAACACATCGAGTTTCTTTTTTTAACTGTCGCAATTTAAGGCAACTGCAAACCGAGATGAAAATGGTCGTAATAAACAAAATTGCCAATGTAACCAGAAAAACGGCAATCCTTTGCATCCTGAAACAAACGCCATCTTCCATATCAACCAAAGATCCAACTAGGAAATAAAATGAAAAATTGAATGTAAGTAATCAAATATTCTGGATAAAATGTTAAATTTGTAGCAAATCAATAACAAATTGATTGATAACTTACGATTCCGTGCCTCTCTTGAAACAGCATCTTGAGGTTCATCATCATGACGTACCTCCAAAGCTTGAAATAAACTAATACTTTCAGAGATTAATGGATTATCACTTGGAGATGATTTTTTCATTGAAACAGAGGTTAAATCACGTTTAGATAAGTTTCTCCAATAACAACGTTGAGGCTAATAAAAGACAGAAAAAAAATAAAGTTAATCAACTGATTCAAACTCTCGGACCATTCATAACTTACAGGACACTTATTGTGACACATGTGAATATCGCATTCCAAATATAAAGCCGGACTTCCAGTGAAACGAAAGGCTTTAAGGTAAGCATACAAAGTCACTTGGTGTCCATCATCAGTATTGTAAGTTCCTCGGAATGGACTGATCAACTTTTCATTGGTAACACATCTAAATGAAAACAATAAAGAGATGACAAGATATTAATAAGTGTAAATGAATCAGAAAATAAAGTGATAATATTCAAAATAAACATTTAATAACAAAAAATTAAGGCAACAGGGAAATGAAATTGAATTCACTCTTAAAGCAAGTAAACAGGATTGTAATGGTTATGATGAAACTGGATGAATCATTGGTAGACACAATTGTTGGTGTAAAAAAGGGAAAATATGAGTTGATTGTTGTATGTAAATAAATGTATTTATCTAATCATGTTGTTGATGTTTTACCTTCATCATTAATTTTATCGCACATTTAAACAGTGTTTACTTCCGGCTATAAGGAAAGCTATTTTTTGTAAAATGATAATCATAATAAATATAAATATATCGCTTCATTTGCCCTCGAAATGGACAAAAGTTGACCTTAACCTTTTCTCATAACCACATTTAGCACCTTCTTTTTTTCACCACTTGATTCAGTAAATTGCCTTTTTAACAGTTGAATTGACCGTTAAGGTAAACAAAATGATCAAAAATGATGACTGATTTTAACTATAAATGAATGAATGATACATAAAAATATGATGAATGCAAACCTTTCCGTATTTTTGTTTACTTTCATAACAGCTTATATACATTTATTATAATAATATAACCTGGGAAACCTTTTTTTTACACTAAATCATCATCACAATCGCCATCATCACCATCATCTTTATCATTAACAACACAATTACTGTGTTGGTAAAAAAAACGCAAATTACCCTTTTTAACTTTCTACTGATGTAAAATGTTTTTCAGTTTACTCAAAGAAGCTACTGAAATACAATGTATTATTCAGACTATTCAGGAAGGTGTGCGGAAAGGATGGTGATCATGATGAGAAGAGGCAACAAGAGAAAGTGTATTTCCTTAATAATCATCGTCATCATCATAAAATTTATGGTGAAAGGGTGACAAGTTGAGGTTTCTTGATGAAGCCGGTGATGATAGTGAATATTATTTCAATCACTTTTAAAGCAAATTATCTTTAAATGTATTAAAATATGTTGAATCAAATGTAAAATGCTTCTCCACAATCAGTTGATTAAATAATAGGAAAATTTTGTTGAATTGCACTTTCTAGTCAATTTGGGTTGATTTTGAATGTTCAAGTTGAACATTAAAACCTAAAAATTTTGGGTCAATGTCAAGTCTAATTGTTGAATCCTGTAATAGCAAACATTAAACCATGTTAATCAACTTGGACTATTAATTTCTAGACCATTTAAATGTAAATTTGATGGAGAAAAGCAAATCAATGGAACAAGAAATTGTCATTATTATTAAATGTATCACCACTGAAAATGAGCAATTATCTCTATTATCGTTATTATTTAATAATGTGGAATTGAATTTAAAGTTTTCAATCATAATGCAATTACAGTTTTAAATACAAATAATAAAAATGCAGTTCCAATGAAGTTGATGTTATTTCAATGTAAACTTGACTCAAATGTAAAATGAAAAAAAAGTCTTGGGAAAAAAACGATATTTCAATGAATTTGTTTCAATTTTAATGATACTTTATCGTGTAATCATCTTTCACCTTCTTCATCCTCATCTTCATCCTCCTTTTATATCACATTTGTATTATTAAATTGTTGGCAACAAAAGATGATAATTATCGATATCAAGGTTAGACAAAATGTAAAATCAAGTTGAAAAGCAATTCAAAGTGTGAGTTTTTTTTCCTACCTATGTGAGGAAAGTACAAAACTAATCATTATTGTGATCAACTGGAATGTTTAAATTAATTGTTTCGAATCAAAATTGTGACAAAAGGTGAAATTGAATAGCAAGTTAAGATAAACAAAAGGTGAAAATAAGAAGCTACTTTGTAAGGTAAAAACAATTCAAGTTGACTGTCAATTGTCTAATCACATTGAATGAAAAGCAATTGAAATTCAATCATCTAGTGAATTTCAATATATGATAAGATGAATTGATGTTTATATACAAAGGTGAAGATGAAAAGGTAAAGAAAGAGGAGGAGATTAAGATGATTGGCTTTAAGCCCATTTAATGTCACTAGCATTTTTGATTGCAATGTTTGTTGGTAAAAATCAAGGTATAAATCGCACGCATCGAAAGCGACCACACAAGTTACTTGATAACATAGCTTATTCACCTTTACCTGCTTTTCATCCTCAGCTCATCTTTTTCCCTTCAATGCAACTGGGAGATTGAGAAGCAGGTAAAAAAGACATGAAGGTAACAGTAATATACATGTTTTTACCAACATCATAACCATCATAATCAACATGAGCATAATCATCATTCCCTTAGTTGGGTGTCGGGTGCTTACAACCAACTGGGAAATACTTTTTCAATGGTTGTCAGGTTTTTTTCAATCTTTTTTTTGTATTCAACACTTGAAATGAAAAAAGAAACACATTGGGCGTTTATCAATTCATTATTATATTATATTTTTCACTCCATGATAATGATGGTCATGTTGATAATGAAAGGTATTTCAAGGTTGACTTTGGCCTTTTCATTTTTATGTTAGTAGTGTCTATTATCAATGATATAATATCAGCTTTCGTTTCTCCTTACCCATTGGTATCTATTAGTTGAAGCCTCTGATTAGCACCATTGTGAGCGATACAGTTTTTAACCAGAATATCAAATCCAGCTGGAATCGGTGATGAGCATGAGGAGAAAGAGAGAGAGAAAGTTATGAGTATAATTGTGTATAATTATTATGTAAATAGTAATATCATTTTACAATGAGAGGAGTGAAAATGAAAAGGGCAGGTTGAGTGAATAATTAGATGTGAAACTGATAACCAGGTATCAATCATGTAAAAATCAATTGTATTAAAAAATGGAAAGTGAATGTAAGATGAAAAGAAGATGAAAAAATAGCAAAATTCCGACCTTGGAGATGCTTTTTGTATCTTTACAATGAAAAAATGTTGGTAATTCACTGTCTATGGCTATCTAGTTTTTTTCAACAAAATTTGAGGCCCATTTTTCATCCATTATTGACGTTATTATGCAAAAATTGTAATCATTTCAAATATTGTTTGGTGTGAAAAATCACGCAAAGTAAGCTTTGTAATCTTGCATCTTCAACCGTTTAAAATGGACAAAATATGATCAAAGTTGGATTAAAATATTGGGAATTTATTGTTGAAATCTTTGTAACCAGATGAGCTTGGACATGGCTTTAGTTGACCTTTGCTGACTGACTGTTATTTGTTTTTCACTCAACTAATTATCAATAGTAAAAGTGGGCAAAATTGAAGACAAAATGATTGAGTTTTTCATTGTTTCCTGATCAACTAAAGAGCAAATTCAATAACAATTGATTGGATTGAGGATGAAATGAAAAAACATAAAAGATGAAGATAGCTATTAATGTATCATTATTCGAGTGGATAAAGATGATGATGATTCTGAGATAACCAGTTAAACATTAAATATATACTCTAGTTAATCAAACGCATCACTTCATTTGAAGTAATTCATTTCAAGAAAGTATCACTTTCATAACAAGATTTCATGATTAATGGTTTTTCAAGATGAAGCTAAAGAGACGAGTTTACATGATTAATAATTTGAATAGTTGATCATATTTACAATCATTAGTCAATTGTTTCTATCAATATTTTGAAGATTCTCATCATTCTTTATCATCTTCATCTTTCCTCATCCTTCTCTCCCTTGAAATAGATCAACTAGAAAAATTGGCTTAAACGCTCACTTGAAGCATCATTGATCTGAGAAAGTGACTCGGGTCATTTGCCGTTATGTGATTGGTCAATTACTGCCAATTTACTGCATTTTTCCTCTGCTTAATCAACTATTTCTTGTTGGTAAAAAAAATCAGATATTTTTTTCCTTTCATCCTTTCTTAATCTTCATTATTCATCCACTTCCTACATTTACCATTAAAAGATAAACTCTGAATTTTCACCTTATTCTTACACTTTTTCAATGGTTGTATTCATGATTTATGATGAATACAATTCGGTTCGTCTTTTAACATTTTTAGGTTTCCAGTGTTAAAAGTGTTGTAAGGTTCATTCACAGAAAGTTGAAATATTCAAGTCATAAATAACTGCCTAATAAATGTTATTCAAAGGTATAATCAAACCGATTGGACAAAACTACAATTTGTGAAGATTTTACACTTGAAATGTTGAAATTATTAAATTGACTTTTTCAAATAAGGTTGGATTGGGTCAGAGTTATTGATTTAAATTAATTACCTTTTTCACTTTTCATGTGAATCAGCAAAGTCAATGGATCACCAACAGTAACTGGTCCTGAAGTGCGAGGTCCTGCAATACTGAATCCTCTCCTGATCTCCATTTGACACTGGGGTGGGTTGATCGTGAAAACAACCGGACTTCCTGTGTTGACCCTGTCAGAGGCCGAAAATTCGAATGATCTGTCTCCATAAAATTGACACTTCATTTAATCAACAATTGCAAATTGCAAATCAAACTTTGCACATTTCGTTTTACACTTTGCATTATCATAAAACCAGAAAGGCGCAGCTTGCACTTCAACTAGGTTCAACAGTTCAAGATGAGCATCATTTCAGATCCAAAAACTTACCCAAAAACATATTTCTTTTTACAATAAAAGATCAAAACAAGAACAAAAAAACTGCAATAAAACCTCTGAAATCAAAGAAAAAATTACAACTAAAAGATGCGGAAATCTGGACTTATTTATAACTCAACCAAATGAATAAAATTGTGCTAAGATTGGTGCTCTTACACCCAAAATTAATGAGATGAAAGACGTAATAAAAATACCAAAAATGTTGCCTATTGAACTGTTGAACCCAATTCAAAATTGAATATTTTTCACAAGCAATAAGCAAATTTTTCGAGATGAAAATTTGATCGCAAGGCAAAGAGCGGTTGACGGGTCAATATTAAGGAGACAGTGATTAACCATGCAAAGGGTGAAATACCAACTATTGACCTTTACATTATCCTCCATTTAACACAATTGAACACGGAAATTTGATAAACAGTGAAACAACATATTCATTAATGGAACCACCAATGAGATTCAAGGGTTAATCAGTAATCAAGTGGATTGACTTTTTCAATTCAAACTGTTAATCAAATTGGGAATTCTGATTAAAAATCTAATTGTTTTTTTTTCATTGATTATTGACTGTAATTTCAATTGTAAAAGTCATTGTCCTTTAGGTTTTTATGTTTACCTGTTTTTAAGCCTTGTTTTTTTACCACTTTATACTTGCCATTGAGGTTTGAGTTAAAAGGTAAAATCACTTTTCCTGATTCCTGAAATTGACCAACAATCATGATTAACATGATAATGATTGTTTGTAACACGCATCGTTTTAAAACAATCAACTTAAAATCTAGCAAAATGGGCTACAATTTGAATCAATTGGACTTGTATTGCAGTGAATTGGAAGCTCAATTTTTAAAGATGAATTTTGGTTAAACTGTCAAACTTTCATTCAGCTAACCAAGTGGAAAAATTATTATTAAAAAGCTGAATTAAGGCAACAATTAGATGAAATTCAATGTCAATCATTAATTGTTTATTCCTTCTCATTTTCTGACCAATGTTAACAACCTCGTAAAAATTGATATCATTTCAACTAACCTTACAATTTTGTTTAATTTTTTTCCTAAGCAAGCAACTTGTGCTATTATCCTTTAACTTTAAACAGTTTATTATAATTGTTATTTATCATCTTGTTGGTTTTTATTACAGTCATTAACTATTATAATTACGGAATAAAAAACAACAGATCAAAAAATCAAGTCTACCTTTGAAATTGATGTTTTTTTTCATGTTGTTTTTACTTTCACTTGGCTAAACGTACTTTGAATTTAAATTGCTAACAATTTAACGTGTTGGCCAATTTGAATCAATTAATGAACAGTTGGACGAGTGTTAACATTAAAAAAATCATTTGCCACACAAAACGAAATCAAATTAACCTTTTGGACAATGTAATGAGGAAGATTGAAAGGTGCAAATTGTCAAAATCAATGAAGATGCCAATGAAGATTGTCAGAATCAAACCCAACTGCTATTCAATTTTGTGAATTGCTGCATTTCAGACAAAAAGTTAACTATTTAACAAATTTTGGAGTAATTGTGATTATGAAAGATGAAGAAGGAAGCGATTCAGGTGTATGAAAGGTTGCAAAGTCATGAATTAATGTCGTTCAATGGCCTCAGCTTATGATTCCAATAAGACCAATTTTTGGCATTGAACATAATTGTATTCGTGATACTTTTTACTCTTGAGATTTTTAAAATTGAACGGCAAGAGAGGGTAAAAAAAGGAGACAAAAGATGATAAATTGTAGCTAAACTTTTCAAGAAAATAATATGACCAAACAAACAACTGGACTTTAAATGGCGTTTCTTGTAAAAAGTATTTCCTTCCTTCACATTCAACAAAACATTGGTGTAAATAGCTATTGATTTTATTCTTTACTTGGAGCTTGTTAATCTGTTCCAGAGTAATTCCTAATCAGGAAATAATTAGCCAAAATATAAAGCAAGTTTCATATCAATAGCATTGGTTATAAGCAGCTCAGGTAAATTTGGACTCGATTCAAATCAATCTTGTAAAATAGATGAAACAGAAGAACAGAAATTAAGAAGAGAGAAAGAAAGAAACAAAAGTTTAATTATAACACGGAAATAATGTTCATCATTTTGATCTTCATGGCAAACTGAGTTGGTGATAATGAGAATGTTTTTTGGCATCGACATTGATTTTGATTGAAGGACAAACACTTTCTCTCTAACAGTTTTACAGCATTTTAAAACCTTTAAGTTTAAAATCAATTCTTCATCTTCCTTGAATTGATTGATGAACCCACGGACTTATTGAGATGAGAGGCGCGAAAAAAAAGGTTAAACTAAATGGTTCATCTTTGCTATAATTGTTATCCACCGTGTTGTTGTTTCACTTTTTGTTGATTGTTTGTTTTAAAGTTTCCCTTAATCCGGTCAACTATGTTAAAGGAAGAAGATGCTGAATGATAGAAAAACGAAGGAAAGGTAACATCTTGCATTGGTTTTTAAGACAATCATCAACTTTTTGTCCCTCTGACTTTGCAATCAAAATTCCAGGCTCAAGAGTAATCTTAACTTCAAAATTTCAACTAATCAACTGCAGTTGATGATTGTCACCAATGTAGAAACAAATTTGTGAAACAAAGAAGCAAAGTAAATCAGGTAAATCACAAAGTTTAAAATTCTTACTCGACTCCAATTGAAGGAAAGGTAACAGTTTTCCAAAAATCACTTCCATATTCACAAGTAACCCGATAATGTTCATCAAATTCCTCTTCAATCAACGGATTATATTGAATGGATAAAGTGTTCCACATAACTTGATCACGTCTCTGTAAAAAATAAAAAGATACATTAGTTAAACCAAATTAAACCAATCAACTGACTAAACAAAATGGCGAAACCAATGTTCAACTCTGACTAAATTGGGTTAAGACAATGGCGCCAACCCTTGAGTAATCAATATTCAATATCAGATATCTTTTATATCTGATACAAATTGGGTTAAATTGATTCCCTTAGTAACTAAAATATGATTGGACGATAATTTTTGGCATAATTTTTAAAATTTGTAACAAGACAATCAATCAATTGACTTTGAACAATTTAAGAAATGAATTTATTTCATGTTACAATATTTAACTTGATTATAATCAATATCCCAAGCCCAAGACAATTTTAATGATTGTTTAAAATGAATAAACAAAAGGAAAACAAATCAATTGTTAAAATTGATGTTGATATTAAACAAGAAACCCAAATGTCGTTCAAATTGATTCTTAGTAGGCTACAGTGTTACTGGTATTTCTCTGGTTTCTTTGTTATTATTATCTAACAATATAATAATGGTTAATAATCAATTGATTGATAGATTGCACAGGTTATTCAATGTGAATCAAAAAATATTTTCAAAATGTTAACAATCCATATAATAATATTCATAAAAAACTATCAATCACCTTTAATTTTTTGTATCTTCAATTGGTTTACATTTTTCTTGCCTTCTCTCCTTACCATCTTACCATTATATTATCAACTGTAATTGTAAAGCATTTTAATAACAATTACAATATAATACAATGATGATGATAATAGGTATTTTATTGAACATTTGTTACCAGGTAAAAGTAAAGTGAATGTTAACATAAAAAATGTCTGTAATTGAAACTGACTAGAAGATAATTATTGTTATTATTTAACTTTCACTTTTCAATATCACTTTCTATCCCTTTAAGCCCTGATTTTGTTTTGTCCTGGATTGATGAAGGTGAAAATTTGTATTCATAATTTCATGGTTTCAACCAGCATGAAGTACAATCTATTATGGAATTAATCAAAACTCTGATAATAACAAGTGATTGATTAGTTGGTAATGATGGTCACCATTTGGGTATCAATCAGATATCTATTGGTAAAGATCAGCGACTTTTCATGTTTCCCATCATTTTTGCAATGGTTAAGGTTACCAGCAAAGTTAACAATCAAATATCAAGAGTAATTAAAAAGTTAATCGTAATCTTTTATGCTTAAATTTCACTTTTAATCGTGATTAATTTGCTAAATTTCATCTATTAAATGTTTCATGCAACAGACTGTGGACTTAACCTTTGAGATTTACTTTGCGTTTTCACGTTTGATTGATGCTGATTGATTAGCCTAACGTGACAATTAGATTACAATTTTAACCAAAATTTAGTTACAATGAAAATCGCAAGTGAATATTATTTAATGGTAATTAAAAAGTGAAAGTGTTTTACAGACAGTACAAGTAATTAACAATTAACTGGTCACTAAACTGATTTGCAAAGCTATGAGAGTTGATTTGCCTGAAAAGAGTTTCAAAGTTAACCATTTCACTGTGACTTTACTTGTTAATTTTATTCATTCACTCATCACTGCAATTGTGATTAAATTTTATCACTCGTCTTTTGTTTCTCACGTTTACAGGTCGATCAACTATTGACCATTGAAAGTGTATTGCAAGGGTCGCAAAAAAAACACTCAAGACAATCAACTGTAATGTTCATTACATGCAAATAAGGAGACGTAAAAAAAAGAGATCTCAATATTTCCAGCAAACTGTACATTGGCCTTACCTACAGTTGAACAACCATATTATTGCATCCTAAATTGAGTACGACTTTCACTGAATAATAATATAATAACAATAAAAAGTAATGATATAACGTAATTTTTTTGTTTTCAAATGCACCAAAAAAACACAGTTAACTTCATTTTGGCCTTTGAGGAGAGAAAAAAAAATCATCACTAAGCTGAATAGTGATGAATTTTCACCTGAGAATCATTTTGAATATTATTGATATTAACTCTGGTCATTGCTATGAACTTTGAATACTAAAGAGTGAAAATCAATTGATTGTTGACCTCACGTAGACCGAGATTTAAAGATGAGTAGATGAAAGTCTTGTAAATGGGAAACAGACAAATTAGACTGATTATAGCTTTTAGAATCAGTAAATTTAGTAAAAGTAATTAGCTTACTCTTAATTCCCCTGGTCTTTTGGGATGATACATTTCTTGTCTTCCAAGGGTTCCACACTGGTTAAGGCGAATGAAAAAATCGTATCGATTTCGACCGGTTCCGTTAACGTAGATACAATTGGTATCATGAACATAACCAGCACTGTAAACTAAACCGGTAAAAGTGCCATTGAAAACGGTAACAACTTTCATGTAATCGTCTGAGCATTCAGCTGAAATATCTGTGATCAATGAAAAGGTTGAAATGTTTAATGGAGAGGGAAAAAGGTGAAATTTTTATTGGACTTACGTTCAACTCTGGTTAAATTGTAGGATGGTTTTCTTGACATGCCATTGCCGTTGGTGGATAAAAATGATCCTGAAGATGAAGCAGAGGCTGTAGAGGAGGCTGAAGAGGAAGGTGATGATGGAATGCTTCCAGCAAATCCAACTGGATTGGTGCTGCTTCCACCAAAGGGTGGATTATGGTACAAAGGTGATTGGGGGATTGATGAGCCTGAAGCTGAAAGGTAAGTCGGAGTTACAGGGTTACGAAAGCCACTTGGAATTCCAGGGACTGGAGGGACTCGAGGAGGGTAAGCAGGTCTATTGCGATAGTCGATCCAGCGAAGACGATGTTCACTTGCTGCACCTTGAAGTGAATCGGCAGAGGTTGAGGTTGCCGGTGGGACAATTGTTGAAGTAGATGGTGAAAAGGAGGATGAAGATTGGGGTGAATTTGCTGCTGTAGAGGAGGATGAAGTTGATGTTACATTTAATGTTGACACCTGGGTTGTTGTTGAATTGGTTGAGGGTGAAGGTGATGTGGCTGAAGCATATGAAAGTGACACTGGATTGTGAATTATACTTGGTGAGCTCAACTCTGATGGGTAAAGTAGAGCTAAAAGAGCGTCAGTTGTATTGACTAATGATAGTTCATCGATTGCACTATTTGAAAATGATGGTAGTGATGATGATGAAGATGAAGGCAATGTTGACATTGATAATGTTGATATTGATGATGTACCAGTAATGTGGCCTCCATTAATTACAATTGTATTGCTAGTTGATGGTGTATGATGGTTATTGTGAACTGTCAATGAGTCTGATTCCGTTGTCACAAGGGTCACAGGATCATTTGAATTGTCATGTTTTACTGACCCTGAAGGCGATGAATCAATGTAAGCCCATGTAATATTGGCTGATGTAATCTATAATTGAAAACAAAAACAGTAAAATCAAAATTAAAAATTGTCAAGAAACCAGAAAAAAGTAATTGAAAAAAAGCGACCAAAAATAACTGTTCAACTTACTTGAAATAAAGTAAACAAACACAGAAATCTGGTTAAATTGGGTTTTACAATACATAATGGCTTCCGACGATGTTTACAAACAATCATTCTGTTAATTGTTGTCGTCATTTGTCCAATTGATGGTTAATTTTGAACAAAATGATAAAAAAATCACAAATAATAAATAAAAGTTGATCTTGAAAAAAAAATTCTTAAACCAACAAAGTGAGGGAAAATGTCTAAAGTGAACAGAAAGATCAACACTTGACTTTGTTGCAACCAAGTTCAAATGAACATGAAAATGTTTTCAATCTCAAGTATATCAAAAAAGATGATAAATAATAATATTATTATTATCATGTATATTTATATTCATATTGGAGTAATGATGAAGATAAAAAGAGATTTAAAGAGTGAGAAAAGAGAGACTTTTATGAAAAGGTAAGAAAGATATGGTGAATAAAGAAGATAATGGAAACAGTAAAGGCTAAGCCTGAAGCGGGTTATCATCAACAGTCAAAATTTACTTCTGTGAAGATTCAGCATCTTATCATCTTCATCCACCTCCTCGGCTCTATCGGCCTCATCATCTCTATCATCATTATCATCATTATCATCAGCCCTCTACTGGAAGCCCCAGGTAAGTACAATAAGAAGATGAATAAGATGAAAAAAAGATCCAATCCTACTTCTCACTTTTCACATTTTTTTTCTTCCGCCCTCTTCCTCCCAACTCCTCACCCGTTTACCCTCCTAGCTACTTTATTTAAACACAGATTATATCAACTATAATCTAAAATAATTACCATTTATTACAATCTATTTGATCTTGTTTGGGTAATGTTGGCCAAGCAATCAAGCAATGTGTATCGGTGGCATCACTGGTAACACTTACGAACACAGTGGCAAAGGCAATAATCAACACGAAAGGTATTAATACACGTTATTATTATTATTTTATCGATTCTATTCTAATTCTTGTTCAATTCAATGGACCATTCAAATGTTAATCAAAAAGTCTAAAGTATTTTTTACCGGCTCAACCAAATGTCCGTTAAAAGGTACAGTCGAAGGTTAAATTTTTATTCAATATCAAGTTTAAAAGTGAAAAAAAGCTTTATTACAAGATAATTGAAGCTAAATAAATGTCTACTTTTTCAGCTATTTTATCAATCGTGTGAGAAAGTAGGTTGATCAATTGATGATGGGAATTTACTAGATTGTCCGATTTAATTAATTGTATCCTCGTGTGATCTAAGTCAGAGAGCTTTGGTAATTTTTTTATATCCCCTCATTGCAACTCAGCTGATGAAAAGCTTTCCCTCTTTTTTCACTCGCGACGCAATAAGCTTTGTCTTGAGCCTTTATCATTGTCTTGTTTTGGTATTTTTGTTTTTTTTTGTGTTTCATTCTTGATCTTGTTTTGTATTATTTCATCTAATTGTTACCCATTTATGTGACTATCGTGAGAAATCAACATTTAAGACTATTATTTACAATTTACGCGTTAAATCTGCTTCTTTTTTTACTCAAATCTCGCCTATTCTTTTTGAATGAACATAACTTTTTTTATACATTGGTGCTCCTAGTAAATTTTGGGTTGTTTGGGTTATTTGTCGTCACTTTTACATCCACATGCATTGGTTTGTATCATCATTATGTTTGAGACTGTCCTTCATTTTTGGCTCTTATCCATAATAGGTTGACTCTACAAATTGCTTTACCTGAAGTAAAACTCAATCTCGTTTACCTCGATCTCCCATTGTTTTTTTTACCTGTGGATACATCTGTCGTTAATATCAATGGCGAACAAGTTGTCTCATCGTTTTAAAGTCAATTTTTTGCTCTGCTTTCTGGGTTCAATGCAACAATCAACTAACTAGGATTCAATGATTCAAGAAAGTCACCGAGTACATGATAGATTACTGGTAAACTTCCGGATGATTACTATTGACTCGTCTGTATTGTATTACTAAATGATGAGAGATTTACATAATTATTTTAAATCTAAAATTGCTTTGTTTTTTTTCATTCTATCTTTAGGTTGATATCAATTTGGAAACACAGGCAAAGATGAAGATTGATTTGGTGTTGCTGATGATAATCATTACCATAATTACCATAAAGCGATGTAAAATGCGAATGTGAAACACAATTTGATTGATTCATCAAGATAATGTTTAACCATGTTCATTGTTTTCAACTGGTCTTCAATTGAATTGGTTAAGCTTTAAATGTTGATTGTTTCAATGGTAAGTAGCAAAAGTAAATTAGCTTGCAAAAAAAGAGTCAGACTCAACATCAACATTTGATTGAAAGTAAATACATAAAAAAACGGTTAAGAAGTTTGTTACCGTTTGATTTTGAGCTCATCAGCTTTCCCCTTGTCTTCCTGATTGTTGGGTAATGAAGATGAGAATGATGATGATAATTATAAAGGAAGAAACAATTTAACAGTTTGATTTCCAATGGATGTTGAAAAATCTCTTTGAGTTGAATTTTTTGGTTGAGCAGAGAAAAGAAGAAATGATAATTGCAAGTACAATTTTCTAATTGTTCAATTGACTTTTACTATTCTTCTTTTACCCTCAACTATCATGATTCTTCCGGCTCAATGATGATTAGCTTCATCATCCTCTTTATCATCTTCACCATGATCACTTTGCTTTGTAATGTTGAATGTCCAGACATGATCCTTTATGGTCATCATTAAACTCATCGCTTTTATGATATCAATCACCTCTTTTTTTTCATTACCTTCAAGCACAAATAACTGAGTAAACTTTCATGTAACCTTAACTGTAATGATCGATTGTTAATTGATCATTGTCAGCATTTCAATCTTTTTAATAACTTTCTTTCCATTGTTTTACCCAAATTATAATTCAACTGGTCATTGGGCTCAGCTGACTTTCATTGATTATATTAACGCTTTTTGTTTCAAGTGTTGCTAACTCTGGTTATAACTTTAGTTAATAACAACGTTTAATTAGTCACGAGATTCACTCGTTACTAGTATTCATTGTTAGCTAACAATTGAGATCTCATTTGAATTAAATCATCTCCTTAACTCTTCTGTAGGTTATAAATGTTTTGGGTTTACCTTTTTAAAGACGAAAGTGTTGAAGTGAATTTCATTTGATTGCTTGTTTAACCTTTAATTTTTAACCTCAGTCAATTGTTCAAGTGATAATAATTAGATTGTTATGCCAACTGACATTGAATTTGACTTATTTTCAAAAATATCACTTAAACATAACTTGACAGGTTAACCTTTGTTTGCTATTCAAATTATTAATACCAGCTTATTTTTTAGATCATTTTTAGGATAATAACTCGATTTATGGGCTAAAATAGGCTTTTTTATGTGAACCAGTTGATGATTATTTGAAAATATAATGGTGGAAATGAGGAAATGAAATTAAATTGGTAAAACAATTTGAATAATAATATAATTCAAACAAAAAACTGTTGATTGTATAACAAATTTTTGGATTAAAATTTAGCCCTTTTTTCTGATCAAATCTGTTTTTTTACTCAAGGAAGTTATGGCAATGATTCTCATTCATATTTTAATATTTCCCTTCTGTATTCAATCAAAATCTAGGTCTCACATTTTAATCACATTTCATTAATTCTTAAATATAAATCTCTACAATTTAATAATATTTGATTACATTTTCTCCCATAAAACTAGATTCATTTGCTGTTTATTTTTCATTCAAGCATTTGTTGCATTGGTTGCAATCGCCTTTACTGATTATCTATGAGATCCACCATCCCGGGCCTGGCATTTCAAAGTAATATTGTAATTCAACGGAATGATCATGGAAGTGACTCGTGTCCAGAGATTATCAATATTATCCTTAAAATCACAAGTTCAGTTGATTAAAGTTCAAGTTTGAGCTAAGAAATAATCGTAAACCTTCTGCACATTCCTTAACCCAAAGACTAATGATGATTTTGACTTTGATTTGATTGAATCTCGACAGAGAAAAGACAGGATTTTCCAAGTAATAACAATGATGACTGTGGCGATTGTGGAGCTAAAATCTAATATCAAATTGGATTGGACCCGTCGATTCAAAGTCAAGACACTTTAAGATGAGATTAAAATTGCGAGATTTTTTGATATCTATTAAAGAGTACAATGTTGATTACCAGCCAATATGTTTGCTAACCCAAAAACTGAATGGTTATGAATGGATAACCAATGAAGCAGAGAAACCAGAAAAGTTAAACCATTTCCTCGTTTTATTATTAACACAATTTGCTTGATTTTACAATACATCAAATATATCTTTGACCAGTATGGTCGAATCATCATAGTGTAACATGAAAAAGGCTAAAATGAAACAAAGATAAAGGGTTAACCAGTTGAAAAAATATTGGACCGAAAAATGACATTGATGGAAGCACATTTTTTAGCTGAATTTATTTCAATAGGAAAAGGCATTGATGACAATTTAAATTTATAAAATTCACGATCACAGGGCTAAAGGCCTTTACCATGAGATAATCAGAGCTGATTGAGGAATCAAGATTGAGCTGTTTTTTTCAGATCTACCTTTTGTTATGAGATACTTGCACGGTGTATACACTTATGATGATGATGACGATGAGTGAGAAAAAAGGCAAGATTAACTAAATAATAACAATGATGGTAATGGTGATTATGATGCTAAAGTAAAGATAACTGAATTGAGATGAAGAGGGAAAAAAATGAAATGAAAAATCGTGTCTGTTCCCGGTAAATTGAGACTCTTATTTTGATTGTTGGCCTTTTCATTGATTGTGACCATTTGTAACCATTATTGTGACCAGCTTTAACTGATGGACTAACAATGGTCAACAGTTGGATTGGAATGATGATAATGATTATCATTATCAAAAGATGTTATTGTCCGTCCAACACAATAATATACCAAATGGGCAAGGGCAAGTGTTAGATATTGGTAAGTGCAGTGGACAATATTAATTCAATAATCAAAACTGGCAAATGTTCAAATGCTCAAATCAACTTACAAATTGTGTGATTGACTTGGGAATTAACAAAGTGCAAACTTATTAACTTGACTCAATGATTAAATGATGAAATGAACAAATGACTGGGTTTAATGGCAGCTTCTGAAGGTAAACCATTTGGGTTATAACCAAAAAATTTGGCCTTTTTGGGTTTAGGCTTTCACTTTAATATTACAATTTGTATTTTTGCTGTGTTAGTCCATTCAATTTAGTGTTGTTCAATCGGTTATTTACCCATAAATTGATAAGCAGACTTGTTTGTTTGCCCGTAAATCATTTGTTAGCGTGTAAATAACACTGTAAATAGTGATAAATTATAAATGATCCGGTAAAGGGTTTAATTACTTTCAGCTTTAATCATTAATTTGTGCCAATCACGTTCTCTTTGATTAACAATTAAACGATTTTCTATTCATTTTGTCACACTTTAAAATTGATGGTAATTTTCAGTTTCAAATTTGATCTTTTGGTTTATTATTTTGCAGCTATATTGTTGTTAAAGATTCATTGTTATTTACATCTCTAGTGATTGATTGATTAAATATGTTAATCATTAAAGCTTTTAATTGAGACGTAAATCTAAGACAATTAAAGCTGCTGAAGTAATTGCAAGACCAACACCTATCATTGGTCAGGTTTTAGGTTGATTTTGGTTGAGTTGTTACCAGATTTTAGTGTTGCTGCATTTGTTGATAAGGGAAGTGAAAATGACTTGAATTAAATACTGAGAGCATTTTAAATGTAAATTGTAGGGTCAATCGGTCAGGTAATTCAGATTTAAGGAAGTCTTTCGGATCTGATTGTGCTTTTTTATTAACAAAATCTCACATTAGCACATTTATTATTAGAAATGTTACTTCAATTATTAGCAATTTTGGCAAACTGTTGGATTGATCACGGAAAAATTTAATACAATTTAGATTCAATGTACAATTTTGCTCTCATGTAAATTTTAGTGAAACAGTTAAGGGTTAAATTAACATAGAATCGTAGATTTTTGAGTTCTCATCTTTTCAATTTGGATTAAAATTAGTGAAAATAATGATTGTAACATGAAAATAAATTGATATTAACTAAACACATACAATTGAAATCACGTGGATGAAAAAGAGTTGATCACCAAGGAAACAACAGAAAGACTCAGCAAATTTAATGAAGCTTTTTTGTTGTTTATATACAAGTTTTGTTTTAATTGTGACAATATTTTAGTTTTTAAAACATGATGCCAGTTAAAAATTGTGATTAAGTTATTGGCCAAATATTATGGTTGTGATTTGGACTGAACTGTTTAATTTTAATCGATATGCATCTTAATGGTTTACCAAATGAATGTTTGCTCATTATTTTTCGATCCCTCAATGACTTGGATGATCTTATCAGCTGTAGTAAAGGTAATTTATCATTTTCTTGCGATAATTTTTCTCTCCTTAGATTCACATTTTATTACGTTCTAATTACGCTTTAAACGTTTAACAAACCTATTCATTATTTATTGTTTATTGTTAATTATTTATTGACTTTAGCTGAATTCATTGTATCTCTATATTTCACCAATTTGCATTTGACTAAAGGAAATTGTGTGTGCATTTCAAGGAAAACAAGGTTCATGCTTTATGCTTATTCCAAATGGTTTTTGATTACTCAAAGAGATATTATTGTAAAGCTTACAATTCAGCTCAATAAAAATTATTAAATTGTTGTCTGCTTACAAAAGGTTCAATTGAGTGCATTGAAAAGCGCCTAGTTTAAAAAATGAAAAGTCAGCTTTCATTTGCTTATTTTCATTGTTTTCAACACCTTTTAATTTTCTTTAAGCTCTCAATAATCTTTTGATAATTTTTTCATTTCACAATCAATTCATGTGTTCAGTAACTATCTGAAAACACACTCGAAATTGTGATCTCTTCAGTAATGCTTAAATCGATCATTTGGTCAAGAATTACCTTACAATATCCAGATAATACAAGAAGATACTTTCAGATCTCTAAGTTGTACAGATTTTCCATATCGGTATTTAATTTCTATTGATGATTACCATTTACTAATTGTTTTATGTTTTTTTTCTCGTTTTTGATCAATAGTCTGTGAACGATGGAGCCATTTAATATATCACCGATTATATGAAGTCAAATATTTGACCGGTAAGGCATATCTGTTTATTTGAAATTATTTCACTGTTATTACATCATTGGACGCGAAGATGATGACAATGGATTAATGTGTTGTTTGGTTATTAAATTTGTGATTAAAGGAGTTCAAAGCTACTGTAATTCGTACAATACAGTTTATTTTGGAAAATCTGATGCACTAAAAGAAGCCGATTTCTGGGAATTGCTGCCCAATGTAAAGGTTATTATGATATTTTCATTTTAATTGATTCCAATTTCATCTGGAATATTTAGTATTATTTTAAAAAATAATTTTTTGTTCTATTGATTTAGATTCTTGATATAGCTGACTCAAATGGTTTGAATTATGAAGATATGATCAATATTTTGATAAACTCCAAATCAATAAAAGGATTGGTTTATTCACCCGTTTTAACCAAAGTTATGGCAAGATATTGTATAAATCTTGAAATGATTGCCACCCGATATTCAAAAACTTATTTCACTGATATAATTATTCATTGTGGGGCTAAATTAAAGCAACTTTATATATGGTATTTCAGCTTGAGACATCTTGAGAGGTTTGCCAAGTATTTACCCTGCTTAGAAAGGCTTCACATGGACGATACATCAGGTAAACCATGAATTAATAGTCATCAACCAGTTATTCATTTCATTTTGATTTCTGTTTCCAAATTAAGTAATTGATATTGATTGTAATTTTTAAAGGTGACACTGGTTGGCTTTACAATGGTCCGATTCTGGAGAATCTTAAAATATTGGAAATTTCATTGGAATCATTTGATAAAACAAATATTTACGGTGGATTTCATTTAATTGACTTCTGTCCAACGCTGAGAAGTGCTTACTTCACAATTTATGGATCAAGTGATTTCTTTTTTGATGAAACAATCAAAAATTATTGTTTGCAAGACTTAGTTATACAATATGAGGTACTGTATTGACCATTTTACCTGGATTTGTTTAGTAATCTAATTGAAAACTGTCAAGACTCGAGATTTACTGGTTATTAACTATTTTTTCTTTCTGTGTTTTGGATTTTAGATTTTCGAATGTGGACATTATTGGCCTTCTTTAAAAAACTTTCTATTTAAATTTCCAAATTTAAGACATTTAGCTATTCGAGGAAACCAGAAAATCAATGACAATCATATCAAAGAACTGGTTCATATGCTGCCAAATTTAATTATACTTGATGTTAGACTGTCTTTTGGAATCACTCGAGAATCCGCTGATTATATTGCTCAATATTGTCGTGAATATAATCGATTTGTATCATTTTACTTTCAACATGATGAAGCAATTAGGCTAGATTGGCCAGAGCTATCTGTTTCGTCTAATAGGATTTGTCATAAATTTGATTTTATGAAAAACTGTTTTCTTAAATCATACACAGAACTTCCACTTCTTATGGATCCAATTGATTAACTTATCATCTCAAGTTGTTTTTGTTTCAAAAGTCTAGTCTGCGGAGATGCACTCAATTACAATACAGTTTGATTGCTAAGCAAATCTTGAATGGTATTTGTTATTATTGATTTAATTCATTGTTCAATAAATATTTGTTGCGAAGATAATATTTGAAGAAACTCCTCATATCTGGAAATTATGTTTGTCAAACATCACCATCAAAGTGACATCTCTTTGACCAGAATCGGGTAAATCTTGAAATCCATTCCTGCTATTGCTTTCTTTACCATGGAAATTATTTTTGCATCAGAAAATCAAATCGAGGCTTGTAAATATTGAATTTTTGCTGGAATAACCTTGCATTGAATTCCTCCTTTCTGGAACCATTTCTCGCTTTGTAACTCAATTGTGGATATATCTGCTTTTCCTTACTTCGCTCATACAAAATCTAGCTCAAAGGTCAAGTTGGATCAATATGTTGAACAAGTCTATCCTTGCGATATAAGGTGTGATCTCCGATGAACAAAACTATCTTTTCGGGTAAAATCACCAAATTTATTTCATCATATGGAAACTATAAAACGAACCAAAGATTGTAAAGTAAACAAGTAACCAGACCAAATGAGAAAATAATATTTCTGCCATCAATCTTTAGTCCATTAGGATTAAAGTAATCGAACAGATTTATCTGAGAATAGAAATTGAAATGGATTAGAAATGAATAATGTTTTGTTCGGGATAAATAATTAGTCAACAAAAAGCAAATACTTACTCTTGGGTTGATTTGCAAAAATACTGAAACCCTGAACTTTAAGTAATTGCCAAGAGATGTAAATTATAATTATTGATTGGTGAAATTGATTTTCAACATTTTAGCCACCACCGTGAAAAATAAGATTATAAATTGAGTCATGATTAAACATACATTGTCCAAATGTGTTTAATGCAAGCAACACCAGGATCATAAGTCATGGCCATTGTTTGTACCCTATAACCCAACAATTGGAACCAGTCAAGAACACAAATATCTGGATATTCAAACTTGTAATTGTAACAATTATAATTGGTAAACTTTAATGGTTCCTCAATAATCCTCAGAGCTTTCAATTTTGGAATTATATTGGCATCTCTCGTTGTCACATAGGTTGGACCATCAGTTCGACTTTCATAGCTTGATACAAGCAGGTACATTCTTGTTTCTCCAAAAGCACTAAATTTTTATCCGACACAATAAATTGGCATTTAATTTGATTAAAGATCGGCACTTTGACTCTTAAACAAACTGATATAATACTGATGATGAAAAAGCAAATCTGGAAAGGTGATAATACCTAAAATGTAAAGAATATCTTACCATCTGAGTTTCAATTGAGCAGCTCTCAACTCAGCATCCACTCCCTTAATCGATCAGTTGAATTTTATTAATAGTCTCGCCGAGAACTGCCTTTACGGTTATTTTTTCGCGGTTTGTTTGTATATCAAATAGTTCCTGATAAAAAGTGCTATAAACATTTTCTAATTCATTTTATGATTCAAGATAACTGAGTTACAAGATTACAACATTACAACCCAAATAAACGATGTCATTATTTTTTAACGAAAATAACAAGAGCTCTGATTAACATTTTTGAAGCCATTTTTAATGCTTATTAAAACGACAACAGTTTTATCATCAAAATTGATGATTGCCAAGTCAGATTGAGAACAAATTGTTTTAAAATTGGCGGATTATGAAAATATCACACAACAGAGCAAAAAGTTAACTCTTGAAAAAGCCAACAAAATATTCCATCTATTACAAAGATACAAATATTCATCAAATTAAGTTATCTTACTCTTATAAGTATCACATTAGCTCTTTTATAATGTAAGAGATATGGCCTAAGAGTTCGATTAATCAGGATATGTGGTTTCAATGAAGATCTGAGCAAAGTTTTCAATCCAAAGCAATTCGTCTTCATCACAGCGATTATCACATATTTTCTTCAGTATAAAGTCAATTTGTTTTTCTCTCTTTGTCCTCTCTGATGTTGTTAAACCAGAACATCCACATGGGTTGGCTTGTATATGCGCTTCATAACCGGCATAGCGAACGGTTCCTCGACCAGATGGACATAACATTCTCAAACTGGATATTTTTCGATGAATATTGCGAGGAATACCACCAATATTGCGTTTACCGCCTTTAACGATGAGCGATGCACCACAACGGAAAGGGCATGGAGCATCTTCCTGCGACTCAGGCGAGTTATTATAATGACGAACATAATTCTTCAAACAGTCTGTACAAAAGATGACCTTACAGTTGCTAGTGTTAGGTAATCGAATATGGGTTTTAGGTCTTCTAACAACAAGTTGACAAATAACACACAAAAACTCATTTGCTCTATTGGAGTCTACAAAAAGTTCAATTTCGTATCCAGAGCTGGTTAACTCATCATGGGGACGGTCGGGTTCATGCAAATTAAATTGGAAGTTAGCCATAGTAAGATGATTTTAACTGCACAAATTGATAAATAGAATCCCAATAAGAATCAAATTACATCAACACAAATAAGAAAGTCTTGAAGATGTTTTCACAAGAAACTAACATTTCTTTCTCTACTTCTGCTGAAGAGGCGCTGAAAGAAACCATAATGAGCATGCTTGCCTTTCCAGTGAATTGCAATTTGGGATAAAAAATTAAAATTCAGTTTTAATCATAGGAATAGTTAGTAGGAAATATTCAACGATTCCTAAAGTACCTTTTATCAAAGTACACTTGGATTATACAAAAACGGGCAATTTATTCTCAAGAATATGGTTGTTGAAAATTTAATGGGTTAAATCATTTAGCTAATTTAGCTAGATTTTGTCTAGGTTTACAATTCCAACTTAATTAGTGTCTAAATAACCAAAACAATTTGCAGTGAAGGTATAATCGGTGATTGGAGTTAGTCAGCGTGTATAATTTAACTGCAAACAAAATGTTTTTGATGGCCTAATAAGTAGAGTATTTCAATGCCAAATAAAGTATAATGAGCGATCTATAGTCTTCAAATTAAGAGTTTAATAATTTGATTCGTAAGTCAGTTCAAGATAAATATACACCTTCGTAGTCCAGGAGGTTGTAAAATTAGGGTGAGATTAAGTTAAACATTAACAATTATAGTACACAATCGAGCATTTTAACAGCTAACAAAAAATTACTCTTTGGTTAGGGCTCAATTTTTGACCAGATTCAGTTGAGATTTGAGTGTTTACATAGTTGCAGATAGCAGAAGTCGTTATGCCATGAGTTTTCTGGATAAAAAATGAAGTGGGTATTAAATGCCCTAGCAAGTCAAAAAATTAATTATATCTTTAAGCTTAATCAGTAGATATTTCACTTTTGGTGAGCCAATATTAAGTCAGTAATCATCTAATGAAGGCTTTCAAGAGTTTTTCAAAAGCAAACTCTAAAATCACTTTTAAAATAGTGGCCCAGATACTTTCTTCACGTTCTTGTCTGTTAAACCTGGGTCGATTATAAGAGATATCACTTTCATTATCAGGATCCCATGGTGGTATTGATCTTCGTCTTCTATTTGGAAAGGTAGGCCAGCCAAAGAAAAATAGATAGACTATAGCTGAGAAAATAACAAACGTAAAGATGTTTCTGAAAAATAATTCAGCTGATTTTTTTGGAATCTTTGTAACAGCCCAAATAAGCCAATTGCCAATATCTTTACGTTTTCTGGAACGATCATATTTTTTATCTTCTCTTTCGTCGTCCTTTTCGTCATCTTTGTCTTTATCCTTTTCATCGTAATCTAAGGCATATTCAAGGCTACAAGAGCCTTTAACAACATAAACATCATTTGGATGTTCAAAAGGTTCACAATTGACTCTTATCTTGTCAAATGAATAACCATCCATAAGATCAGCTTCGCATCGCCATTGAATATTTTTGTAGCCCTCATTGGATCCACGAATACCAACATTATGACATTTAACAAATTTTGGTTGGTATTTACACTTGTTAGGCCCACCAGTACACTTTAACTGTGGCTCCGAATCTCCTCTTCGGCTGTTGGTGTATTGATTGGCTTTAAATATTAGGTTATCAACGTCTTTTAATTTAATGCCACCAGAATAACAATCAGCTTTATTGTCAAGTATAATAACAATAAATATCACAAATATAAAGGCTAACTTATACATCATCCGAGAAAAAAATGGTTAAACATCTGATCCTAAGCAAAAGAAAGAATAAGCACGGAAAGGTCAACATCTATATTTTTCAATGGTTAGGATTAAAACATATAACCAAAAAGATTAAATTGATGGGTACCATTAAGACTTACAATTATAAACATTAAAAACTTACCTAATCAATCAGTGGTTAATTAATTAATCCAATAAACAATGTTATCAAAAAAGTAACAAAAATAAACAAAAAACCATTACGTTAACATGGCTCATTTCAAAACAGTTGAATCCAAGAGATCTGCGCAGACAAAATATCCAGCCATAAACAAAACAATAAAGAGTTTAACTTGAAATCAAAGTCTTATTATGGTTAAATCCAATGTAATCAGCTAATTAAGATAAAAAATATTCTGTATTAAAAGATTAAACAAACCTCTTGCATGATAAATTGAATCTAAATGAACCAAATGTATCAACTTAATTCACTGGAAAAACAGTTGAGTGAAATATTGGTTAGATTCTCAACTAACCTTGACAACTACCAATCTCTATCAATAGATTTCTGTTCTTAATTTAGATTGCAGCCAAAAATACGTAATTAAATTGCGACAGAAATAGTAGTCATTTAATGAGCCGATTGAGACTTAATTTAATTTTATTACATTAATTATGAGCCTGAGAAAAGACATTCTCAAAGATATTGAACTGAGAAATGGCTGTCAGTTTTACCCAATTGATTTCAATTTGAACCATCAATAGACAATTTGTGCTTAAAATCACGCAGTAAATTGCAAACACTGAAAATTAAGGTAAAAATATATTGAAAAGATGTTTTTTTTTCATTATAAAAAAACAAAAATGCCAATCATTTCTGGGTTCAACAATTGTCTAATTGAACAACAATGGTTGAAGCAAAATTACCTATTTTTTGCATATAATTTGTCTGTGTGACAACATTAGAAACTAGTTGAACAATTAACAAAGATTAGGACCAAATTTGGACAATTTTTGTTTGCAACTTTCACTGTCAACTTAATAGTTACAATGCATCTAAACGGCGTAGGATTGAAAGCTATTCAATAGCCATTGGTGTTTTAAATGAGCGCTTTTTACTTTCATTTCAGTTAAATTTCAATATACACTCAGTGTGTAAATTAACACTTAATCAGCATAAATGCGAGGAAACATAAGATTCAAAACTGAATAGGAAAAAACTGAGCAAAATTGAAAGTCCAAGCTTGGTAAACCAGAAAACCTTGAATAATTTGAATTTGGTCTGGTTAAGTCAACAAATTATCATTGAATATATTCACAAGATGAATAAAATGATGATCTCAATCACCAATATATGGTCTCAACTATTGTCAATTAACTAATTTATTTGTTATTTACCTAATCATGGTAAAAACAGTCAATAGCCAATTTGCTTTTGTAAAAGTGTTTTTTTTCAACCAAGAAATGTACAAAAAAAATACTGAACCCTGCAGAGATTCAGTATTGATTGTTGACAAGGTCAAATTGTCAGAATGAAGATGACAAGATTATGATGAGATGAAAAAGAATCAAGAAAATTTTTCTAAATGTCATCAAAAGCCTTTAAATGTTAACCATTTTTTAGGTTTTCTGGTTACCTTTTTCTTGTTGGGTTTACAAGGCAAAATGAAAAACAATGGATGTCGCACAAAACTTGAAATTGTTAACATTTTCAAATCAGTGAAATAATCAAATACGCCAATAATTTGTAAAATAATTGTCCATTTAGTTAATTAGACAGGTAATCCGAGTCATTTCTGCATCAATCGAATGATAAATTTAAGGTAAGATTGAAACCCAACAACAAATTGCTATTGAATTGATCAACTCAACTATCCTTTGGTTATAAATCCAGCTCGAGATGGCTTTGGGTACAACATTGGAGTCAAACATCGGCTGAATTGTGATTCTGAAAGAACAGGAATTAGAAAATTGTAAATCTAATTTAGTACATTATTTGCTATTATTTTGATACAATTTGAAGTCTTTTCTTGTTTTCAAGGTTGTAATTTGTTAATCTGTTGTTGATTAAATTCTTGATGTTTAACAATTTCATTAATATTGCTTTTTAAACCGGATTAAGGCGAGGAAATCAATTTAGAATGAACAATTAACTCGTTTTTGCATGTAAACCAGCGTTAAATGATATTCCAGGTCAATTAGTGGGGCTTTGTGGTTTAGGTGATTCTGGATGATTTTTTGGTGAAAGTGATTAACAGTTGGTTAACCGTGCAATCAAGGTTAATCAAAAATATGTCGGATAATCATTAAGAGTCCAAAATTGTGATTCCAGTTACACCCGTTACCAATGAGCGAGTTAAGACCAAGTTGATGTGATTGACCAAAACTGGACTTGACAGCAATCTGAAACAACAGAAAGTAGATTAAGATTAATTAAATTGCAATATCTCCAAGTTATGAGTGGTGTTAACTATTACTTAATCATTATTGATAGATTGACCATGAAAAGAAAACAAAAGACAGAATCAAAAGAATCAATCAATATTTGATTCAAATGAAATAACCTTTCAACATTTATTTTTAAAGCTTTTTATAATGTTAACCAGCTGTTAAGGATGATTATCCAGTAAAACTATAATTGTTACAAGTTCAAGTGAATTAGTATTTCTTGGTGTTTAACAATCACAATTCCTATTGTCGAGGACATTAATTAATTTACAATTTACAAGTTAATATCAACCATAAAGTTACGATTTTACCAAAAATCTCACTTTCTCTCTTTCTCTTGTCATTCATCTTTTTTCATCTTTCTCTACCTTATTTCCTTTCCTTACTTCCACTCTTACTTTGTCATCATCATCTTCCAAGAAACTCCCTTTTTCTTCATGAGTATCTTTCAATCTTAAAGTCAATTGTAATCAACTTGAATTCAACAGTTACAATTGAATCAAAGCTACCAACTACCTGAAGTAAACACATCTTCATATACACAGTTTACATTGCATGATGTGTATCTAAAAACGTTAACTAACGACGCAATGGCAACTTTAAAGCAAAAGTCGTCTTCTCTTGTATAAATCTCGGACAAATCAACACAATCAACAAATTAAATTGTTTGTCAAATACAAGTTGTTTTGCTGAAAAAAGAGAGAAGTCAGAATTTTCTGCAAAATTTGTTTACAATTTGAGAAGTCTTACCTTTCTTTTACCCAGTGATACTTTCCAATTGTTGGTCCAGCCAGCAAGTAACAAACTGTTATTCAAATTACAATCATAAATTGTTTGTATCCATCAATTTCACTTAATTTATAATAATGTCATTTTCCCGAATTGGTCCATCAACATCACCTTTTGTCCAATATTTGGGTAAATCCTTCAACTATTACTCACACGAATTTTGGAATCATCAAGGAGATCCAAGAGTATCGATATATCCTTTCTTTACTTCTGGTCCCTGGTTAACGTTAACTCTGGTCGCTCTTTACCTGGTCACCGTTAAATATGTTGGTCCTCTTTGGATGAGAGATCGTAAACCATATGATCTCCGTCGTCTCCTAATTGTCTACAATTTATTAATGGTAACACTTTCCAGTTATCTGTTTTATCAAGGTTGTATCTTATTATCTTTTGGACTGGATACTTGGGGATGTCAACCAATCAACTCATCTGATTATTCACCAGAAACGCGCCATTTTCTCAACACGGCTTGGATCTTTTTTGCCTCCAAATTGATTGAGTTTATGGATACACTTTTTTTTGTTTTAAGGAAAAAAAATTCCCACATTTCAAATCTCCATGTCATCCACCATTCAACTGTTCCCCTGTCTGTCTGGATTGGCTTTAAATTTGCTCCTGGAGGTAATAATGCTTTCTTTCCTCTCCTCAACTCTGGTGTTCATATGATTATGTATACCTATTATGGACTAACTGCTATTGTGTCTGGCTCCAATGGATCATCAAACTGGCCTCGAGTTAATCAATTTTTACGCTCCACCAAGAAATATTTAACCACTCTTCAAATGGGACAGTTTATTTTGGCCATTGTTCATGGACTATCAACCCTAGCTCAACCAGATTGCTCATTTCCTAAATCATCGTTGGCTATCAATCTGGGCAATGCCATTATTTTTCTTATCCTTTTCTATTCTTTCTACAGAAAAGCTTATATCAAAAAGTCCAACTAATTTGTAAGTTATTTTATTAACATCGATTCTTGTTTATTTTGTTAACTAAATTTATTTCCCAGAATTTCCTACTCCTGTTTCAATTTTGACTCGATTTTCTATTCCTTTCTATGTTATCCAATCTTCAATCAATTATTTTTGCTGTATTTCATTCAAGTTATGTATCTATATTTGCTTTGGTCTTTTTACACTTTATGGTATATTTTATTATTGCGACTACCTTTTATGGTAATTTATTTTTGTTTACTTTATTTACGTTTTATAATTTGTGTACGACACAAATCTGTTATCGAATCAAATTAGATTGTTTACCTTTGTTTAGCTATTTTTAAAACCTTTTTACCTTTTTTTTGTTGTCAAAATGTTTCATCCTTGTGATTCAAAATTGTAATATCTCTTCAATCATCTAAAATCACCACCATCATCAAAAATGATTCCCTTAATAATAATTATCATGTAAAATTAGACTTTTCAATCAAAACGTTTTACCGCAAATTTTCAAGTAAATACACATTTTACTGAGCTTATTGACCGCAAGTATCTATCAATGAATTTACGTTTATTCACTAATCTGTAACGGTATCTTAAATTGACAGAGGCTGTCGATTAAAACTGGCAAACAATCATGAACCATTCTTGAATGGTGCTGGTCTGGAAACGGAAAGTAATGACTTGGATCGACTTGAGATTAAATCGGAGACAATTTTGATATTCACCAATCAAGATGAAGGTGAAAACAGTTGAGCAACAAAAGATTGTCTCAACAATCAACCTTACCATGAACCATGTTTCCGTTACATTCATCATTCTTGGTTCTTCTTTAAGGTATTTTTTTATTCCAAATTTTTTTATCATTAGTATAAGACCAAAGGAAATGTTATTAAGCCAGTGTTTCTCTCACATTATTGTTTATCCTCCATTTTTACAGCTCAATTGAAAAATTTACATCAAAAGATTCAACTACAATTGAATTGAATTCCAAGGTTGACCAATATGGCTACCAATTGATTATCAAGGCGGCGATATTTTCTTATTGACTATTTGCTCATTCAAGGCTAATGTTTCCATAAAAATTAGCTTTTATTGTTATAGATATAAATATTGTTTTTTAAAGTATGGCGGTGTTGATTGTTATTATTAAACTAGATTGAAATGTTGTCATGCAAAAGAGATTTTCTGATTATTATTACAATTAATGGTGGATAATTTGATGATAAAGTAAATGCAAAGAAGTTTCATTTTGGCTAAAAAAATTTTTCTCAAAAAAAAAGATCAACAGGTTTAGACGAATCCATCTGATCCACTGGTAAATCGGTTAACCAGAAATATGATCCAAGTCAATGATTCCTAAAGTTGTTCAACTACGTCTCCTCTGAAAAAGAGATTGAATTTAAATACATTTGTCACAAAAAGATGATTAGTTGCTTTAATTAGTTTTCTGGCTTATTGCTGGAAGCAGATGAACATGCAGTTAAATTATAGTTTTATTATCAATAATCAGTGTAACATAGGTTAAACAGCTTGAGTTTGTCCTCATTTTCGTGCAAATATATATAAATATTCATCCCATCCATAACTCGAAAAATGATAATTCAAAGATTTCGGTTAATTTATGTTTCTTTTTCTATTTCTATTATTGTTTTGGGAAAGGTTTTAATTATTTGGTTATCAATGGGATCTAATTGTTTCTTTTTTTTAAAGGAAGAGAGACAAATTCAAAAGGATTTTCATAATCTATGTAAAAGCGATGTTAGCGATTGTTAGGTTTAATATGAACCATACTTTTCAGTGAATTCCTCATTTCGCTTGCGAATCAACTTGAGTGATTGTTTATCATTTCGTCTTTTAATGAAGATGACTGCAGCCAAACCGCCAGATAACAGTAATAAAATGACAACAATGGCTACTAAAGACCATGTAGCTGCCTGGTAGGATTGAAATTCAGCTTCTGGGAAGTAGGGAGGAATGACAACGGTGCTAGCTTCCACTGTCGAGAATAGATGATTCCAGAAAGCAACCATGCGCTCAGAACGAAACATGTTACCATAATTAGAGCCTTGACGGGTAACGCGAATGTAAGAGCGGGTCGTTGTTTGGTAATTTTGCCAGTTACAAGTTTGCTCTTTGTCTTTAAGGGTTGATAAAATGCAAGAGAGAAGAGTATTTGCTGCCGGGTTGGCCTCAGCGTATTGTTTTGAATAAATTGTTTTAAACAGTATAAATATATCGTCCATGTGAGTGGCTCTGAATTTATCAGCGGTAACATCAGATGGCAGATTTCTCTGAAGCATTCCAAAGGTAATGCGAGGCTGTTTGTCTTCGTAAACGTAAAATTTTGAAATAAGATTGTGACTGGAGTGAAGTTGCAGCGCTTTTTCAGCTGGTAAGCTGTATAAAAAGTCTCCTAATACCTGTTTAAGAAAATGGTTAAACTTTAGAGAAAACCTTTTGAAAGAGGATTTTGATAAATACCTGAACTAAACGTTCATCAACTTGGCCTTGATTGTATCCACGACCAACAGTAGTAGTCTGTCTACCTGATCGGGCTTCTTCTTCGGGAAAATATTGATAATGTGCTAGAGCTGCAAGAACGTCAAGATTTGCATAACGTCTAACAAAAGGTTCAATCAAATATCTAATTTTATCTTGAATTTTACTTATTGCTTGGATTTGCCGGTAATTTCGGTAATAATCAAGAGCACCTTCTTGTTCAGTTATACCAACTATCAATGGTACTCGTGTGAAGAAACCATTTTCAAATTGTATGTGAGGCTCATCACGGAATAATGGATCACTCAAGTTACGATCAATTGTCGGTCGAAAATGCAACCTTTTGGTTCTCGCAACAGCCAAAATTTCAGAAGTAGACTTTTGTTGAAGACATCGACGAATCTGAGTGTATCCACAGCCTAAACTAAGCGCAAGTTCCCGACTAATAATAGATGGTTGATGTTCAAAGGCCCAAGGAGTGAAAACGGTTCCTCCAGAGCAAACAACCGCATTAAAGTACACTAAACAAAAATAAGAAAGGAGAGTTAGCTAAACGATACATCACTAAAACACAACTGTACCTTTATTATAAGTGGACAGCATAAGCATGTTAGCGGCAATCGCACCAGCATCATGGCCCATAAGAATAACTGAATTTGTGTCTCCATGGAATTGAGATATTTCGGATTGCACCCATTGTAGAGCCATAATAATATCTCGTAATCCATAATTACCGTGAACCTCATTGGTGTCAGTGGAAAGGAAACCTTGAATTAATAAAAACAATTGATTAGTAATTAATCAAACTAAATGAAAATGAATAACCAACTCACCCAAAGGTCCTAATCGATAGTTGATAGTTACAAATACAAGAGAGTTAAGGTTTTGAGGTAAAACATCCAGATAATAGAAATCTTTGCCTCCATATTTGAACTCTCCACCATGTAAATAAACTACAACAGGAGCATTTACTGTAACTGAACCCTAAATAATTGATACAAATAAATAGCAATTAGCAAAACATAATTGAAAATTTTCAATGCTTTGATGTAATAATAAGTTGAAGCCTTTTATTTAAAAATTTACTGGTAACTATGACATTATAATCTTTGCGGTTAAGTTGAAGCTGCTTTGTCTCCACTTGTTACATTAATTTCATTATTTGATTGAAACTGGTAATCTGAAGTAATCAACTTGTCACTTTGTTAATTAATAATTATGTGTTTAAGAGGTAGTTATCACTAATCATCAATAAGTCTCAATTGAGGTCGGTTTGAAAACAAAACTCTCTATTTCTCTTCCTCCATCTAACGTGTGATATCTGTTATTGAGATGTAAAATTTTTCATATAGTTTACATGGTTAATCGTTACTAGGTTTAATTACCGGTAATCAAACATCATTTGTTGACAATTAACAAACTCTATATTAGGTTGAACCATTGCTATGAAACAAGAAGAATGAAAGATAAAATAAAGAAGAGTGAATTTACAATTAACTTACAATTGAAAATGGTGAGAGATGAGAAACCAAAAGAGGTTCCCTCTCTTTTTAGGAGCCTCCTCTTTAATCAACAAAACAAATGATGTTTCCGGTTGATATTAACATACATAAATTAATAATTATGATTATTGAAAGACACAAATTTAAAATAAAAATCATATTAATGTCCTAATAATTTAATAATAATTTCCGTGAGTAATTTTAGCAGTTGACTTAACCTAGTCTCTTTATTTTAACGGTAATATTCAAATGTGGGGGACTGCATGTCAATAAACAAATGACTAAACTCGGAGGGTAAAGACTTTAATTGTAATACTTTTTTCCCTAATTTACTAATCAATGTGACAATAGTTAATAACCTTGATGACCTTTTCATTTCAATCAAATTAATCGTACATATGAGTAATAATAAAACAATGGGCAGAACTGGGGCAATTCTGGATGATTAACCATTTAGCATCGATAATCTTGAAATTATTTACTAAACAAATTTCACTTTTTTTCCTCAATCAGATGCAATATAAAAATGACATTGCATAGTTTTAATTTAACAATAATATTAATAATCATCATGATATTGAAGCAAGTCAAGGCGAAACTGTTAATGAGTTGATAAACAATTTTTGTGACTCATTCAATTTAAAAATAACGAGACAAGTAAACAACAAAGCAATTTATCTTTTCAGTTGAACAAAAACAACATGAAAAATGTGAGGCTTGACGAAACAAATTTCAGAATGAATCACAATGATCTTGAAAATTCAAGACTAGGTTGACTTGGTGATGATTATTCATCCACTCATTCCCAGATTAACTTGAGATATACAAACTTTAAAACTGTCAATTTCGATTCGTTTATATCAAACCCTGATACATTGGTTGATTAAACTAATCAAATGAAAGGAATGAAGAACAGTTGAAATGAAGGAAAAGTAACTTACTCGAGTAAGAACTTGAACATTGAGATAAAGACAATCTTCAGATTCACCAATTTGAGGGTCTGACTCAAGTCGGAATCTCTGTTCAACCTGTGGACACATAACTCGACGATTGGTAGCGTCTAGGAAACCAGACCATTTTTCTGGTTCTTTTGGGTTCTTGAAAAGCAAAAGACAATAAAAAGTGTTAAAAGGTGTAAAATGAAGTGATAAAATGGGTTTCAAACTATGAGTAAAAATAAGTGTACAAAAGGTGTGAAGTTGAATTGGAAAATTTCAATTAAATACCGACAATTATGATTGCTGGATATTTCATGGAGCTATCAGTTTATGGCAATTCATTTTAGATTATATAAATGATCATTTTACTTACAGAAAACCGACCGATGCCCACTGGTGGAGACGCATAAGGTATACCAATGAAGGAAGTGATTCTCAAATCACTTGGATAATTTCCCACTGGTGTGTCTCTTCGACCTCGGATTTGACCATAACGAGTACTCACTACTGGATCAATATCATCGATTGACCAGCCGTAGCTTACATTCACAAATGAAATGCCAATAAAAAGGAATGAAAAGAAAACAAAATGAACAATAGACATGATGAAAAGCGATGAACTTTATGGTGTAAAATATGTAAACAAATGAAACTGTCGGACAACAGAAGCAGTAAAACCAACGAAAAAAGCTTAAAGTTTGTCAAGTATTGAAGCCAATTAATCAATTTAGATTGTTATAGCACTAATATTGAATAGATGAACATAAATAGAAGATGTGGAGATGATTGTTAGTTAATGATAATTGTGATGTTGTTGGTCGGTTAAACAGCATTCTGTAAATTAGCTGAAATTGGATGGATCTACTTTAACTTTTATTTAGTTTAGCCAACGGATGTTGAGTGAGGAGGCAAAAGTGAGTTAATCAATGGGAGAAATGATGATGATTGTGAAGATATGGATGAAGATGGAAGTAGGAATGAAAAGCAAAGAAGGTTGATGTTAAACAATAAACAGGCAATTCTTGATAAAGTCTAGTATGAGTAACATTCAATTTCCTACTCTAAGCGGTAGATTAGTGATAGACAGAATCAAACTGAGTAAAGGTAAAAATTGGAGCAATTGCAACCAAACGATCAAACCTTTGACAATTTAAGTGAATTTAAAATGGTCACCATAAATTTTAAACAATAAAGACTCATTACTTACAGACCAAATTTAATTTACATTAACATGTCACCATTAAATCTAAAAATAAGATCTGAATATATTGTAAAGTCCAAGAAATTTTAAAGAAGCATATGCCGAAAATCTGGCTTTCGAGGCAAGAGTTGGGACTTGATGTTTGTTGGAGTATAAAAACTGATTCTAATAGTGCTATTAAAAAATTTCTCCGATCGACATTTCTCGAGATAATCAAGTCCAAAGTTGAAACTTCGAACGTCTTTTACTCAATTATGGAAGCAAATTTTTTTCATAAAAATGACTCTAACTTATGTGAATTTTGATGAACAATCAGAAAATGTACTTATTTTGAACAATAAAACTTTTCTTTTTCTGTAGAACCTATTAGTTCGATTATTAGTTAAATCGATCGCTTTCTGTAATTGTAAGAGTTAGCGATCTGAAACTTCTTATTTGTACATAAAAAATGTCGATTCAAATCATGGGTTAACTATTTTTTACAATTTATAAACAGTTCTCCTAATATTTGCCATTGGCCTTAAAACTTTAAGACTCAATATTTCGATACTGGCATCACCTACAATCATTATTCTTTCAACAAGTTAATCCTTTACTGTTTAATAATATAATTCAATTCAATAATTTTCAATTAGCGCATTTCGGTTATAATTTTCGGGCTTTAAATGCACAACTAACGACTTATTCAACAAAATAAACTCATATAAAGCAATATCTTGGTTTTTAAACCAGTTTTCTGGTTAAAGATATAAACGAAATGTAAAAAATGCTGCCAAAGGCTCGAATATTTGAGAAAAGAGATGAAACTTAACGGAGTTTGTAGGGACAGAAAAACTGAATCCATTGGTACTATTAAATAATCACTCCGATGGACAGTTTTCTAGAAAATTGAGTGTAAAGTTAAAACTTTTAACGCCTTTTGTTCGACTATGCAAGCAGATTTTTCGATGCAACTTCATTTAACTGATGTAACTTTAGATGCTGAACAGGATCATGTACTTATTTTGGTGAAAAAAGTTTTTCGTTTTCTGTAAAACAGTTATGTTCGATTTTCCTTTAAACCGATCTTTTTTGTGACCAAAATTGCTAGATAGCTGAAACTTGTTATCTGTGAATAAAAATTGTTTGCGAACATCATAAATCAAATAATTTTTCATATTTTGTAACAGTTCTCTTTATTTTGGACATTGGCCTTAAAACTTTGAGCCTCGATATTTCGAGAATGGTAGCAACTACAATCTGCATTCTTTGGCCAATTACAAGATTTAGTTTTGAACTATAGTCTGATATGAATACTGGCATTTAATAATGAATTTCAGTCCAACACGCAAGATTTGTATTTGAGTAACCATTTAACTTTATAAATCAATCCCAAATCTGACAGCACAAGTAATGCGACGAATTATGCTTTTTACGCAGGATTTTTAATAATTTATTATTTCAAAATATTGTAGCTCATACTGAAATCTAATGTTTGACCAAAGAATGCAGATTGTAGTTGTTACCATTCTCGAAATATCGAGGCTCAAAGTTTTAAGGCCAATGTCCAAAATCAAGAGAACTGTTACAAAATTGGAAAAATTATTCAAACCATGATGTTTGTAAACAGTTTTTATTGTCAGATAATAAGTTTCAGCTCTTTAAGTATTTTGGTCACAGAAAAAGATCGGTTTAAAGGAAAATCGAACTAATCGGTTTTACAGAAAACGGAAAACTTTATTCATCAAAATAAAATCATCTACTGATTGGCCATCAAAAGTTACATCAGTTAAATGAAGTTTCATCGAGAAATCTGCTTCCATATTCGAACAAAAGGCGATCAAAGTTTTAAATTTACACTCGATTTTCTAGAAAACTGTCCATCGGGTCAATTATTTAATAGTACCAATGGATTCAGTTTTTCTGTCCCTACAAACTCCGTTAAGTTTCATCTCTTTTCTCAAATATTCGAGCCTTTGGCAGCATTTTTTACATTTCGTTTGTATCTTTAACCAGAAAACTGGTTTAAAAACCAAGATATTGCTTTATATGAGTTTGTTTTGTTGAATAAGTTGTTTTAGTTGCATTTAAAGCCTGAAAATCATGACCCAAATTCGCTAATTGTAAATTATTGAGTTGAATTGAATTATTGATTAGTAAAAGGATGAATTGGCGAAAGAATCTGGATCGTAGGTGATGGAAATCTCAAAATATCCAAGTTCAAAGTTTCGATATCGATGGCCAAAATCAAGAGAACTGTTCATAAATTAAAAAAAATGTTTCATCCATAATATGTGCAGACAATTTCTCTGAATGATAAGTTTTAGGTCTCTAACTCTAACGGTCGAAGAAAACGATCGGTATAACTAAAAATCGAACTTATCGATTTTACAGAAACCAGAAAATATTATTTAGCAAAATAAGTACATTTTCTGGTTGATCATCAAATTTTGAATCATGCGAAATGAGTTGCATACAAAAATCAACTTCCATAGCTGAACAAAAGGCGATCGAAGTTTGAACTTTGACCTCGATTTTCTATAAAACTATTCACCAGAATAATTACTTATTACTACCAATGGCCTCGCCTTTAATGTCCCTACAAACTGACCAAGTCTCAACTTTTTATTGAATTGTTCGAGCCTTTGGCAACACTCTTTGCATTTCATTTATTAGTTAAACCAGAAAAATGGTGCATTTATCAAGAGATTGGTATATATGAGTTTGTTTTGTTTTATAAGCTGTTGCTTGTGCATTTTAAGCCCAAAAATCATAACCAAAATGCGCTAATTGAAAATTATTGAATTGAATTAGATTATTAAACAGTAAAGGATTAAATTGTTGAAGGAATAATGATTATAGATGATGTCAATCTCGGAATATCGAAGTTTAAAGTTTTGATGTCGATGGCCAATATCAAGAGAACTGCTTATAAATTGTAAAAAATATTTAACCCATGATTTGAACCGACAATTTTTATGTAAAAATAATGAGTTGCAGGTCTCTAACTCTTACAATTACAGAAAGCGATCGATTTTACTAATAATCGAACTTTTATGTTTTACAGAAAAAGAAAAGTTTTATTGTTCAAAATAAGTACATTTTCTGATTGTTTATTAAAATTTACATAAGTTAGAATGATTTTTATGAAAAACTTTGCTTCCATAATTGAGTAAAAGGCGTTCGAAGTTTCAACTTTGGACTTGATTATCTCGAGAAATGTCGATCGGAGAACTTTTTTAATAGCGCTAATAGAATCAGTTTTTATGTCCATACGAACCAACAGTGCCTAATTCGCAAGAAAATTCATTTTTACACTTATTTGTCCTTTTTTCTTGTAGTGTTTGTGTTGATTTGTGCATAAATGGTTTAAATAGGTTGATTATGTCTTTTAGTTTTAATACAAATATTAGATCAAGACATTGAATTAATTGTTAACATTCATTTACGGTTTTCGAGTTTATCTTTAAAGATTTAAAATTAATGAAAACTATTGTCGATTAACTTGTGAATTTCATCGGATTGACCCTACATTTTGGTTTTGGCTATACATTTAAACATCATACGATTCAAGGATATATTTGTCCATCTAAATTCAATTAAGACGATTGATTTTGAGTTCAAGTTTTGGACGTTTACAAAAATGTTAGCCTTTTTTTGCTAACGATATTCAATATAAATACAATTAGATGATTGTCTTGATACTATGCCTTCCGGAAAGGGAATGATAATGAGAAATCAGATCACAAAATTAGCGTAATAACTTTATTTTTTAAACAAAGAATTGCTTTGTTTGGTTGACAAAAAATTATAAATTATCTAGATATAATAATGAATACAAATGTTTGCACTTTTATGATTGTTTATTATATTCAATAATAATGGATTTTGTTGTGTATGCAAGGATCGATAACATTGACATTTAGTTCATTAGGACAAGTTTTTTGAGAAAATAATTTGGAAGCAACGATAATACGAAATAAATTAATCAATATTGGGCCTTGCAAGTTCGTTTAGAAAAAAAATCAGTTCATAAAAATTATAACAAGTATTACAAAAATCATCTTATAAAATATTTTATATTAATTTCATTCCAAAGCCTCAGCTTCTTTCAGTGACTGTATAAGTATAGCAAGTTTCTCCTTTGTTACACAAAATTCAACAATTTCCTTTGATCCAGATCTATCTAATTTCAATTTAACTAATCCTAATTTGGTGTTCACTTTGAATGACTCGGTTCTTAATCCATTTATCACCTCTGTTTCAACATCTTCAAGTCTATTCAATCGTAAACTTTGACTTTTCAGGGCATTTCTCATATCATCAGCTTTCTCGGAATATACTTTAGCGATTGCAGTAGTATGCTCTGTAAGGAGTGAAGAAAAAGGAAAAAATTATTCAATTTTTAAGCTCAAAGAAGTGTATTGATACTGACCTTTCGGTAAACCTAATTGTTGAAGCTCAGCTACAACAATTGAGTGGTCCACATTGAATCTCCAAGCACTTTTAAGAATGAATGAAGCGACCATAAAACAAGCTCGACTGTCACTTTCATCAAATTTGGCATCACTAGTAATTTTCAGCAGCTTGTCAAAATCTATCTCTTTTTTTCCAACATCAGTAACGACTAAATTACAAATGAGTTTTACTTTAACGGAACTCAATTTGGCTAGTAGATTTAAATTTGCCATAACCCAATCTGGACAATCAAGATCGCCAAATAGTTTGAATTTCTGTAAAAAAGGGTATAAAAAGGTAGGATTAGCTAAGGAAATTTTCTGTAAAATGAACAACATACCATGATTATTATTGAATTATTGAGTAACGATGGTGTAATTTAACATAAACAATTTAATTTGTATGAGTAACCGGTGGGAGTTGTGTGAAGAGTACAGCTGATGCTATTTGTCACACTTTTAACAAACCCAAAATGAAGCGGTAAACATTGCATTGGAAGATGTTGAAGGATAGTTTCCTTGAAATACTCACATGTTGTCATGTGCTTACCTATTGTTTACATCTGTATGCTATCTGTATTCAAATTTTAATTGTTATGATATAAAATCAATAAAACTTAATTGTTTGCATGTTAATTTAATAGTAAATTAAATTTTTTCAAACTTCATTTTAATGCAATATTTAACTGATTCAAAATATCAAAGTCACTTCTCTCTGTAATCCATGTCTTACTTACAACTGGACTAATTTATTTAGTGAATTTATTGTGAACGTTACTAAATGGCTTATCGTTATTTAATTTGGTTTTGCCAGGAATGTCCTGCTTTCAGACTAGCTGTTAGTATACTTGTGACAATCATTGATTGTTTATTAATTTATGATGCACTTGCTTTCAATTTGCATCTCATTTCATGAAATAAATTTTCATTTTATTTTTCTTCAGGAATTTGAAGCTTTATTAACATTATTCAAATGCGAGGCAAAAATTTGTTGTCCAAACAAAGAAAAGGTAAGTTTATATGATCCTGTTCAATCAAAGGAAAAATAATAACAAATCAATTTTGTCTATATCTACAGCCTTTTCTTGTTGTTCAAAGCAATCAGAGGGAAGACGAGGAAAAACTTATTCAAGTTACAAAAAGGTCAGTTTGCGTACGATCATTAATCCATCTGTGGGCTGACTCAACATCCCGTGAAGCCCTGTTTTCACAACTGAAAAACTGCGAGTTCATCAAGCAAAAAGAGTACGCTGGCAAAGAAAGATCTTTCCGAATAAACGTTGACACATATGGGAAAAAAATTACTCTCCAAACTAAAGTTGATAAAATTGAGGAACTTGCATTCTTGCCATTTGAAGGTCCGATCAACTTGAATAAACCTGATAATAGTTTCCAGCTGATAGAATATTATGGATTATTGTCCAATTCAGCTCCAGATGAACCATATGAACTTTATTTTGGGCGTTGGCTAGCTGATGGTGGTAGAAGATTCTCACTTGATGTTAGTTTAAAAGAACGTAAATTCATAAGCAATACTTCAATGGTTCCATGGTTAACTGCTATTATGTCCAACCTGGCTCTAGTTAAAGATGGTGATGTTGTTATTGATCCCTTTGTTGGTTCTGGGTCTTTGTTGATTGCTGCCGCCAAATTTGGAGCTTACACGATTGGAAGTGACATTGATTATTTATTACTCCATGGTAAAAGAAAGCCATCGCGTCGATATGTAAAGCAACGTGATCCAGATGAAAGTGTGTTTGCAAATTTTGCACAATATGAGATAACTTCTCAGTATCTTGATGTTATTGTTTCCGATGCTTCCAAGCCCTGTTGGCGGCCATTTGAATTTGATGCTATTATAACAGATCCGCCGTATGGAATCCGAGAAAACTCTCGAAAAATCGGAACTGACAAATATGATATGACTTATAAAGTTCCCGAAGAATATATCGATTGTCATTATCCATCCAAAGTACTGTACCGATTTGAAGACATACTCAAAGATTTATTTGCCTTGGCTTTGAAAAATCTAAAAATTGGTGGCAGATTAGTCTTCTGGATACCAAGAATTACTGATTATAAAATGGAAGATAGCTTACCTCATCATCCATCATTTAAATTGATTTCTTGTTGTAATCAAGACATGAAGTTAAATGTTTCAAGAGTTTTGGCATGCTATGAAAAATTGTCAAATGAATCCAACAATGAAATTTTTATACCTTATGTAATTAAAAATTTTAGGGAACTTTATTTTACAGGAATAGCAGAAATGAGTCGAAAAAATAAAACTAACAAAGAGAAATAATCTTTTTGCCCAATATTAAGAATAAAGAGCTTGATTTTTCATAAACTCACCTGTTATTCATCTAATTTATTCAATCACATCTGTCCAAATTCAACTGAAATAGAGCCAGTTGAAATATATAACGTTTCTTCAGATATTCAGTGTTATTTGGAAGGCGATTGAATGAATTGACTATCATATGCATTGCTGTTGCATTCTGGATTATCCAAATGATCCATAATTGCATGTTAGGTTAGCGTTTCACCTTCAAAAATTAATCCATGAATTAAAATTCGACTCTTTATCCGATTCAGATTAGACCAAAAAATCAATTTCATCCGAGCCAACTCCAAGAAAAACATCGTTAAAAACAGCTTTCCCAATATGACTTCCAATGTGATCTAATTTTAACTAAACATCAGGTTTAATAGATGAAGATTTACAGGTGGATAACATGGCCTCGTTTATTAGATATAAAACTGGTGACACTGAGTTTTCGCTATAAGTTTCAAGTTCCTTCATTGTATTGAAAGGAAAATTGCTTAAGCCTTCAGGTGAATTACGAGCATCGATTAGTCGATTGAACCAAGTTTTTGTCAGCTTACCAGAGCATAACCGATCGCACTAAATAAAAGATAGATGAAAATAAATGTAATTTTCAGACACAAAGGATCAGAATTACAGCAAAATACCTCAGAAATCTCATGAAGAAGAGGTTGATTCCATGTTCAGGTTTTGTTGACATCGTCCTCACAGAATATAAATAATTATTTTTGAAGTGGAGTATGTTTTCAGGTATTTGCCAATTTCCCATCGAAACCATATATCAGAGATGTTGAGACTGAATTGCACCTCTTCCACCAGAAGCGAACCATGATCGTGCGTGTTTGCTGGAGATATTAATAATTTGATTGAGATTTTTATTTAAATAAACTTTTTATTTGTTTGAGAAAGATTTAATTTTAGATTTTTGATTTTTGATTTAAATTTGACTTTTAATTTGGTCACTGTTAATAATTATTTGTTGCAGGTCGTTCAGGTCCTTTGATTATTTGATTTCACAGGTCGTTTTAGGAGGAAGGTATCATGGTAAATGATTTGAACGTAGATCAAGAACGTAATAATTATTTGTTAATTATTGTAAGAGAGGAGAAGAGATGAATAAGCTTAGCGTATGGATCAGCTCACTGTAAATCACTTGAATAATAGTCAATTTAATTTACAATTGTTAATAAAATGAAAAGGTGAGTAGAATCACTGACACTAGTAAACACAGGTAAGTTAATTCAAGGCATTTACTCACTGGATGACACTGTTTACAGCAAAGAGATTGGGAAAAGGAGGAAAAGGTTGATGATGTTGATGTTGGGAAACGAAGAGAAATGAAAATGAAAGAGTCGTCTCTATGTTACCATAAAACTCGATTATCGATCTATGTTCATAAGTTTTTGTCATGATAGAGAAGATACTTGCGTGGTCTGCTTTTTTGCTTGCTGCTACTTGTCCTATCCTTGAATCGCTGAGAAATTTTGGATTCCCAAATATCTGTGACTATTGACAAAACTAAACAACAATTTTAGCGGATTTAAATTTTATTGAAATCAATCTTTTTTTACCTGTTAACTCCTAAAATATCATATCTTTATCCAGTGTTTACCCAATTGATAGCATCTTTAACCAATCTCAACCTTATTTCAATCTCAATCTCTTCCCATCATTTTACCAACAACCAACCATCCATAGTTTAGTGTTATCATTATTCAATTTTCAGTGTAATCTCTCCGTGTTTCCAGATTAACATCAACAATATCTCTGTTTAATCAACAGTCAGTGATTATTAAATTGTAATCTTCATCTTCACTTCCATCATCTTTAGGCAATCTCTTCCTAGTAATTCACATTAAATCATAATGTAAGTCCATCTTGAAAAATCAATCCAATATTCTGTTTATAACAGAGTAACACAGGGAAGCAAGAAAGAGCTGAAGACAGACGATTCAGAAAGGGAATCTTTTTTTCTCATTGAAGCCTTGAATAATCTTATTATTTGTCTTTCTTTCTTCCTTTTATCATCTTTCTATTATTTTTAATTCTCTCTCTCTCTCTCTCTCTCTAAATCATCTTTACCTTTCATCCACTTCTTTTGTTTTACACCAAAATCGAGTCTCCCTTGTAACCAACTGATTAACCTTTTCCTCCTAATTGTGTTTACCAACAACCTATCATTTATAGTTCAACCTTTGTCCACCTTTGTCATTTAACCTCCTTAGTCCAATATCATAGGTACAACATGCAATTAGCTTGAAACCCAATTTTACCCACTGATTCCAGCAGTCTCATCCTTTTCATCATTTCACCTAATAATACCTACAACCTTTATCAGTCTCTCATCTTGTTGATCACATTTTTTCTTATCCAATCAATATTAAGCAGAAAATATTGATTCATTTATTCAGCCGGAGACAAAATTACTCCTTCAATACATACTCATTCAACTCCACTAACAGCCAGCTATAACAATAAAACTGCTAAAAATAATCGAAAGTCTGCCATTAAAATTTACATGTAAAACAGTAAATTTGCCACTAACCAACCATTCAATTTGTGTTTAATTAATTGCACCGGATTTTAATTAAACAACAGCTTTCATGATATGCATCTCACCAAGCTTTAGCCCTTGAGATGAAAACCATTTAATATAGACTCTTGAAGCATAAACGACTTAATCCAGCATAATTTTGCTGATGGATTAAGAAAAATTGTGTTTCGTTTTTTTTTGGCAAATTTTCATAAAATTGATCATTTTTCATTTGATTTTTTTATTTGAGAATAATTTTTGATTTCTTTTAAACTCTTTTTGTCATTAGGCCTGGAAAACAAGACGATAAAGATGTCGAGAAAGGTCACCCAGATGCTGAGAAGCAAGGCGATGAGGATCCAGATAAACCTAAACCCTCTCAACATGTACAGATTGCCCAGAAAAGGATGCAACAAACTCAAGCTCAGGTTGATGAGGTTACAGAGATAATGAGGATGAATGTAGAGAAAGTATTGGAACGTGATGCCATGATATCACAATTAGATGAAAGAGCCGATGCTCTTAAAGAAGGTGCCGAAATGTTTGAGAAACAAGCTGGAGCCCTTAAATCCAAATATTGGTGGAAAAATGCTAAAATGATTGCCGTTATGGTTGGTGTTGGTTTGGTCTTTGTCCTGGTTATATTTGCCTGGTTCTCTGGAAATTAAATTACCATCACCCACCTCCACCAACCACCACCACCAACCACCAGCAACATCACCATCACCACCATTTTAACCTCGTATTCCGTAAAATTTTGAAACCAAAGATAAACCAAAACAAAAAAACCTAAATGATACCAAACAAGAAAGACAAGCGAAACATCGCCAGTTTTTGGGACAGAAGGAGATGAATTGAGAGTGAATCCACCAAAATGTCAAACAAATACACACCATTATGATAGATGCAGTTACAGAATTTAAAAATATATTATAAATAAAACGAGAAGTGATCATCATTCATGAAACATCAATATCATAATCAGCAAGAAAGTCATCACTTTGATCATTCCAAAAATATTAAGCTCTTTTAGCTCAACAATTTAATTTGCTGTTACTCCTTGGGAAGATGAAGATTGTCGAATCGTCCAGAATGTTTATTCCTGTTCATGTTTTCGTTGATCGTCATCATCATCCATTGTTTGATGGCAACAGCAAGAAATCAGCAAACAATTTGATGATGAAGTTTAAAATGATTGAAAACAAAGATCCAAATCACTGCAACACCTTCAAGATGATTGGATTTAACCACAAAAAAATGTTATATAACATTAACCCAAGCACATTACATCAAGACATTCGGCTTCACCATAATTTGTCTTCACCATTCCATCATTTGAATCACCTTTCCATCATCTTCTCCGTTTTATTGGCTTTGTTTTACTATCATCTTCTTCATCTTTCAAGAGTTTTAATGAACCCGAAAAATTTTAATTAGTGGTTAAATGAAGTTGTATTATCTTACCTTGTGACAATTGTTTTACTGGATTAAGGATTGAAATCTTTGAATCTCCATTTTTGAAAAGCAAACAAAAAGTGTCTCGCAATCGTGAAAAAAAGATTGAATAGTTTACAGGTTAAATAAAATGTTATAAAAATGATTCCTTTTGATTAAATCCTATTCCTTGAGTAACAAAATCAAAACAATCCTCTAATTTTCCCATGATATTACTCATATTATCACTCCATGTCAATCTCTCTGAGTAACAAAACCTCTTCCTATTTGCACTCTTGTCAACTATTATGTTTTAATTTTCAATTCCTGGGGAAAAAATGTTTTGTTTGCAATGAGAAATGCATTGAAATCGCAAATCCATTATTCACAATCAACAAAAATGAACATATACACCAGATTTGATTGTATTTACAATGTTAATTGTTGCAAACAAACAAAACTCAACAAATTTTCTGGCTTGAAGTAAATAACTAACTAAATTGAAAATACAAACAACATAACAAATTTTAATTTTGTTTCCCTCCGTACAAAAAAAGAAACAACAAATAAAAAAAACATGATAGATAAACAAAAATGGATGAAACCATGAAGAGAAAATCATAAATAAATCTTTTTTTCTTTTGTGTATATCTATGATTAAATATGTACACATAAACTAAGCCTATTGATTCAACCATCATTTCATAAATTGCGATTGGATTGATCAACGATCATTGATCAATCAATCAAACAAAATTTAATTATTCAATGTTTGCAAATTCAAAATTTATAATCTCACTGTCGCGATTGATTGTTGTCGAAATTTCGTAGTACTTTTACTTTTATTGGTGATTTAAAGAACTAAATTTATGTATATTTTGAAGACAACTTATTTCTAAATCCACTCTACTCACAAGAACAACTCGATTCGTGAATCCTTTAAACAATACGACCATATTTCCATAATTTTGATCGTAAAAGTAATGAAATCGGAAAAAACAGATCTTTTCTACCCCAGTTCGTTTTAGAGACGTCGAAATTGTTTTTCCTCAATTTATCCAAAAATCTTTCCAAAGTAATTATCGGAAGAAATGCTGAGGTAAATTGTTTAATAGAGGAATCTTGCGTTAATTTTTTAGCCTTGACTAGATGTTGGTGTGATAACGAAGCAATATCAAAATAGACTTCTTTCAACGCTGGATTTGTGTTTATATTGCTTTTCAGCAAATCTTGATGAGTAACATTATGTGTCGCCAATAATTCGGACGGAACATAGCATCGATTAAATCTGGCATTATGGATTATACCACGAATAACATTAGCTAATCCTTGAGCTTTACCAATATGGCTTCCAATGTGATCTAATTTTAACTGAATATCAGGTTTAATAGATGAAGATTTACAGGTGGATAACATGGCCTCGTTTATTAGATAGAAAACTGGTGACACTGAGTTTTCGCTATAAGTTTCAAGTTCCTTCATTGTATTGAAAGGAAAATTGCTTAAGCCTTCAGGTGAATTACGAGCATCGATTAGTCGATTGAACCAAGTTTTTGTCAGCTTACCAGAGCATAACCGATTGCACTAAATGAAAGATAGATAAAAATAAATGTAATTTTCAGACAAACGGATAAGAATTACAGCAAAATACCTCAGAAATCTCATGAAGAAGAGGTTGTTGCTGTGGCGAAGGATGCTCGGTAGATTGTCCAAGGGCCAAAGCATTTTCAATACCATCATACCAAAATTGGAACCTCATCTTTGCAATAGTATCCATGGTTGTAACATCTCTGATTTGCGAGATTTCTGTATTGAATGCTCTGATGGCAAAACCAGTTCGTCGAGTGATAGGATCATCAATGAATTTGGTGTTGTAGAACCCTTCAAAATCATATTTTCTGAAATAGATGAGTATAAATAAATGCATGAAGTAAATATCAAATCAACTCACAGATGCACAGAAATCAAAAAACGATTTGATCACAGTGTAGAAAATTTTAGAATAATTCTTACCTTAAAATATATATGCAATAATGTCTAGGAAAATTAACATCTTGAACAATTTTCCTAGTATCTGCAGGCTAAATAAAAATCATACAGTTAGTGTTTGTTACCATGTCTGTCGATTAATTTTACCTGTTGTTTAGGCATTTTAAAACCGTTGCACGTAAAAATCACTATCGAAGCATAATTTAATTCGTAAAAATTTCCATGGCAAATTCATCAAACAGTCAAATTAATATGATTGAAGTAAAAGAGAAAGTTATCTTTACTCCAAAACTTCTACAACAGAACACATGTTTGATGTAAACAAAGTATGAGAGAGGCAAAGTCTCCACTTCTGAGCCTCTTTTTGAATGAGAATAATTTTTATGTTAAGTTTCTTCTTTCGACTGGATTAACGTTTAATTTACATTTTTTACATTTACATTTAATTTGAATTATGTCGCGGAAGAATGCAGTAGTGTTCGCTAAGCCTGAAGAGCCTGCTTTTTTAAAGAAAATCAAAGCAAAAATTGGTTATAAGGAAGGACCAAATATTGATACCAAGGTTTGTTTATATGCATTTTCATAGTTTCATTGTAAAATTTAACTCAACCTTTTTAATTGATTATAGAATGAAAAATTACCTGACGCTTCGGATGATGATTATGCTGATCGAGACGATGAAAAGCCAGTTGTGGTGTTACCCAAAAATAGTAAAATAACTGAACAAGAAGCTCAAGAATTCATCAAAAGTAGCGGTAAGGAGTTTCAATCTTTTAATCGTGATACAGTATTTGATTAAGTGTCTATATTTTTAATTTAGGAGAAGATAATGCTGATGATGGTGACGACGATGACGATGATGATATCAGTCGAAATAAATATGAAGATGATGATTTGAAAAATGAGCCTGAGTCTGGGGGAAGACTGATTTTCAAGAAGCCGGACAAAACAAGGGATGTCGAATCAACCAACAAAGGAGCCAAAAGGATTAATGATGATAGATTGTCTTTTCGATCTAAAACTGCTAAATTAGAAGATAATAGAAAGAAGGTTACAAACAGTAGACTTTTATCGTTCGGAGAAGATGAAGAAGATGAATGATCATTTTTCTCAATGAAAAATCCTCAGCTATTGATGCTACTCATTTTCAATGGTATTATCACCTCATTAAATAATCTTTACTTTATCACATTCATTACATCACATGGAAGCTATCAACTATTCTGAATTAAAAACTCAAGTCCTCATTAAACACTACATACATGTACTCATGGATCGAAGCAAAAACTCATTAAGCATTAAGCCTCACCAAAATCAATGGCAAACTCGATAACTAGGAACCTACGGCTTAACCTACGAAATACGAAACAACGAGAAGTCGAAAGAAGAAACGATCAATTTAGAATTCAATCAAAATTAGACAATCAGATAATTTTTTTGTTGTGTTTGTTATAATTTTGCGATTTTTTGTATTTCCCTCCCTTTAAATGGTGAACTATTACGGATAGGCTGGTTACTGATAATCGGCTACTTGATTGATGAAATAAAGTAACAAATCCTGATTAGTTTTTGGTTGCGGCTTATCTGTATGGGAAAAGTAACCGGAAACAAATTGCAGGTAGCTGACCAGGGTTCCTGTTTTGATTAGTGACCAGAAGATCTGTAATTTCAGTGCATTTAAGTGTATCTGTTTGGATCTACTCTTATTGAGTAGGATCAGCTCGGGAATCGGGATCCCTTACTCGGTGAAATATTAACCGGCTTTTAATAAATCGTTACACGTGCTGTTTTCATCTGTTTCGGTTTTGAATTTTGCTGTTTATTAAACATCTCGGTTTATTTTGATAATTTTTTATTGTTCATAAACATTCAAGATTGTATATAATTTGAAATATTTGAATCATGCAGCATGACGATGTAAGTAAAATGAATGATTCGATATCATAAACATCTGTTAACATCTACTTTCTGTTGTTATTTTGATTTTAGGTTATTTGGAATACTTTAAGAGCTGGTACCTGTTCTTATAAAGTAAAGTAAGTTTAATCATTTTGGTAATTCAGTTGAATTTTATCTAATGTTTATCCTTCTATTCAATTTTTACTTAATTAGGACGACGACTCAAGATTTCTGTAAAAATGACTATAATGTTTATGGATTATGTACCAGGAGCAATTGTCCTCTTTCCAATAGTAATTATGCTACTGTTAGAGAAGAAGAAGGAGTTTGCTATCTCTATGTTAAAACGATTGAAAGAGCTGCTTTCCCAGCCAAGATGTGGGAAAAAATCAAATTGCCTAAAGATTACCAGGAAGCCTTAGCTGAGATTGACCGTCAACTCATTTATTGGCCATTCCATGTCAAGGATAGATGCAAGAAACGATTGACAAAAATAACGCAATATTTAATACGAATGAGGAAAATGGCTACTAGGAGGCAAAAGAAATTGATTACTATGCCAAGAAAAATTGAAAGAAGAGAAAGGAGGAGAGAGGTTAAAGCCTTGCTCGCCGCTAAATTAGATAATGCTATTGAAAGGGAATTGTTGGAAAGGTTTGTTAGATAATTTGAGTGGTTTATAATATTAATCACACCTGATAACTAATTTTTTGTGTTTGCTTTTCCAGATTGAAACAAGGAACTTATGGTGATATGTATAAATTTCCCGAGACTGCTTTTGACAAAGCTATTCAAGATGAAGATGGGGAAAGTGAAGTCGAAACAGAGGAACCAAGTACTTCAAAAGAAAGCGCAAAAGAAAAGAAAGTCCAATTTGTCGCTGCGGAAGATTTCGATGAAAGTGATTCCAGTGATATGGAAGATTACTCAGATAATGATTCTTCTGATATGGATGAAACCGAATCCGAAGATGAAGAAGAAGTAGCTCTAGAAAGGCTGAAGAAAAGCAGACCACGAGTTGTAATAGAGTATGAAAAACCAAAAATTGTCGCAACCAAGAAAAATTAAATAAATTTTGATTAACTTAACAATTATTGTCATTTATTTATCATACATTTAAAGAGTAAATAATGTTAAATTGCAAGAACTTGGCTGTAAAAAATTACATTGAGTCAAAAGTTATTAAAATTGATGCAAAAAATGGAGGCTCCCATCCCAATCAGCTTAATCAACCTCCGAGAGGCTAACATGCTAATCTGATGAGCAGTCCTCCTGCACCATTCCTAGGTGCTCGAGTCCATTGACTCAAATCTAACCACACACAGGGTTAATTTCAATACCTCACCTTTCGAGGTTTCAAACAAGGACTTCAAGCCTTGAACATGGGATCTAGACGTACGTCAGTGCTTCACTTGAGCCAACTGAGCTATAGAACTCCCCGAAATCAAAGTGAACAAATTATAAACAGATCATTGAAGTAAAATTTAAACTTTTTTAATATTATTGTTTAATTTGATATTTGTCTACTGAATTAATTTTATTTATTGATTGATTAATCTGCGTCAATTGTTTATAATTAAAATTTATCCAAAAAATGGAGGATTCAATGTTGATCGGCTTAGTCAACAATGAGGCTAACATACCAATTCCATTGACGACCCTCCTGCCAAGTCTTCAACGCGAGTCTATAACTATCCGGAAAGCATTGACTCTCAGAACCTAGGATACTTCTGGAGTTGAACTTGGATGGGTGGCTTAGGGCTAGGACTACACTTGAGTCAACTGAGCTACTGTAGCACACCCAAAAAATGGCGTGTGAAAATTTCACTCCAATCATTGAAGCATAATTTAAAATTGATTTTTTTACCGTTTTTGTTTAATTTGGTGTTTATAATTACCAAAATAATTTTATTTTATGAATAACTGTATCAATCTTTTTAAACTGATTGTTTAAAATAAAAGTAGATCAAAAAAATGGAGGCTCTCACCCTAATCAGTTTAGTCAACTGTGAGGCTAACATACTAATTTGATGTAGAGACCTCCTGCACCAGTATTGGTGCGAGTCATGGCGACTCACTAACCAGTCTAGGTTAGTACCTCTAGAGGTAGAGGTCCTCTAGTAATAACTAGAGGTTTCAAAGCAGTCTAGCTTTGAACATGGGACTTTGACGCACTGTGCAACACTCGAGTCAACTGAGCTAACCCTCGAACCCAAAATAATTACCAGCAAATTTAAGGCAAATCATTTAAGCAAAATTTAAACTTGTGTGTTTCGTTCAATTTTACATTTACTATTTACTGCAATAATTCATTTCGTGAATAACTTTAGAAACAATTTTGTCGGGTTAATCAGTAAGCTATTGATATTTGGCCGATAAAATTTACTCTTGAACAATCAAAATTACAATAAACTCTAGATTCAATTAGCAATGCAAGTCGTCAGTTAAATTGTAAATTTCATCAAACCAGAGTCAATGTAATGGTTAAACAATAAGTTTAGCTACAGTCGAGTCCCTGAAATTGTCCATCAGTTGTTTGAGGTCGAATGAGGCGCGACATTCAAAAGACACCAATAAAAATTACTAATCAAAACACAATTCAATTCATAATTATGGTTTTTTTTATTTATAAGAGATGGTGCTGATATCGAATGGACAGTTTTAGGAACCGACAATTTCAGGGACTCGACTGTATTGAAACAAGTTGCAAATGGTAAACACACCAATCATATGGCACCGTAATCAACAGCAATAGATGCTAACTCTAATCAACTATCAGATTGACATTCAGATAAGCATTGAGCTGAGCCGTGACACGTTTATTGTACATTGTATTATGATAATAATTATATTATTTTCATAATAAATTGAAATAAAATTAAACTTGAATTTTTCTATTTTCGCGCAACTCAGATTAAATTGATAGCCACGCCATCTATCAGATGAATCTTGTAGATGTAAGGTCAACGAGAGTTTTGTTGATAATTTTTGTTTTTTTATTGATTGTTTCGTTTTCCGACTCCTTTTGAGATGGGTGCTGAATTTTCAAAGGATGCTTTCGATTTCTCCCTTCCTCACCACCGTGGCTATCCAGATGCCAAAAAAGACTCTAAATATGACCCTTTATATGGATTTCCTAGAGGTAGAAAAGTGCGACAATCTTTAGCCACAGAAGCTGAAATGGAATCTGCTGGTTTGCCCGATGAAAAAAGAGATTATTGTGCTCATTGGGTAATCAAATATGATGCCTGTGTTCGAGATAATTTACCTTTCCTCCGAACTTGTAGCTACTATAAAGAAGGCTGGCGTGATTGTCAATACAATGAGTAAGTATAAACTGTACTACCATTAGACCTAGCTTGTTACAAATCTTTGTTGTGTTATGTTTATTTCAACATTACACTTGATTATATCTGAGATTTACTAATTTTCTTATACTTTTTTTTCTACCTGCAGTATGGTTCTTAGAATGAAGGAATATGAAAGAGAAAGACGGTTGGACGCCAGACAGGCTAGAATAAAAGCAGCATTAGCAGCCGAACAAAAAGGCGAGATTACTGCATAGATGTTTTTGATCGATTCTTTCGATATTTAATGCAATTATATAGTTTGTAAAATAATAGTCGAAATATGATCATCTGGATTGGTATAATATTATAAATGTTAACTTTAATCGCTGATACATCCGGTTTGATATAAAATTTTAATGAAATTCTTGTTTGAAAACGTGCTTTTATTAATTCTAGTTGAACCGAATTTTGTGCATAATGCAGTTAGCTTTTTTAGATTTTTATTGTAGTAAATACTGAATAACAAATCATGTTCAAAACTTATACAAATCTGGGTTTAAAGAAGTGAAGTACTGGTTGCTGGTGAGCTGGTGAGCAGGCTTTAAATTCGAATGGTATTAAGTAGTCCCTGAGCTCCTTTATATAGTTCTGTATCGCATAGCTCTTCGGATTCCTGTAAGCATCAGAATTGCAAGAAAATCAATGAAAAAGCGAATGAAAGTTGATAGATCAATTGAAGTAAAATTTAAAGAGTAAAGATTTCATGTAAAGATGAAAGCAATATTCACATAGCAAACATGACTGTTACCAACAGTCTGTTAGTACAAAAGTGTATGAAAAATCAGCAAAATTCTTGTTAAATCGTTTGGCTTGAGCGGTAAAAATACGGTTAGGGAGAACAAAGAAACTCTAGATGATTTCAAATAATGAATAATTTTCTTACCAGAACGAGTGATTTTAAATCCTCATAAGCTACCTCAAATCTTTGCTTACATCCTGGTATCATATTCAAGGTTTCTTTCAGAATAGTTTCCTGGAGGAATAAAAATATTAGAGTTGATTTAATATAAATTCATTTTTTACAAAGCCCACTATCAATAGAGTTGACAATAATAAAAAAATTAAAATAAATTTACTTGATGTTCTATTTCTTTCGGATGAGCATTCTCAGACTTTAAACCGTCTAGTTTAGTTGTTTCATCAGTTGCTTCCTTTTCATAGCATAATAGTTCCTTGTGTAGCCTAAATAAAGCAGAAATTCGATGATTATTAAATTCTTGACAGCAATAATAACGGACTTAAACAGAAACATTGAGGTCTAGATGGGTACCAACACACACATCAAGACAACGATGAAATTCATTAAATATTCATTTGAAATAACAGCTTACCTTTTCAGCACACCAGTTTTAATTCTCAATTGTTTCAATCGGACATCATTAGGGTCAATAGCACCTTCCGTTGTAGCCATGTTAGAAGACAATTAACTTTTGAAATTAACCTTCAATCAAATGCACAAATCTGTTAATAAGTCGACAAAAAGAGTCTTGTGGAGAGATTAAATTTTATTTGCAACAGACATTTATTGGCTGCTAATAAATGGAGGGATATTTGAATAATTTTCCCGTTAATTTCATCCAGTCTTTGGTATCAATTATATAATGGTATTAATGAATCATTAAATAGCATTAATTATTTTCTTTCCCTTTTCATATTCAAAAATTTGATTTTCATTCAATATACAAATCATTTAATATCAACAATAAAAGAAAGTGTAAGTTATATAACACATGGCATGGATACAGCAAGAAAAGGTAAAATACAAAGCACGGTGTGACAAAATTTCTGAGACAACTTGAGACAAAACGAGTTGATATTTATTGCTGAAAATAGCAATTTACGAGATCTAAAAGTGTTGAGCTGACTATTTATCAATTTTAATAGGAACTATTTGTGATTTGTGAGGTTCCATTAGTCGCCCAGTCACGAAGAGCTTCCATTGATTCATAGCCTAATTTATCAGAAACGGTGAAAGCAAAGATGAGAGCCAATCGATTGCCCCAGAAAAGCTCAGTTACTTCATGAGGATTCTCAAAGCCAGAAGTCCAGGCAGCAAATCTACCCATTTTAGGTTCAATTAAAACAGGTGAATAAGGTTCTGGTCCAGGTCCATTGAGAAACTCAGTATGTCCGCCTCCAAAGTCAAGATTAGCAGTTGATAACCATAAAATAGAGGTAACAATCAAAGCTGGTGAGCGAACCTTATCAACGTGTCTAAATTCATTGTGTTTAACCAATGGTCGATATCGTGTAAATTGAGAGACCATGTTAAAGAATAACCTTTCAGTTGGAAGGCCAAAAGCCGTTGATACAGCTTCCTGGAAAGAAAGAGAGATAAACAGATCGTAAAATTAATTCATCAACATTGAAACAAAAGATTACTGAGGAAACCTGAGCAAAAAAAGCTAATTGTTCCACTACAATTAAACAATTTACTTACTCTTGCAGCTAGCGAAGCATTCCGGATAAGATCAAATTCAACATCTCTAAGCACTCTTTTGGTGGCATTGCGTTTATACAAATTGTGAAGGTTAATCCATTGAAGATTGATTGACTCTCGATTAGCATAACTAGTGTCACCAACTTTGTCAATCACTTTAGTGGCCAAAGATCGAAGCTTGAGAATCTGATCATTAGGAAGAAGATCATCAGTGACCATAACACCACATCGCTCAGGAAGGACATTTAATCGCTTCTCTCTCCAATAAGCCTTCTCATAACACGGAACTTCATGGATACTGTTTGAAGACAAATCATTAGTTATTGAATATTTTTGACAATTTCAGCATGATTAGACATTAAGATATTACCACTAATTGGGTGATCGATCTATCATAATTAATGTCAACTTGCATGCATAAAAATTATTTTTGATTTACTATTGAAGTTGTGAGCTCAAGTGAAACCCAAAATCAACCTTTAATTTGAAACAATTGCAATAACAATTCAGGTCCTGTTTCTTTGTGCTAACTTAATTTCTTCCTGATCAAATCATATTATTATCAGCATTTACCGTGTGTCTGAATACAAAATTAATTGAGTGAATCAAATAATGAACAGTTAAGATTTGAACTAAAAAATGAGTTTATTTATAAAATTAAGTATGCAGTTAGCAAATGTCTAGTTGTAATCCTTATTGTGCCACCAAGTAATTGGCCTGAAGTCAGGGTTTCAATCAAAAAAATCATCTCTGTTGAAATTATAAGAAGAAACAAGACAAATGTTGGAATCAGATTATTCAATGAGAATCAAACTAAAATGTAATTAAATTTCCTAACCTAAATAAAATTTGGATTTCAATTTGAAAATATTAGTAAAGCAACTCCAAGACATTGGTCAAAATTGAAACTAACATTGAATGGACGGTTGAAAACAAGAAATCTAAAAGTCTAAACTAGTGATTTAACGAGACAAACAACAATTTACAAATTTAATTGCTCACCTTATTTCATCAAATTGCTGGTCAGCAGTTGCTAGAAAGTTTCGATACTCCAAATCTTCACCAGATTGTAGTCTTTCCAATTCATCTTCACTGAAAACCCATTGTTCCCATGGTACAACATAAAATAAGGTTATAAGAAGTCCACTAACCGCACAAATGGTCAAGAAGTTAGCAATAAAGGTGACAATTGAGCGAGGTGAGGCAACATTGGTTAAATTAGATGATTTCCCATTAACACTGTTTGATTCTTTGGTTTTGTCGGGTTTGGCTTTGTTGGCTGTGGACTGTTGTTTGGTTACATTTGATTTAGGAACGCTTTTATCCTTACTAGGTGAAGTCTTAGCGCGACGATTGACTAAGGCTGTGTCAAACAATTTATACCAATATTCATAATTAACCATGTTGTCAATCACGGTCTAGAACCTAAGGTATACACAGGTATTCAAGAGGAACAATCAAATTAAGACTAAATTGTGATTTTCAGCAGTTCAAGCTGATGAAGATAGAAATGAAATGAGTTAAGAATAACAAGTGTTGATGTTTAAACGATGAAAATGGGACAAGAAAAGGTTGGGATGCATTTCAAAGAGGAGGGAAAGTAGGAAGAAGTCAGATGATAGAGATGAAAAGATCGTCCAAATGAGCAGTGATTCAACCCGAATAAGTGAGGCTAGTTTTATTAATAGAACTAACACAATCGTGATTTTTAATTGAAAACAGTCTCTTTACATGGTTTATTTTGATCAAAAGTTGTAAGACGGGTAACAAGAGATGAGAAGAAGAGAAAGTCCACTTTCATCCGTCTGATTCCATTTTTGCTCCCAATCGATGTATACGTGATAATAGCGATTACATTTCAGGTTTTGGAGCTGCTGTTTTGAGGTTCACCTTAACTTGGACCGGACGATAAAGAGGACAGCAATCATCATCATTTCGATTCTATTTGTTGAGCAAATTTAAACAACTAAATATAAACTGAAGCTGAGAAGAGGATAAGTTAAATCAGGCAACACATTAATTGTATAATATTGTTGGACTAAAGATGAAAGAAGTGAATATTGTGGTTGAGATCCTTTGTACAGAACACGCTTTAACCATAGAATGATGAATTTCCAGTTAAATGTAATTGATGGCGGAGGCTGATATGTAACCGGTGGTGGTGGATGAACCGCGATTATTACAAACAGCATAAATATGTCCATCTGCACTCATGTAAATTTGGTTCGTTTGATTAGCAAATTCCAGAGATTTTCGTTCTTTGCTCATTGTCCGATTCATATAAATGAAACACCACACTTGACAAAATAAAACAAAAACTTCGATAAAGATGATAATTTTCATGTAATCAATTAATAAATCTATTTCCATGGCTTCACAATACCAAATGTAGAATTGAAATTTAACTTTATAACTCAATGTGTCGAGGTATACAGAAACTATGATAGCTCATATGATTGCCCAGCTTAAATAATGTTTACTTAAACCACTTAACCTTTTCTGGTTAAACCGATTAAACTGAAAATAGATTAAACTAATATTGTTGAATATCGCCAGGGCTAATTATCCTCTAGTATCGATCATATCGATAAAAAGAAACATCACTAGATCATGTCGGTCAAGTTTCAATACATCTGACTCAAGAAATTAGTTAGTAGAGTTAGTGGAATCAATAAATCTTTTCATTTTGAAGCTACAATTTTAAGTTGTTACTTAAATGCAATAAATGGGCAAAAACGGGTAAAAATCAATTTCTTCCAAATTTAGACTCTGTTGGTTTGTAGGGACATAAAGCAGGAATCTATTCGTGCGATTCAAAAGTTTCTATGATCAATAGTTTTCGAAAAAATCGAGTTCAAAGTTGAAACTTCGATCGCTTTTTATACAATATTGGAAGCAGATTTTTTCATAAAACTCATTTTAACTATGTAACTTTTGATGCTGAACAAGATAATGTACTTATTTTGCTGAATAAAGTTTTCCGTTTTCTGTAAAACCGATTAGTTCGATTTTCCTTTAAACCGATCTTTTTCTGTGACCAAAATACTTAAAGAGCTGAAACTTATTATCTGACAATAAAATTTGTTTACAAACATCATGGTTGGAATAATTTTTTCAATTTTGTAACAGTTCTCTTGATTTTGGATATTGGACTTAAAACTTTGAGCCTCGATATTTCGAGAATGGTAGCACCTAGAATCTGCATTCTTGGGTCAAACATTAGATTTTATTATGAGCTATAATTTGATATAAATACTGGCTTTTAATAATGAATTTCAGTCCAACACGCGAGATTTGTATTTGAGTAACCATTTAACTTTATAAATCAATCTCAAATCTGACAGCACAAGTAATGCGACGAATTATGCTTTTAACGCAGGATTTTTAATAATTTATTATTTCAAAATATTGTAGCCCGTACTAAAATCTAATGTTTGACCAAAGAATGCAGATTGTAGGTGCTACCATTCTCGAAATATCGAGGCTCAAAGTTTACAGGCCAATGTCCAAAATCAAGAGAAATGTTACAAAATTTGAAAAATTATTCCAACCATGATGTTTGTAAACAAATTTTATTGTCAGATAATAAGTTTCAGCTCTTTAAGTATTTTGGTCACAGAAAAAGATCGGTTTAAAGGAAAATCGAACTTAACCGTTTTACAGAAAACGAAAAACTTTATTCATCAAAATAAAATCATCTACTGATTGGCCATCAAAAGTTACATCAGTTAAATGAAGTTTCATGTAAATATCTACTTCCAAAGTCGAACAAAAGCCGATCAAAGTTTCAACTTCAACCTCGATTTTCTAGAAAACTGTCCATCTGATCAATTATTTAATACCACCAATGGATTCAGTTTTTCTGTCCCTACAAACTGCGCTAAGTTTCATCTCTTTACTCAAATATTCGAGCCTTTGGCATTACTTTTTACATTTCATTTTAAACTTTAACCAGAAAACTGGTTTATTTACCAAGATATTGCTTTATATGAGTTTGTTTTGTTGAATAAGTTGTTGTTCGTGCATTTAAAGCCTGAAAATCATAACCAAAATACACTAATTGGAAATTAGTGGATTGAATTGAATTATTGATTAGTAAAAGAATGAATTGGCGAAAGAATTAGGATCGTAGGTGATGCAAATCTCGAAATATCCAAGTTCAAAGTTTCGATACCGATGGCCAAAATCAAGAGAACTGTTTATAAATTGAAAAAAGTGTTTCATCCATAATGTGTGCAGACAATTTCTCTGTAAGAATACTAAGTTTTAGGTCTCTAACTCTAACGGTCGAAGAAAGCGATCGGTATAACTAAAAATCGAACTTATCGATTTTACAGAAACCAGAAAATATTATTTAGCAAAATAAATACATTTTCTGGTTGATCATCAAATTTTGAATCATACAAAACTAGTTTCAGACAATAATCAACTTCCATAATTGTACAAAGAGCGATCGAAGCTTAAACTTTGAACTCGATTTTCTCGAAACCTATTGATCAGAGAAACTTTTAAGTCACACAAATAGATTCAGCTTTAATGTGCCTACAAATTGAATGAGTGTACATTTGCAAGGAATCAATTCATTGCCCGTTTTTGTTCATTTATGTCAAGTTGTGCACAATTGTGTTTTCTCATTAACAGTAACAATACTTTTGCACTAACAAGCTAACTTATGCGCTTTATATCAATGAAATGCTCAGGTTTTTATGATCGAAATATGATTTGAACATTGAATTATGTTCATTCAGAAAAGTCATTAAAATAGTTTCTAGTTTCTTCAATAGAGACCGAACATGTTTAGCATTGAATGTTAAAAGTATTATCAACATTTCGATATTATTTGTTGAGCATAAACAGCTAAATATAAACTTAAGTTAAATCAGGTAACACATTATAATGTTGTTGATGAAGATGATCTTAATGATGTTCACTTTCATTTCAATAAATTTAGGTTGACCAAAACTGGTTCGTCCGATCATCTTTATTTACTTCATCTCCCTAGGCACAATAAATGAAGCCAATTCACTTTTAATTTGCCCGTTTTCAACACTTAATTGTAACACAGAATTGTAATTAGATGTGATCTTCTCTAAAATTTATTTACTTTCAATTGTCTGTGAGCACGTAGGCATTCACCAACTGAAGCCAACTGTAGGCCAACTGAAGCAATAACATGTACTTTGTTTTGACTTTTTGGGAAAAAAGTTGCCATCAATTTACCGATCATTAGGTTACCCGATTCAATTATATTTAAATTTTGACTAGTCATAATAAGATCTTAATATCTGACCTTTTCTGTCAACCAAATCCTACTTGTCAGGTTTAATTGTTTGTTAAAACTTGTCTTTTCAACTCCAATAGTCCATCACCTACAAATACATTTTGTGGGTTCATCTTATTGTTATGAGAGCTAATCTAGTGCAGTTCAATCTTGAGAACCATTAATTGATGAAAAAAACAGTTTAATGAACTCGAGCCAATCCAATCAGGTCAAAACAATTTTACTTTCTTTCTCTTTACCTTTCCGTGTTTTCTTACTCTACTACTGATGATCGACTATCCTGAGCTTTTTTCATCGCGAATCTGGCTTACAACTTTAGTTATATTACTCGGCTTTTTCAACGCTCATAATGTGATAAAAAACAAAGAATCGAGTTAATTGCTCAAATAATTTACGTTTACTTGATTGAGCTAAAAAATTGTTTAGTGCTTCATCCAGTGTTGTCTTAAATCAAGGATGCAGAGTAAACTACTGTGATAAGGTCATGGTATAGTGTAAGTTTGACAATTTGACTGATCTTTTCCTGGATTTGAGGTTAAATCATTATTTGATTTATCAAGGCGAAGACACTTTTTCTGTAAGTATTTACTCATCAAGTTTGAAAGTTAAGGCCTCGTTGGGCAAGAGCTAGACTTAATCCGACAATAAGCTTTAATAGTTGTCAAACTGATCAACAGCTTGGTTAATCCAGCAAACCCTGGCTGTGACATAATCCTCAATCCGATTACTATGCCTTTGGAGTGTAAGGAAGAAACGGTTTATAACAATTTACATGTTAACCCAAATTTACCGAAGGCTATTTCACTCACATCTACTAATCATCATTAGATTATAAAATTAATGTAGCTTTAAATACCATAATTTGTTTCCGCGAATTATTATTGTTCAAATGAAAGGTAATATCACTCCCAAGATTGGAAATGTGTAATTGCTTGTCAAGGTTCAGGGAAACCTTTGTATTTCATGTGCAAGTCTTGCTTCTTGCTCATAATATAAAAATTTGTTTACCAAATTTTAACAATAAAAAATCTCAATACTTTTGGTAAGGCGTTTTTGCTTGTTTATTGTTCCAGTAAATAAAGTAGTTTAAAAAGTTACATCAAATAAGTCTGAAATTTCATACTGAGTTCATAAAATCCACCTAAATGAAAGCAAAAGGAGTGACAATAAGCTTAAAAAGTGTTGGTTTACGAAAAATGAGAAAAGGTTTTCTTGAAATTAGTTTCGATGAGTTATCTCTTTGTGATGAAGTGTTGAATCTTAATAATTGACCAGAAAACATGTTAAAGTCTAAAATGGAAATATTGAGATCCTTTGTACAGAACACGCTTTAACCATAGAATGATGAATTTCCAGTTAAATGTAATTGATGGCGGAGGATGATATGTAACCGGTGGTGGTGGATGAACCACGATTATTACAAACAGCATAAATATGTCCATCTGCACCCATGTAAGTTTGGTTTGTTTGATTAGTAAACTCCAGAAATTTTCGTTCTTTACTCATTTTCCGATTCATGTAAATGAAACACCACACTTGACAAAATAAAACAAAAACTTCGATAAAGATGATAATTTTAAAGTAATAAATTAATAAATCTATTTCCATGGCTTCTCAATACCAAATGTAGAATTGAAATTTAACTTTATAACTCAATGTGTCGAGGTATACAGAAACAATGATAGCTCATATGATTGCCCAGCTTAAATAATGTTTACTTAAACCACTTAACCTTTTCTGGTTAAACCGATTAATGAAGTTAGTGGTAATAATTCAAAGAGAATGTTTCTCTTCATTCAACTTTCCCCATAGGCTATATGCACTTTGATATCTGAAGAAACACGAGAACAATCAAAATGTCAATTACCGAATGTAACCCTTAATCAAACAATTCACTTACAAGACTTGTTAGATTTGATAATTCCAAGATTTAATAAGTATATTTATGAAATGAAATGGCTAGGTTTAACCGAGACACGATTTAAAAGCTGGATTATGAGCTTTCATATTTATTTAGAAATTAGAAAAAATTATTAAGAAGTTCTATGTTCTTTAACATTAGACCAGTCATGTGTAGCACGAAGTGGTCCAAGTATCTCAGCACCGTTAGCGTCTACAACAGCAATTTCGTACATGTTGTGAGCACTGCAGTCTCGGGCAAACAATAAACCGATGCATTTCTTCATCAAACCTATGGCCTCGTCTCTTGTAATTCGACCATTTTTATCATCATAAAATTTTCTCATAACAGGAACAGCCATATAAGTACCAAAACCAGTTGCAATAATTGAATCCTTATAAGCAGTACCCAACTTATCAACAAACCCAAGAAATGGTTTACCTTCATCAATACCACCGACAACCCAAGATGTCCAAAGAGGTTCAAATTTACTTCGACGATTATACTGAACTCTAGTTAACCAGGAATGAAGAGCACGCGGAGATAAATCAACTCCTTGCTCGTTCGCTTCTCTATCAATTTGTTTTTGTTCAATCAAATTATGAAGGAATTGGTAATCAGCATAGTCACCACCACATCCAGCAATAGTCGTCTGGTTAACCTTATATAAACGAGAACAATCAAAGAATCGAGCCATTTTACCATAAGAAACTAAGGTATCAGCGGCTATAACCACACCATCATCAAAGCAAAGACCGATAACCGATGATCCGGTATTCACAGGATACCTGAGAAAAACACCATAGAATAGTTAAATCATAGAGTTACATATAGAGAAACAGACAAACAAACAATCTACTTACGAATTAGACATTTTTAACTCGAAATTAAATGATGAAGAAAGAAATTTATTAAATAAAAGTGTTATTATCAATGGAAACCTTTTGAATTACTATCTTTTTGCCTGTCACTCAGTGTGAAATCAGCTGGCATTATATCACGTGATATTCTTACTGTAAAAGCGGTTAAATCGAAATACAAATACGTTTCATATTTTAAATTCAGTCTTTTATGATTAAAAAATTCATCCGTCAATTTGTAACCATCATGATTGACTGAACACTACGCTCTTTGATAAAATTTCATAAGATAAGAATAAGGATTCCTGTCAGGAATGTAAAACATTTTATTCAGTTGATTCGAAATACATGTTTAAGTAAATAATTTTTTATTCAGTGATTGCTATAATTTTGTGCACTTTTTCAACAATTGACTAACTCAAGCAAGCTGCGACTTTTTCTCTCATAGAGTTCATAACAGCTCCAGGATCGGATGAATTGATTACAGCTGTCCCTGAAACGATCATGTTTGCTCCTGCTTTTGCACAAACATCAATTGTTGTTGGACCTACACCACCATCAACTTCTAGATTAAGTTTTGGAAATTGTTTTCTTAATAATTCAACTTTAGCCATCATGGGTTCCATAAATTTCTGCCCTCCAAACCCTGGTTCAACTGTCATCACAAGAACCATGTCCACTAAAGAAGCATAGGGAAGGACACTTTCCACTGAAGTTCCTGGTTTGATTCCTACCCCAACTTTCATTCCCGACTCTTTGATTTTTCTGATTATTGATTCTACATCTGAGGCTGCTTCAAGATGAAAAGTGTATAAATTGGCTCCAGCATCAGCCATAGGCTCAATCCATTTTTCAGGGCAGGCAACCATCATGTGCATATCAAAAAACGGCTTCGGGCCTAACTCAGAACGTAAACATTTTACCACAGGATGACCGAAAGTTAAATTGGGAACAAATTGACCATCCATTACGTCTAAATGCAGATAATCAGCACCAGCTTTAAGCAATTTTTCACACTCACTAGCAAGTAAGGCAAGATTGGAATTCAGTATAGATGGGCCAATCAATGGTTGCGGATGATGATCAAAAGTACGACAGCAAGCCATGGTTTTTTGCCAAATACTGAATCTAAAAGGTTGATGGTTTCAATGATAGAACTAAATTATTGTTGAGACTTAAATAGGAGCCGTTCCTTAATACGATACAAAGAGCTGAACCAGGTAAAAAGTAACAATAATATGACTTCAAATTATCAATTGTCGCATTTTCACAGCTGAATGCTTTGGTGGCTATTTTACACACTTTAGATTGATTGTTATTGTTTATTGAACATGATTTAAACTGCAGAACTAAGTCAACTTTTCGAAAATTTTGATAATCAAACTTTAATTTTAAGCAATCTAAATAATTTTAAATCTGTGTGTCCCAATATGTAATGTTGAAGATTATGTTGCCTGAAGACTTTTTGATTTTTCAAATTATTTTTGCAAATTAATTTCTGCGTAACTTAAGTATAAAATGTATGGATAACGAGAATATGTATTTCAAATGAGTTCAACAAATTGACAGATTTCTGTTACAGAAATTCTGGTGTGTTCTGATTCTCGGAACTTTGCTACCGATGATAATTACGTCAAAAAACTCCCGTCTAATTATTGCAAGCTACAGATGGAGGCACATTCAATTCATTAAATGTCTCTTTCCATGAGAAATCAGCTTCAAACAAAATAAACACCTCTTACAAATCACCTTGTTAACCTTTGGTCCTGAATGAAATTTGGTCAGGTTATTACAGGTTTTTCAAATCTTATTTTGTTATTTTTAAATTAAGCGGTCATCTAGTTTCCCTATTGGTTTCACCTTTAACTTCCACGCTACTCTGTTCAAAAATATTATATTTTGTTTCTCTTCAGTGATTTTACCATCCATTCAATATCAACACTGTTAATTTTATTTTCCCTTTAACCCATTTCTTGCTGTACATCAATCATGCTTGGCTCTGCTTTATTCAATATTGACAATGGTTACTTTGAAGGTCTTGTAAGAGGTTTTAAGTGTGGTATCCTTAAACAAAGTGATTACCTTAATTTGGTTCAATGTGAGACTCTTGAAGGTTAGTAATATTCATTTGTCAATGTTTCACTCTATCATTTTCACTCTCTCTCTCCTTCTCTCTTTCTTTCTGTTGCTTCTTCTCATGCATTTTTGTCTCTCTGTCTCTCAGATATTAAATTACACTTGCAAAGCACTGATTATGGAGCCTTCCTTGCCAATGAACCTTTGCCATTATCTGTTTCTGTTATTGAGGATAAATTACGAGAAAAATTGGTCAGTGAATTTCTTCACATCAGGAATCAATCTTGTGAACCTCTTTCCAGTTTTCTTGATTACATTACTTATGGTTACATGATTGACAATGTTATTCTGCTCATTACTGGTACTCTTCATCAACGTCCAATCCCTGATTTAATTGACAAATGTCATCCTCTTGGTAAATTTGATCAAATGGAAGCAATAAATGTTGCAAACAACCCGGCTGATCTTTACAATGCTATCCTCGTTGATACACCTTTGGCTCCTTATTTTGTTGATTGTTTATCCGAGCAGGACATGGATGAGATGAACATTGAAATTATAAGGAATACCTTGTACAAGGCATATTTGGAAGATTTTCATGACTACTGCAAAAACGTTATTGGAGGCATAACAGGAGAGATTATGTGTGAAATTCTTGGTAAGAAATTTCTCAGTTTGCTATTAATCTTCAAGTCTTTGAAAAAAATCTGAATTTCACCTTTACCTGTTAATGTATTGACTTATGTGCTATTTTCTTTCATTTTTATAGCTTTTGAAGCCGATCGACGTGCTTTCGAGATCACAATCAACTCTTTTGGTACAGAACTGTCCAAAGAAGATCGAGTTAAGCTTTACCCATCTTGTGGGTTTTTGTATCCTGATGGATTAGCTGCCCTTGCCAGAGCTGATGATTATGATCAAGTTAGAGCTGTTGCTGCTTTTTATGCTGAATACAAACCAATCTTTGATGCTACTCAGGGTGCTGAAGAAAAATCATTAGAGGATCGATTTTTTGAACATGAAGTTAAACTTAATGTCAATGCATTCATGCAACAATTTCATTTTGGTGTCTTTTACGCTTATTTGAAACTAAAGGAACAAGAAACACGGAATATTATTTGGATTGCTGAATGTGTAGCTCAAAAGCATAAAACCAAAATCGATAACTATATACCGATTTTTGATTGATAAGCTAAGGCCTCTTCTATACAAGCATATTTTCTTGTTCAAAACTACAAGCCAGATCGTTAAAATTTATTATCCAAGAAATCACTGTGATAAAAGCCTCGAAATTCACTGAAGTTTTATAATGAGAAAGTTTAAATGTCTACCTGCCTTACCTGTTTCAATTTTTCTATCTTCCTTCACCAAAAATCTTCTATTGATCTATTTATATATTTTTTTGTCATAACCAAGATAGCAATATCAAGGGAACATTTTTACACTCTATTAATTAATAACCTTGGCTTTTACAAAGTTAATTTTCATAAGAAAATTTCATCGCAATTAATTTGCCAGTGTCATCAACGAACCTTTCACATCCTAATCAACTATCATGTCTTCAAAAGGCTTTTTTACTTTTATCAAGCCAAAATTTATTTGGAATTTATTGTTAAGAGAAAATATAATACGATATTTAATCAATTTGTACAAAGAAAGATTTTGATAGAATTTTGTTAATTCTTTAATCAGATAATGAAACTAGATAATCAATGTAATGTGAAATTACAGTGGCAAGACAAAATTGAAATTAAAGAAAATGATAACCATTTATTATATTGAAAAGTAATTTTTTCAGATAGAAATAATGTTATTTCATTGTACAAAAATAATAACAATTGCTATACTCCAATAATGAAATAATCTCAGTCAATTAACTTGACAATCACTCCTTTGCTTGCATCCATAGAGATTTTATCACCAGATTTGAAGATTTTACACGCATTTGGAACTCCAACAATACACGGAAGACCAAATTCACGAGCAATTACCGCTCCATGCGAGATTAATCCACCAATTTCAGTAATTAAACCTCCAATCAATGGGAAAAAAGGACACCATCCAACATCCGTTGAATAAGTGATTAGTATATCACCAGGCTAATGAAAGAGCCAAGAAATAATCAAGTATTTAAAATTGAGTCATTTAACAATTAAAAAAAACAATTTAAGCTATTAATTACCTTAATATTTGCTGCTTCTTCTATTTTTCTGGCGACATAAGCGGTTGATTTAATCTGTCCTTGGCTAATTGGAGTTCCAATAATTTCTTGGCCATTGTAATTATTCCAATCTTTGGTGTAAATTTCTTCTGCCGGTAGCTAATATTATTGAAAAAGATAAAGCTTGATAATGAAATGCTTTTGGAAACAATGTTTCATATTCAAACTCACATTATTGGGTAAAATTTTAGGTCCAATGTTTATTATCGGAAATTCATAAGAATCTAATTTCTGACAAATCTTCAGTCGTCGTTTTGCTAGTAAAACTAAACCAGGATTGGATGACAAGGTTAATCGTAACAATTCATCTGGAGTTAAGTAATAAGCCAAAGATGGGTCTGGTAAACGATGCTCCTTATATGCCAGAGTATTGACCATTCGGTCAAACAGTTTTCGCATCTGATCAATTTTCCAAACCAATTTATTTTTTCCTTCTTCTCTTAAACTAACATAATTCCTACACCAAGGCAAGATGAATTTTTTCAGTAAAAACTTGGATACTTTGGATAATGGCGTTTTTAGAGAAGCGATCAATTCTTCATCAGTCATGACAGTTTTACCAGGATTGGCTGCTTTGTAATCTGATTGTTGTACCAGAGCCTTAGAGTAATAAAAGAAAACAATTAGAAAACAAGATTAAAATGTTAAAAAGGCTGAAATCAAAATAATGCAAAGATAATTTACCTTCAAAGGATTGATGATAAATGAAGGATCTTTTCTCCATACTTTACCAGACCAATCAAACTCTTTCCATCCTCGATGACCATAATCTTTAATAAACTGTCGGTAATTAATAGCCAGTTGACTAGTTCCACTGTTGAGATAATCTGAAATTTCTTTGGTAGTTCCATTAAGAATAAGTTTTCTTTCCTCTTCATCAGTTACTTTAGATGCCAATTCTTTAATAATGACTGGAATCTGAGCACTAACAACTTGTTCACAAGAAGCTAATAACTTCGAGAAATCAGGCAATATTGATGGACTATCTGGTTAAAAAAAAGAAATTGAATTTTTCCATTTTATCAGAACAAAACTCAGAAATGACTTACTTTTATCAGTACTTGTTAAAATCGAAATGGCTAAAAAGTTCATAACTGATGATCCAATGGTAACACCAAGGTGAGCCAAGAAAATCTAATGAAATTAAAAGAAGATTAAAATGTGAAAAAATCCAAAAAGAGATTGAAACTTACATTCCAAAGATAATCAGAGTTGTTCACGATTTCAAGAAACATTTCATGACTCGAAGATTTGTCAGTGGCTTTGGATGGGAATTCATCTAAGGTAACTGCAGCTAGCCGCCTTGAACCCATAAAAATGAGACCAACTGTTGATTTCAGTTTTTCCCATTTACTTTGAGGTAAAAACTGACCTATTCTTTCATATGAATCAGTTTTCATCTCACGATCATCCACGATTTGACCTAGCAATGAGTATTCCATTGAAGTTGAAATCTTGTTTTCTTTTTCCGGCGGAGTGTCATAAACAAATAAAGTCCCCTGTATCATATTGAAAATTAATCAGCGTAAATATTTAAATCAAAAAATAAATGTATAGACAAAATTATCCTTACATCTTTCATAGAAAAGAAACAATGATGACAGTTTATGATGAATCCTCGGGTAATGTAGGGCATAAATTTGAAATTTTTACGGTTAAGGAAAAATTTTTTCTGTCAAAAGATGTAAAATATTAAGATAAGTACACATAAGTAGATCACAAATTTTCAATAAATACCACAAAAGCAATGGTTGATGAGGGAATCTGGTAGTCACTGCAAATGTATGATGCGACTCCTGGGTAGACTTCACCCAAATTGGCTCGAGTATGATATTCATTAGAGCTGACATGAGGTGAATCCAATTCGTGACTCAATTCCCATTCGTTAAGATCAACTGATGATGAAAATGTAGTTACAGGGCGACATTGAAATAAATAAATTTGATTCGACTGGATTCCCCACTCTATATCACATGGTCCATTAAAAAACGAAGCAACCTGAAAAGATTATAATTGTAATTATGAAAAGATCAAGTAAGCGTTTTTTTGTATTTTTATGCATAATTTTGAGCATACCTTTAGACATGTTGAGGTTAAGTCAATTATTTGATTCTCATTGAGACAACACGATGAACTTTTTGATTGTGAGTCAATTGTTATTGTTCCGTCACCGGTTTCAGATAGCTTGATTATCCTCCCTTTACCACCAATCTGAATATCTTCAATAGAGTCAATTGTTAAACCATTTGGTGACATTTCAAGTTTGACTTTAATAGTATCTGGATCAGATATTGAACTGACAATACTCTAGAGTTGATTGAATTGAATAAAATTATTATTGTCATATCAAAATTTTTTGGAGGTTAAATAATTTACCTCTCCAAGTCCATGATTAGCTGTGATTAAAACTGATAATGGATCACTGACAACAGGATCACAAGTAAATAGTACTCCAGCTTGATCACAATCAATCATTTCTTGGATGACAACAGCCATGTCAAGATCAAGATCAAGACCATTCATTAATTTATATCTGATTGCTATAAACCGAAACTGCGAAGCCCAACACTCCATTACGCATTTAAATATCTTTGAAAAAATAGAAGAAAATAGACATTAATCAATAGTAAAACGTTCATCAATGTAAAGGTTAATCAACGAATACCTGGTCAAGATTAGAGACTCCAAGAAATGTCGCCATTTGACCAGCACATGAAAGTTCATCAGAGTCTTCACCATAAGCTGATGATCTAATGGCAAATTTTTTATCATTAATCCAGTTTGAGCCAAAGGATTCTGTTAATGAAGTATTTATAGCTTCTCGAATCGGTTCTGGTAAATTGTAAGATCCAATTTTATCAACCAATGAGCAACATTCAGCTTCCAGTTTAACCATATCTTGGTTGCTGTAAAATTAAGATAAACAAACAATTTAATATTTGAACGGGTAATAATGAATTTATCGTTACCTGGAGCTGATTGTATGCTTAAGTTTATTAATAATGCTTGCTAAGTCAATTGTCTGAGACATCAGGTGATATGCTTTTGTTGTGACAACGACTCCTAAAGGCACTTGACCTAACTTCGGATAATCAACCAAGATGGATGTCAACTTGGACAATGAGCTTCCTTTACCTCCAGTTAGTTGTGAATTAATGGCCAGGGTTTGGTTCAGGGGAACAGTCAGATCATTTACTTCTTCTATTGATGGTATTGAACAAATATGTGCACCAAAGTCAAGAATTTTTGAATCAAAAACAGCTTCATTACCAGTAAATGGCAATTTGATATAAAGTCCAACTCCAGTACAGTTGTCAATCTTGATTGAGTAGATTGCGTTAGCTCTCTTGTTTCCAGTGACATTGAACTTTCTATATTTGTTTTCAATTGTAAAACTAAAGGTATCCTTAATGAATAAATCTCTGGTTGCTGTTGTGGCCGTAACTGGAAAAATAAGTGCTGATCCCCAACCAACAAATCCATTGACAAACCAGGAACCATCGAGTTCAAAAAAAGTAACTGAAAAATTGTAACCTTTCTTTAAAGATAGATGCAAAAAAAGCATTAGAAAATAATTGAGTACAATTAAATAGCATTACTATATTACCTTCAACGCATAACCTGAAAATTTAATCAACTGGCTTGGCTTGGGTTGTGAGAGTCGTAATTTACCTCTGAATCCCCATAAATCGGTTTCTACAGCTGATTGGCCATCAATTTGAGCACAAAATTTAACATGTGAACCAATATCAACCAAGTCAATTTGTGGAAAACGTTGAGACAATGAAGTTAATTGAGATGAAGCAAACTTAGAATCAAATGTTGACAGATGATCGTAAACCTCTTGAACAGGTAGCACAATAGCAATAAGGCGAATGTATTTGTAATCATTTTGATCGTAGGTTTGCTCCTGGTCAGTATTTTCCTTGACAGTCAGACAAAAATCATTTAATCGTAACTTGATTCGTTTAAGTGGACTAAATATTTCCAATTTAAATCCACCAACAGTATAATCATCAAATTTATCCAGATTATAGACCATCCGGGACTGCTTGAACTGGTAGGTAACACCATTTTGAAATCCAATCAACTTTAGGTTAACCCTAATGAGTCCACAATTTTCATCTGGATTTGGAGTCCAGTGTAGATGTAAAGTAATTATCTCATCATCGTCATTGGCTGCATAAAGAAATATATTTTCTGGTTCAGTCTAGAAACAAAAAAATAACCACTTGTTAAATCAATGGGAAATAAAGAGTAAGATACTCTTTCTTGGGAAATCACTTTGATACGATGACTCCTTTGTTTACCTTTTTTTACATCACTCAGATTCAACAGATTATAATACTTTGACTCTACAATGTGACTATTTCAAGTGATTAACATCTAATCAAAGATGGAAGCTGATAACAGATGAGAATGGAATTTTTTGTAAACAATAATATTGTTGATTTGACTGATAATAACGAGGAAAGAAGGTAAAGCGATGTTACAAATGAATCAATGTCTTTGCGTACATAAATCTTGAAAGTTTCACTTGACACAGAATTATTGATGACTTTGAAACTTGTTCAACCTACATTTAAAATGTAACCCTAATTGAACATTAGTGTATTTTAAATGGTATCGTTAGTAATTTAATTGGATGGCTGTTGACCAAAAGATATTAAATATACATACTTTAGAGGGTTTTTCATAGGCCAAGTCTTGGGGTCTACTGAAGATGCCACTTTCATAGGGGTCCTTTAGCTTGTTTAAATCACGATTAAAACGAGATACAGTTGATTTCAATTGTTTCTTAGTTCGATGTCGATGAACTAAAGATTGAAAATGTTTACCACCAAATAAATTGCTCATACTAATTGACGAGGAAAAAAATAGAAACCAGGAAAAAGGTAAAAACTATAGAACAAAAAATGGGTCGAAAAATATGGGAGCTTTCAAACGAATGATGAAGAAGCAGTGAAAAACTTGGCATTAAGAGTGATTGTTAAAAGTAAAATGGTTTAATTGAAAAGATAAGCTGATAGTTTAGTTGATGTTTGATTATTTCTGTTTGTGAATGATGTTTTAATGGGAAACGAGATTTAAAGAGACTCAAGAGAGTCTCAAACTGGAGAGTTGAGTATTAAATTGGCGTTCAAGGTGATCAAGGCGATGTAGATAAAGAAACAACAATGGTCTTAATGATATTTAATTGTGCCTAGATATCATTAGGACACCCGATTCAACCAGATTTTTACTTCTTCAGCTTTTCAATCCTTACCAAAAATTAGTTTACTTGAATGCAGTCCTTTGAATTGCTAGACTAATTTTACGGGAATAGCTCATCAGTAAATCAAAAGTCATTACTTTGATTCAAATTTGAATAAAATTGTGTATATTACAATGTCCATCATAGACTCACAATAATTAGATCAAACAGATCATCAACGTATTTATAAGATGACTGACGTTGAGGTTGAAAATGCTAAATTAAACTTATTGCTAGCAATTGTAAGCATAAATAGTTCTTGAATAGCTCTTTAAGGTTCTGGAACAATTAAAGTCAAGTGTTGATAGACATGAAGAGACACTACACATTTATTGTTGTGTGTTGTAACATTGTCATTTAGCTATCATTTTGTAATGTTACAAATCAGATTTTCAAGAATTTTGTAAGATTTTTCTGATGAAATGTCCAAACAATTTTAAATATTACAATTCTGGAACAATCAAAGATCATGCAACTCAGAGAAAATAAAAATATAACCAACAGTTTCCAATGTACATTTGCTTTATTTGTCCAATTGAGTTTTTGCACCAAATAAAACTAAAATCATTTTCTCCATCGATAAAGAATTCAAAATTACCATTATAGGGACCATTATAGCTATCCATTGTATACGGTATGTAAGGGTAATTTGGTGTGCACTATTAGCAGGGTTAATTGGTAAAGACCGTAATTATTACCAGTAAAAATTAACCAGGGCCATTTGAATTTCGTCTCATTGGACCCGTTGGAAGATTTTTTGTGTTATTTTGAACAAAACCGTTAGTGTTAACACTGTTTATTTCCGATCCACCGGTTAACACAGCTCCTACTGTACTTCCACCGCTTAAGATTGCTCCAAGATTTGGAGATCCGACGATTTGTCCACTTTTTTTGTTAGAAGTATAATTATTGCTAGTATTCATCGGAATAGCTGCTGATCCTGCGATGAAAATCATGTGAGGTCGATCTTTATCTTTTTTGTTTGTTGATGAGGAACGGAAAAGACTGAAACTTGAGCTTGAGATTGAACTGGAAGAATTGCGATTGTAAAGAGGTGACTCAATTTGAGCTTGGGTTTCACTGAAAATGGGTAAAGACAATCCTGGAGGGCCAAGGATTATGATGATTGGGTCACTATTTTTAGATGAACCAGAAACTAGAAGTGAAAAAGCTACAAGAAGAAAAGGAAAGAACAAAGTATTCCATGAGCAAAATAATTTCAAAATTGATGTCACACTCATTCTGAATATATTGCTATTCACTTAGCAGATTGGGTTTAAAAAGTTAAGCACTTTATGGAAAAAACGTTAATCAATTGAGGTATGATCATGAAATGTTGGATGCAATAAGTTTACAGTGAAATGAAGATGAAGTCGTTTCAGAATACCATTTAATTATTTTACGGTTTGAAAGATCATAACCATGGTTGTGATTTCAAGAAATAGATGCTCATTGTCGTCTTATTGTCATCTTTATCCTCAATGATTCTGTTCTTTTCATTCATTCTCATCAACTGTTATCTTTCTTGAACAATAATGTCTGTAGACTGTTTTGCTTCCCTTTCAACAAATGTTATGGACTAATGGCTATTTTGATCTGTTGTGGAATTAATTCTCTGTGGATAATAGCTCATCAAATTCATGATAATCTTTAATCATGTCAATTTATGATTATGAACTGAAACATCTTGAATGACAGTCACTTCAATTGTCAAAATTTCAGTTTTCGTGGTAAATTGTTGATTAGTTATATTCATTGATTCAATAAGATGAATATTTGACGTGACAATAGACTTAATCGATTCAAATGTTTAGATTAAGTTAATTGTTTCTCCGCTGGGTACTCATCCAATATTTTTGTGAAATTTCATTATCACCTTGACTAATGAAAAAACTATCGTCAAATGAGATTCTGCAAAATTGGATAGTTTGTATAAATTATTTAATGAAATGTAAAAAATGTAATAATTTAAATAGATAAAACAGACTTGTGACTTGATAAATTGTGGACATCAATAAATATTAAGACTTGAAAATGGGTTGAATTTCAGCAAACGGTATAACGGACTGCAAATAGTTTGGTCAGATCAATGAGTAGTCGACAGTTAAATTAATGTAATTCAGCCTAAAGCAGCTCCCAATGGTCCGGCAATAGCTCCACCGATAGGAGCTAATTGTACTGCTATTCCCACAACCTGATTGATTAATGATAATATTCCGGCGATTGTAGCAGGACTAATTGTGACTCCTTGAGGTCCAACTGATGAACCAATGATGCCTAACATGGTTGAAAAAGGATTAGCAGGAGTTGCGGCAACGGAAGCTTGAGCTTGGACAGGAACCATCATAATTGGAGTACCTGAGGCACCTGTGTTAACCATGGCTGAACCTTGTCCATAACCTCCAAAATTATTGGGAGCCATACCAATTGAACCTCCTAAGTTAGCTCCATTGGACCCTACAGAACTACTAACACCAAGTGTTCCAGCAGGTCCAGCCGAACCACTTGCGCCAAGGGAAGTAGAAAATTGTCTAACTCCTTGGTTAACGTTGGGTAGGATTGTTGGATAACCAACCCAAGAACCAGGAATTTCACATCGTTGAATAAGTTGAGTAACCCAGACCATAACTGAGATCATATCACCAAGATTATTTGGAAATTGTTGGCATGTAGTTTCGGGTGATTTGAAGAAGAAACAATCATCTGGTAAGAGAGATAAGTCGAAAGGTTGGTTTAATGCGGCAGCTTGAAGCTCAAAAGTACTGTTGAGAGTTTGTAACGCCGAATTAACGATGGATAGACAAATATCCGAGCCATTGGGACCAGCAGATAATGGCAACTGTGACTGAGTTGATAAAGGTTGTTGAGTTGATTGGGTAAAGCCTATGGAACAAAAAAAACATATCAGACAATGTTTCACATTTCAATGTTTACAATAAAGGCTTGCAAACATCAATCGTCTAATCAAAGGTAGTAATCAATAACTAAACTTACCCAGTCCAAAAAATGATGAGAGGAGTAAAATGGTTAGTGACATTATCCCAAAATGATGAACAATTTGATGTAAAGTTGATTAAAATGGTTAACTGTTTTGAACAAGTTTACTCGAACTAATGATTTGTCTGAACAGATGTCCACTTGTTTTATAAACACTTTTCCCTCCATTTTTATTTAGCTTTCTTTGCTACCAATCAACCTTGATATTTGATATAATTTTGAATTAAATCAATTATTCAGCTAATCATTGTTTTCTTCACTAATTACAATTGCTAAAAAAAGTTAAGGATGGGTTGATTAACACAGGCAATTAATGAAAATAAAATAGTCAACTCTTTGCATAACAGCTCTCAACATAGAGTCTACATTATCATAAGCAAACCATACCATGGCTACCTTGGTAATTATGACAACTATCCTTTCAGGCTCATAACTTCTTATTTCAAATCACGAATCGTATGCATTAAAATACCTTGCGACTTGATCAAAGCCTGATAATGAATTAAATTACCCAACATTTATTTAGATTTACACATCAAACTATCGGCAAAGCCTAATTACAAATACAATAAACATTCATATTCATCAGCAAACTCCAATCCATCCAATAAATTCAAATACTGATGACAAATCATGATGAAACCTTGAATCAAATAGATATCAAAAGTTAATCATTGACTATTCAGTAGATGTGTTTGCACTCATGCAAACAAATATGATGACAATTTGCAAATCTGTAATATTCAGCGAAAATTTTTATTACAGAATCCAATGTAATGTGAAGAGAAGCCCAAATTGAGCCTGAAAAATCTAATTATAGCTTCATTTTATATCATCATTATGATTCCCAATTTCCGAAGAGAAGATAATTACAATTAAAAATGATTATCTGTACCTGAAACAACAAAATGATTTGAAATGATCATTTGAAAAGTGATTAAAACCGTAGACAGTTTAGTCTTTATACAAAAACAAACCCAAACAACATCATTAACCAAGATAATGATCAAAGTGATTATACAACTGAATTTAACTTAAACATTACCTTTTTGTTTCAATTTTAAAACAATATGAGCAAAATTGAACTCCAACAACTCACTCAACTTGGATTGAATCCAATGTTAAATATTACAACGATGATGTTGTTGTTGATGATGATGATGAGAGGAGGTTGAAAATGAGAAAAAATGTTAAAATGAAATGAAGGAATCAAAAAATTAATACAAAATTGTTGAGCATGAAAACGACTGGTAACAACTATGGTCGTGTATAGCCAGTAACAGGCTTAAACCCAAACCCAATTCAACCCAGCTTTATGTTTCAGTTTTGATTAGACAATACAGAGTTTGGTTTAATCACTAAATTAACCCAATGCTGTAGGTAACAGATGAAGCAACTCATCCTTCTCTTACCGCCCTCACATGGTTTCTTTTACAGGATCATCCAAGATTCAGCTTCATCTTATATCTGCATCGCTATCATACTCACTTTGTATCTGTAATCAGTGAACCCAATATTACCATCTGTTTAACAGAACTAACCTATCTCTGTCTCTCTGTCGGTAATTATTTTATTATCAAGTTAATCAACCCATTCATAAAATCAATAACAATTGTTACATTTTGTCTACATCAGTACAACCTTATATACAGCTTCTTACGAGTCTCCTATGATCTGCTTCTTATCATCTGGTAAATGTAAAGTAAAAGGTGCTTAGTAATGATTAAAGTATCATTTGTGATTTTGTTTCATCCATTCTCGATTCATCAAAAACTTCTGTAGCATGTAAATACCAGATTAATTTGGGATCATCTTATATTTTGCCAAATCATCCATTTATCATCATCTTTACTGTGTGTCTTCCATTCCCATAGATATTTGAAAATGAAAATAAAAGCCTAAAATCAATGTGAATAAACAACCCAAATCTGGTTAGTATTGACTTATTTGTTTACCAATTTTTAACCAACTGTTCAATTTACTGTCAAGTTAATCATTAAATAACCAAGTGTCCAGTCAAGGTTTGACCATTGATAATTGGAAAAATCAGCTAATTTTGGCTTCCAATAGTCAAGTTCCATCATAACCTTGACAATATCGACAAAAAGAAACAGAAGCAACATTTCTATTGAAACATTCACTTTCATTTCGAAGGTCAATTTGATTGATTTCCAACAACAATGTTCCATCCATTTCAATCTATTTAAAGCCTATTTCTATCTGTGAGAAATAATCAGTTGAAATTAGATGATAAAAAAGTGTTAATCTAACCCAAAAATTCAATTGTCATGTAGCGATCGACCAATATCCATCCATTACCAGTTTAGGTCATTGTGTTACCCCATCTACCATCATATGTAAGGATGTCTATTTCCCTTCGTCTGTCTTTCTCACTTACTTTTTTCACCATTAGCTGCCATTGCCATTTTGTTTATTATTTTGCTACCAATCTCATCTATCCTCATTTTATAATCACCTTATTTCCTTGTTAAACGTTAAATTATATTGTTATTACTCCATATTCATCACAAGCTTTTTCACACCAATTGATTCTACTATTTGGAGTAACCTGTTTTATTTTTGTTCATCTCTTGGAATACAACCAGTAATGTGATCATATGTGTAGTCAAATCTAGACCATTGTGATGCATGACAGTGCCTAACCCTTCCCAGGCAATCCAGCTCAGCCCTTATTTAATCAACCAGTGTCTATTTGTGTTGGTTAACTTTTATTTATTAACCTTCGTCTATGTCCATTGTACCATAACCATGGTAATATGAGTAGCATACAGAAATGAAAAATCTATGAAATAACAAGAGACATCTTTTCGATGTAAACATAACCACAAGGAACATACATTTACTCATTTACCATTATTTTCAACTTACCAAGTCATCTTGATCCATATTTACCCTTTGCTTCTCTTCACTTGTTTACTTATTGTAATTATTCCTATTTCAACTTTTTTCATCTAATAATCTAGTCAATTAATATACCAATTTACTTATTTCCATGTTATCTTAATTTTATCATCATCTTATGTTTGTGCAAAAAAATGATACCCAGTCTATCCCTAGTTATTTTATAATTAATGTTTCATCACCAATATATTGTTTATATCCTTGTATTATCTTGTTTCTTACTGTAAATTTGTTTATTACTTGATTTATGTTCTCCCTTTCTCAATTATCCAGTTAACATTTAGCAAATTTGCCTTTCATTGTGTACTTATGACTTTTCTTATTCTTCACCCCTTTCAATTTTCTCCTTCTTACAACAAAACCTAAATCATAAACTTAAAATAATGTCTAACAATGGATACACACCAGAACCAAAGGATTCATCATCACACCCAAGCGATTCTGATCAAAGACCCAGATTTTACATAGGAGATGACATGTTCAGACAACAAAGATTATCATCCAAGGTAATCAATCTGATTAAAATCAATCAATTTAGTCTCCGTTATTGTAAATCTTGTTAAAATGTAGACTCAAATTTTTTGGTATACTCAAGTCTATAGGAACTTACCTTTGACATTTTCCGTTATTCCAAACCAGTTGTTGTCAAATTGATTATAAATTGTTACAATTTGCCTAGTTTTTGTATGCTTTCACATATTAATTTATTTCCAATCCAAATTAAACTTGTAATTAGTCGACCATACTTAACATCTGTTTAATTCCCATTTCCTGTGTAAACAAATTAGCACTTAAATGCGACTCTTGACATTTATCCATTTTACCAGTTTTGAATCTAACAATTTCAATAATTTTATTTTTATTTGCTCGATAAGGTAAAGATATCAATAAGCTGTCCATAAATTTTAGTTTTATTATCAATCTAGAAGTCCATTGAAGGGTCATTGAAAGGCCCTTTGAAGAGCTCATCTGATAAATGACAATCTTGTTTACTCTTGTCTAAATGATAATGCAAGGCTAATAATTTCGTCTTCTTTTCGATTGTAAGAATTATAAAGTTATGTTTAAATTAGTCTTGTTCAAAAATTTAGGTAAATTCAAATTGTGTTCAACTTTACCATTATTGGCTTATGCAATCTCGGTCTGCCATCCCATATGTAACCAATCAAAAAAGAGATGAGAATTCAAAAAAAGGTTAACCTTTACCAATAAGCTATCCTAGTTTTTTCTGCGTTTTATTTTCTCAAATAGTGCACTTTCCTCTGTTCACCATCTTGATCATCATCATCTTAACTATCGTGTCTATTTTAGTTTAATTCAAAGGTTTGTTGTCAACAAAATATTGTGTTCAAGCTTGTTATAAGCACCTTGTGAATAATAACTCTCTTTTTAGCCAATGTTAAAGCTTTGCCTAGTCATCTGTGCTTCAATTGATTGCTCATTTACTGTTCAACATTCCCATCACCAGTTATTCTATCAATTTCTATTGTCTTTACAATACATTTAGGTATACGTTTCTGTCTAATTCAATTAAAAGTAGGTAAAGAATGTAAATGGGTTTGTAAGCAGCCTACCTTTTATCATTTGTCTTTTAATTTTAATATCTAGTCACAGCATTGCAAGTAAAATGACGAGTCACGAGATTTTTATCCACTCGAGTCAACCATTGCTGATGACATGTTAGAAAATATCAGAGACAATTAGAGAATTAAACTTGAGCTATAAGTGATAAAGGCTTCGTTTTTTGATCACACCAATCGGTAGTTCTTCCATTGCTAAAGTACCAAATTGAATTCCTTAACTAATCCATTCTTATCTATTTCTTGTTTCATTTAGGAGCCAGGGGAGAACCACGACGATAGTTGTCACGATTCAAGAAGCTGCTGTTCTTCCCCTGACATGGATACAGCAAGTACCGATAAAGATGAGCGGCCTATCAAGGTTAACAAGGTTAAAGTTGGTGTTTGCGCCATGTCCAAAAAATCTAGCTGTAAACCAATGAGAGAGATTTTAAACCGGTTGGAAGAATTTGAATATATTCAAACAATTATCTTTCCAGAAGAGACAATTTTAAAAGAGCCCGTTGAAAAATGGCCTGAGTGTGATTGCCTGATATCATTTTTCTCCAAAGACTTTCCGCTTGCCAAGGCAGTTGAGTATGCCAAATTTAGGAAACCATTTTTAATCAATGAGCTTCACATGCAGTATGATATGCAAGATCGTCGAAAGGTTTATCGTAAATTAGAAGAAGCTGGAATAGCTTTACCAAGGTATGCTGTATTGGACCGTGACTCACCCAATCCTGAAGAAAGAGAAATAATCGAATGTGAAGACCATATCGAGATAAAGGGAGAAGTTTTCAATAAACCTTTCGTTGAAAAGCCAATATCGGCTGAAGATCACAACATTTATATTTACTATCCAACTTCGGCTGGTGGTGGCTCTCAAAGGCTATTTCGTAAAATTGGTAATCGTAGTTCAGTCTATTCTCCTGAAAGCTCAATCCGTAAAACAGGTTCATACATTTATGAGGAATTTATGCCAACTGATGGAACTGACATCAAGGTTTACACAGTAGGACCTGATTATGCTCATGCAGAAGCTCGTAAATCACCTGCATTAGATGGTAAAGTAGAACGAGACAAAGATGGTAAAGAAATACGTTATCCAATCATCTTGAGTAATGCAGAAAAATTGATTGCTCGTAAAGTTTGCCTTGCCTTTGAACAAACTGTTTGTGGTTTTGATTTATTACGAGCCAATGGTAAATCATACGTTTGTGATGTTAATGGATTCACATTTGTTAAAAGTTCAATCAAATATTATGATGATTGTGCCAAAATTCTGGGAAACATGGTTCTTCGTAATCTGGCTCCTCAACTTCATATTCCTTGGTCGATTCCTTTTCAATTAGACGATCCACCCATTGTACCTACCACTTTTGGTAAAATGATGGAACTTCGATGCGTAATTGCAGTTATCCGACATGGGGATAGAACACCTAAACAAAAGATGAAAATGGAAGTTAAACATCCCAAATTTTTTGAAATTTTTGAAAAATATGATGGACACAAATCGGGTCACATAAAATTGAAAAAGCCCAATCAATTGCAAGAAATTTTGGACATTTCAAGATATCTACTACACGAGATTGAAAAAAATCCTGACTTTGATATGGAAGAAAATAAATCCAAAATTGAACAATTGAAACAAGTGTTAGAAATGTATGGACATTTCTCTGGAATCAATCGTAAAGTTGAACTCAAATATCAGCCCAAGGGAAGACCTCGGCGTTCAAGCAGTGAAGAAGGTATTCCAATTGTGATTGAAACATTTATTATCTCTAATCAGTCATTTTATTTTTTTAATAAGTTCAAGGATCAGTAATCGTTTTGAGTCTATTTTCTCTTCTCAGCTAATCTATTTATACTCATAAATCTCTAGTTATTACCTCTTTTCATATCCTCTTCCTCGTTTCTATGGAATTGTCTAACAATATGTAAAATATTTCATTTGGTTTTTTATCTCGTGAGTTTTTGGTGAAATGTCATTCTTCCATTTCACTTGTAGGCTTTAAAATCTATTTAAAGAGTAACATTACTCTGAAGAGCAGGAAAAATTTACCTCTAGACATCATTAGTTTCTTTAAAAATATAGTTGATTATTCCGAAAGAAACCCGAGCTTGAGATGAATAAATCTTACCTAGTAACAATGTTAATCTGCTTTTCCCTCCGAATTTAAATTATAATTTCTCTCAATTTTTATAATTTGCTAAAATTGAGATTCAACTTGAAAATATCCTTGACACTTGAATTATTTTCATGAGCAATGCAAAAACAATTTTGAATGTCAGGCGATTTTTCAAGCTCTTTCAGATTCTTAAGAAAAGATTCCTTTGCTAAATAATCAGCTCGCTCATCTTGACAAAACATCATCATCATCACCCACTCGTTGTTTATTCAACAATTTTAACAATCATCTTTTAACTAATACAAATAGGCAAATTTATCTCGTCAGTCAAGGATGAGAAAATCCCTCGAACCTACTAATTATTTCCTATTCACTTTTCAACAAACATTTTGCCAACAAAATTATGAGCTTAATGATAACAATCAACTAGCAGTTTATTTATCCTCTGTTTTACTTCATTCACAAACTGATTCTTTTCATGTGCTTTTTTCAAGAGCAATCTTATCTAACCTTGGTTTCTTAATATTTATGTTTTAAATTGAATCGTAGACATTAATTGTTCATCATTTCAATGCACTGAAAACTAATCTTATTCTCTTTTTCTGATTATCTTTCAGATTTGCCCCGTGAACCGTCTTTGGTTTTAATACTCAAATGGGGAGGCGAATTAACACCCGCTGGTAGAGTTCAAGCTGAAGAACTCGGACGAGTATTCAGGTGTATGTACCCTGGTGGCCAAGGTGTGCTTGAATGATATTAACTGATTTTACAATTTCTCTAAAATCCTTTCAATAACTAACTTAACCCTGCTTTTCTAGTGTTGATTTTAACCCTTCTAATTGCAATGCACTTGTTATGCTGATGTCGTCTGAATCATCTTTGATCAACCTTTCATCAAATGTCCATTTTATTTCAATTATTTATTGTTACTTTAATTCCTACTATTGCATCTCTATTGTCTTATTTCGTTCACCACAGTTTCAATTAATCCACCAGCCTTTATCCATTAAATGTAATAATTTCCCAATATCAAAGTTTAGTTTTATGTTTGAAAATTTCTGTTTCGATGTCGGTTTGCATGTTAACTAGTCTAGTATTATTTGTTTGCTTGTTCATTGATTCAACTAAACTTTTTTTCAGCTATTTTATCCCGAATCAGTTGGTTTACTTTCGATTATTATTTTGTTTATTTTCAGCTATTATTATCTTCAAGCATTCCCATATTATTTTCATCCTTCAATCCTCTTCCCATTAAATTCCCAATCTTTTAATTTGCTTCATCGACTAATCATATTTTACTTGTATTTCTCTCTCCCTGTCCTATCCTAGGCGAATACGCTGGAACTCAAGGTCTTGGCCTGTTACGATTACACAGTACTTTCCGTCATGATCTAAAAATATATGCTTCAGATGAAGGTCGTGTTCAAATGACTGCTGCAGCATTTGCTAAGGTTGGTTTTGGCAAATTTTATATCTCTCTATAGCAATTATTTTATTTTATTTTTAATTTTTGTTATCTTTTGAATTTATTTAGGGTTTGCTAGCGTTGGAAGGTGAACTTGCTCCTATTTTAGTTCAAATGGTTAAAAGTGCTAATACAAATGGTTTACTTGATAATGATTCGGATTCAAGTAAATTTAAAAATATTGTTAAACAGAGACTTCATGAGTGCCTTCAACGTGATTCAGATTTTACCGAAGAAGATTTAGCCATTCTTAACCCAACCTGGTCTCGATCAATTCAAAATGCTCTCAATTTTATCAAAAATCCATTTCGAGCTTGTGAACATGTCTATGAATTGGTACAAGAATTGAATAGCCTTATTAAACAACATAGAGAATCATTCCAGTCTCAAGAGTCCGATTTGTACCATGGTGAAACCTGGGATTTAATGCAACGACGTTGGGCTAAGCTAGAAAAGGATTTCAAATTAAAGAATGGAAAATTTGATATTAGCAAAGTTCCAGATATCTATGATTGCATTAAATACGATTTACAACATAATCAACATATCTTGCAGTTTTCAAATGCTGAAGAGTTATATACTTATTCAAAAGCATTAGCAGACGTTGTTATACCACAAGAATATGGAATCACCAAGCCTGAGAAATTGACAATTGGTTTAGGAATTTGTTCACCTTTATTGAAAAAAATTCGTGGAGATTTATTAAGGGATTATTTGTCAGAGGAAAATGAAACTGTTAACCGTCTCAATCCTCACTATTCCCATGGCGTTTCAAGTCCAGGTCGTCATGTGCGAACTCGTCTATACTTTACTAGTGAAAGTCATATTCACTCGTTGCTTTCAGTATTGCATTACGGTGGTCTTATTGACGATAAAGATGAACAATGGAGACGAGCAATGGAATATGTTTCAACAGTCTCTGAACTTAACTATATGACTCAAATTGTAATAATGCTGTATGAAGACCCAACTAAAGATCCTTCCTCTGAGGATAGATTTCACATTGAATTACATTTCAGTCCAGGCGTGGTTTGCTGTGTCCAGAAAAACATTCCTAAAGGGCCAGGATTTCGTCCACAATCTCGTAATACATTATCCAAGGTCGGTAAAATGATTTCTCGTATTACTAATAATGCTGCTGCTGCTAATGCTGCAATCGCAACTGGCTCTGCCATCGGCGGAGACAAACTTAGATCAAATATATCAAACTACTAAACCGTTATCAAACAAACCAAATGCTTTGTTGTTAACAGTTACTATTTAGTCAATTTACTTTCATCTCAATTAATACCTTTTAATCAATTAATTACTAATATACAATTTATCTTTTCCTTTCATCATCATTTTTCATTCTTTCCTTTATTGCCTGCAGAAATTTTCTGACCATAATGCACACTCCTCTAACATGCCAATTAAAGAAGAAGACTCTGATGAACTAACTGTTGACGATGATGAATTGGATGACTATCAAAGCCCAATTAGTAGTACCAATGCCTGTAGTACTCCTGTGAGTTTAAATTTTTTCTCAAAACCGTCCACAATATTAAAAACAGATGTATCAATCTTGCGATTGATCTCATCAATTAAAAATCCATTTACATGTATCATGAGTACACATCATACTACACCATCTTCAATTAATTGCTATACTTACTCTAATTTACGTTCAGGAATCACCAACTATACTGGAAGAAGGAAAACCTCACTCTCTACACCACGATTTTAAATTCACCGAGCTTCTAGAAGAAGATGAAAGACTGGAAAAGGAAAAGTTATCATCACCGCCACCTTCTTCTTCTGATGATTCTAATTTACTTTTACCTGATACTAAATCGAAGAGTGAGTCTTGTGAAGATCTGCCCGTTAACTGTACCGAAACTAATCAATCTGCTAATACTATTGCCAACAAAACCGTATCTACAACCACTGATACAACTCCAATCTCAATAATCTCCACCTCAACTACCACCTCCATTATAAACACCACTACTTCTCTAGCTTTTTCAACACCAACTAATTCAACTAATAGTCATAATAGTAGTATTAATAGTCAAATTGATGCGACTCAAAACTCCCTGGAAAGTAAAGCTGAATCAACTCCTAAAGTATTATTACGAAGCAATTCAATGTCCGTCTCTTTTTCTTGTCCAAATTCATCTGTTCCGATGAGGCACAAGCCATTAGCTAAATTAAAACAAGAGATAATGAGTTCTCATGCTCAAAGTCTGGACAATGTCTGTGAATCTAGTAAAACTTTAGGTAACAACCTTTAACAACACTAATTATTTAGATAATCAAATTCAACTATTTATCCTTCTATACTTCTAAATTTTTTCTAATCTTTTTCATTAATTCACTATTTATAATTATCATCTTTTGTCTTCAAAAATTTAGGTCGTAATAAGCCTCATCGTCATTCAATTCATGGCCAATCGAGCTCTTACCTTCGTTTGTGTAGTGTAGCTGATTTACCTCATTATGGTAAAGATTAATTTTTTTTTCAAATTTGCATAATTTAATCAAACCATTGTTTTACAATTTCCACATTTTTTCAGGTTCAGCCAGCAGTTTATTATTTAGTACTGCAGTCATAAGTGGATCTTCAAGTGCTCCCGAGTTGAAAGATGTGCTTCATCCACCTTCAGGTAATTGAATAATTTTGATTTCAATCGAAACGAATCTAATAAAAACACTTTTCTCTAATTGTAGAAGGAATTCCTAATATTCCATCAATCCGGCCCTTAGAAACTCTTCATAATGCTTTATCCCTCAAGCAATTGGTTGCATTTCTTGAAAGGATGACTGCTACTGGAAATCGTTCTGCTAATACTTCCCCTTCATTTTTGGCTCAAATGTCCAGCAATGGGTCATCGACTTCCTTTTCGGCCAACAGCCTTCCCATGTTATCACCAACCAGTAGCTTTGGATGCTCTGGACCATCATCTATAGTCTCAAGTAGTGGCCAAAGCTCTCCCAATTCTTAGACGAAGTTGTCGGCTGATCGCATTTTCTCATTCATTGACAAGTTTCTAATCGAAACAGAACGCTCAAATCGTTTGATTATCTATCTTAGACGACATCTGCTTGTTTTATAATTTTTCAATCATAAGAACATGCTTTAAGATCAAAATATCCTCATTACTTCTTTCTCCATTCTGATTCTCTGATCATTACCCAATTAACTGAGAACGCTTGTCCATTCTGATGAACAATTTATCTGAAACATCACATATCATCTTCATCATCAATACCAACATATAAGAAACACTATTATAGATATTATCTTGGATAAACGGGATTAAGCCATTCTTCAGTCATTGATGAGAAATTTTTTAGAAATATAAATTTCTTTTTGATAACTGATTAGTCATTATTTACAAATTATATTTCAGTTTGTCTCATTTTCTTTCCCTGTCCGTTCCGAAATGATCAAGATTTTAACCAATCAATCTTTCTTCATTGTATTTAATTTTTATCACATTTTTGTAAAAATGAGAGATTTTCATAAAGCACTAGATTTCATTTTTCCATAGTTTATTATTATATCATTCCCAGTAAGTTGTTCATTTAATAAAGAAAATGGATTATTTCATTGTTGAACATTCATTTGCCTTTACTAATCAACAATCAAAAAATGATTCAGAGACGTAAATTTAGATAGCCAATACAATTTAAGGTGATCTCCATCAACCATTTACATTGAAACTAAAAATCTCAATATATCGTCATCTATGAAATCTCACCTTTTTAACTTCCATAATTATTTCAATTTAAAAAATTGATCCGATTGAATTAAGACTTGGTGGAAGTCACCTTTAATAACAACTCAATAATTGTTAAAAATTGTGAATTTTCATCATTAAGTTGATTTTATTTTTGCGCATTTATAAAGATTTATATCACTACATTTTACGAGTTATTTTCAATTGGAAATTTGATACCGAATCGCCTACAATTATTTTTTGAAAAAGATTGAGCGACAGAAGAGAATCATGAAAATCAACTTAAATAGATCTAAATACAGTTAGTTATTTAATGAACAGTAGTTTATGTATAGCAACAGTAGGTGTTAGGGTTAAGTTAAAGGTCAGTTTCTAGAGATAACAAAAAAACAAAACAATAGAAACTGAACAAAAACTCGATTCTAATGGTACTTTAATTTATCGTTAAAGGGCGACTATGAAAAAAGCTCTACTTTTGTTAACTTAACCCTAACCCCTGCTGTAATAAAATACAAAAACATAACAGAAGCAAAGAGATTGCAAAAATCAATGCGAAGAAAAAAATTAAGCAAATATTGAATAAATTAAATACATTGCCATAATACTAGAGCATTTGAAACAACAAACGAATTGAATTACATTTAAATTAAATTAAACAACAGCAATAATAATCAGGGCTTTTCATTTTGCATCAAGTCATATTTTAATCAAAAGGCATAAATTTTACGCCGATGCATAATCTTTCCCCTTTCGTTTCTCCTTCTTTTTTCAATTTTATGAACCTTAATTTGTGCTGATAGATAAACCAATTTTATATTATTTCCATTGAAAATCAATGGACTTTTCTGAAAATGAAAAGCCCTGATAATAATGATAACAGTAATTTAAGGCTATGACGAATAGAGAGTAGAGAGAGAGAGGAGAAAAGAGATTTGTAATACAAATTTTGTATAATTTGAGTTTGAGCATTATAGTCATATGTTGTTTTGTTTTTGTTTATCTTTCTTCTCTAATTAATTATTTAATCGTTACGATTATTGTTATTGTTATTATTGTTAACTGTACTAGTTTGGTGTTTAGGTGATCACATAAGAGGTTCAACATAATTGCCAGGAAAGGTTCCATAATTTCCAGTTAATGCCGAGTAACCAACAAACCAACCATCATCACAGTGCATTGAAACAGCTAAAAGATCACCGGGAAACAATTCAAGTTCATCCACTTGACGAGGTTTATATGGATAAATGACCCTGTACAGTTTACTTTTAATCCCATTGGAACCAGTTGCTGATAATTCATTAAGCATATCACGTCGTCTATTATACGGTGTTGTATTTGCAGTCGGTGGAGGTGGAGGAGGCTGTGAAGATGATGAAGAGTTGATTCCATTGAAGCCAATTATTGGTGAAATGGGACGAGGAGGTGAATGTTGTTCACCTTGATGCTGTTTTTCATATTGAGGATGATAAAGATGATGTTGCTGTTGTTGTTGATGATGATGATGACTAGATGAAGAAGAGATTGAACCACGAGTTGGTGCTATATTGGATGTCAGGCGAGATGCAGACGATGAAGATGGATACTGATTGGATCCATTAGCAGTGTTGGTATTACAGTTGCTTTGATTATTTGTAAGGTTGTTGTTCAACTGGATATCTGATGAGAAATAAACTTGATTTATAATTAACAGAAAACAATTAACTAATTAAATTGCAAGAGAGTTACTAATAGAAACAATAGCCATTGAATAAAATGGTTAACACTGGTAATGGTTCAACTTAACCAAAAAGGGTTAAGCTAATGTTCCAATGTTTGCTTTTGTGATCCTAAGCCTAAAGGTTGATTGTGTTGTTAGATAACAAAATGGCTCTTAATTTCTATGTATTTAGACTTTTCCCTTTTCTTATTGTCTAAGCAATTCTGGTTTAATGATGATTGCTGTTATTTTGATGGTTAAACGAGATTAATAACTTAAAGTAAATAGGATCAACAAAATTGCTGAATTCAATAAAATCTAATGCTTTCAATAAATATTATGGCAAAGGTTTTCATGTTTTGCCTTATATTTTTTCATTCAATGTTATTCTATTTATTAATGGTAACCAATTTAAATTTTCATCTTTTCGCTGATCATTGCTACAATTAATGAGATTTTCCCATTGATTGATTGTAAATTGAAACATAAACAAGTCAACATTGATTTACACTTGAACAGAAAAATCTTGCAAAAGCAAAGAAATAAAAACAAAATGATTAAATTTGAGTTGAAAGGATAACAAAATGATTAGAGTTGAAATGCAAACAAAACAAAAAAATAATGTATTAGGAGTGAATAACAAAAAAATATATTATAACTAATAATAATAAAAGGAATATAATAAACTGTTATTTGATTTTATTTACAATAAAAATAAATAAATGTTTTGATTTAAAGGATTTGGGTTAAAAAATGTGGAAATTGTTCAAACAAAAAAAGGGGACAAAGTTTCATTTTGCTGAGAGCAATCAACTATAAGAATTATTGATTAAATTATTAGGTTATCATTGTAATCATAAGCATTATGTCGATGATTGATTAAATTGGTATGATTATCGTTTTTGGTGCAATAGTCAGAAGATGGTGAAGATGATGCCGGCCTAAGTGAACCATTAATCAACTTACATAATGGTGTTTTAAGCGTCTCAACATAACTGCAGGGAAAAATTCCCATTAAACCCTTTTCATTGATTCCTTCATACCAATTTTCGTCCACTTTTCTAATTAGTTTCAGGACATCTCCCTGTAAAAAGATTGAAAAATAGAGACAAATTAGTTGACAAGAAGCAATTGAATCTGGAAACTTACTTTTTTAAAGGAAATTTCAACTGCAGTTTTAGCGTCAAAATCAAATTTAGCTTTGGCAATTCCTTCTTGTTCATAATCCAAATAACTTCTAGGCACAAGACCCTGTAATGTGAAAGCAGACTGATTAAATTGTTGAACAAAATTAACCTTAAAATAACTGGTAAATATGAAAATCACAGAGTATCAATAACTTGATAAAAATGTACCAGAAAAAAACAAACATTGATTCAATTAGTTGTACCATGAAAAATAGATTTGTTAAACAAAGTCAATGTAAAGTATCTTTTCAAGCCTGACAACATCTTAGATTGATGTGGATAACTATCATGATTATCTCAATGATTTGAAATGTTTTCCGGTTGGTTGATTGATACTCCTTTGTGTTGATTTACCAGTGATGAAATGAAGAGTTAGATTTGATAAATATTAGACTCACTTTGAGGCCACTTTGTGAATCTTCAACTTCAACCCAGTGATGATTGACAGGCCTATGAATGATGACAATATCACCTTTTTTAGCTGAAATTTCTCGTGACGATAAAGCATGAAAGTCAAACAAAACTCTTGCCAACAAATGTGATGAATAGGATCCAGCTAGAGGGTAAGAGAGGGAAAACAAAACATTAAAATTAACAAAAGCTGACAATTGCCAAAAAATATTGGGTCAAGGTCACCTGAGGGAGTAGCACCATTCATATTTGAAGCTCATTGTGATTTATATGCAAAAGTGAATCATTTATGAACCATAATTTTCACCCGATGTCAAAATAAATCTCAAAGTCTAAGTATAAATATTAGGTAATGGTGCTACTGTTGTCATCTGATGACGATAACTCATCTAAATATAATTGTCTTCAACAATGATAGTTAAAATTTCAACTAATTTGAAATGATAATTTTCCGAGTTTAACTCATTGTTGAATAATCGGTTGTAAGATTAGTAACCTTTTTGTGCGAAAGCCTTTTGATAACGATCCAAATGTACAATTGATTGCTGGTTTGGTGTAAAATGATGTTTCCTTTGAGATTCCTTGCTATAATTACGATCATAATCATTTCCAGAATGTATTCTTGCCTTTGATTTTTCGTTTTATTTTCGGTAATCATTTCAATTACATTTAAATTAGTGAGTATCGATACATTTGTTGAAACATTTATCAGTCCAAATTGTTAGAGGTGAGACAACAATTACACATTTGATAATTGACCAGGAAAAGGGGAAAAGAAAAGAGAAACAATTGAAAAAACAAAATTAAACTCACACCTTTTACAATGGGCAACAATTACAATTATAGTCGATTATTGCTTTTCAATGACTATCAATTCATATCCATTCTCATGGTAAACAGTCTTGATTTAAATTTCATTCATTTTCTGTGAATTTCTTACAAATTTTTCATCTGTAAACAGTTACTGTTGACTGTAAATTTGCTTCAAAGATGAGAGCGAAAATTCAATTTGATTTTGCTAAATCTGATGAATCTAAATCTCAATTGTAACTTCTATTAATAGTTTAAGCATATTAGTTATAAACATTTAATGTAGCATTAACGTTTAAAATCTGTAAAATTCAACCAAATTCAGCAAAAATATATACAATTTACAGTACAACTGTTATATTTAGACGAATACAGATTATCCCTGAAAAGTTAATGCTTGGAATCAAAATGTAACGTAAGATTAACAGTTAGTAACAGCTAAGTTAGTAAATTAATTAACCAAAAATACTTTTAATCAAAGGAAAACGTTTCTTCTGATTGCAATTGAAAACCTTTATGCAAATGAAACTTGAAAATGATCAAGAGAAAGATGTTGATGGTAAACTTTGGACAAGAGTTGAGTTTACAGAATTGAATAATAAAATAATCTAACAATTTAAAGATAGTATTATTTTATGCTTTGTAATTAAACATACCATTTCTCTTTGAAATTTGGTAAGGTCATCTATATTGAATGGATGACCCTCACCTTTAACCAAGGTTTGGATTGGCGTTTTGTAGTGGATATTAACTTGTCCTTCATCAAAACGATGAGGTGATTCTGATTAAGGGGGAAAAAGAAGATGCTAGTAAGAAATTGAGACAATTAATGATTAAAAGTAGTGATGAAGGAGGAGAAAGCATATTAAATTACTGAGCATTTAATATACAGAAACAAAAAGTCCACAGAAATATCCTAAAATAGATTTAGCTTTTGTAGCTGAAACATTGTTCATCTTGCATCAATTTACTGTAAATCCCTATCTAAATTAACCAAGAAACCAAAATTCCCAAATGAACTTGTTTCATCGGCTAAAATAAAGCAATTAATGGTTAATTTCAAATGTTACTGAATTTTTAAAGCCATTTTCTTATGGATTTTGACCATTTAAAAAGAGGGATCAAAGAGCATAAGTTGAATAATCTTATTGATGCTCCGTATTGACGTTGTTCATGGTTTCATGTTGTATTTTTTTATCCTGACTTCAAAGTGATTTACCAATCAAGTTACTAGATTGAATACCTCTCAAAGCTTCATCAAAATTAACGCTTGACTCAATTTCATTAATTAAACGTTCAATCTCTTCACTATTGGCTTCCAATGAGCCTTTCTCCTTTTTCCCAATGGAATAGTCTGGATAATGTAATTGTTGTCTTCCAGGAGAGAAGTAAAGGTTTCCAGTTGATTTGTTAGTATAATGATTATCATGATCGATCATTTCATTTGGTGATCGTTTAATATCAAGAGATGGCGGTGGTTGTGAGGATTGGTTTACATAATCGGTCCAGGTTTGGGTTGAATCCAGTGATTCGGTGTAGGTTGACGATCGGATAACATTGGTAATTGGTGATGTTGGTTTATATTGCATCCCTTGGTTTTCATCGTATTGATTGTAATAGTCGGGAGGGAGATTAGTTGTTGTCCGAGTAGCTTGTGTTGGTGAATCAATACCGATTGGAGTTATTGATTTGCTTGATGATGAAGTTGTCTTCTCAAGAGTCTTGTAAATGTAATTAAAATCATCGTTAATTTGTTTCTGCCAATTTTCAATATCATTCAAATGTAATGGAGTCGGTGGTCTTCTTGGTGGTTCAACTGAGGACTCCCGTGAAGCTAACTGATGCCAACCCGCTGGAGTTAAAACTGACGGTGTTGGTGAAATGGCTGAAGGTGAGAGATTGAGTTGATAAATGAAAAGAAAATTAAAACATAAGATAATAATCTGTGTAATAAAGAGTGTTTATAAAATTGAAGACTACGGTCAAGGGTCATTTCAGCGCCATAACAAACTTCCCATGGACGAGAGCGAAGATATTAACATGCCATCAATAAACAACAACAATTAATGTTGAGATAATCTAATGATTGCGTTGAATTAGCTAAGCATAAGCAATAATCAAGCTAAAAATAGATGCAGTTATGTTTGTCAGGTTAGTTGTCCATTGTTTGTACAAAAATTATGTATAAAAAATGATGAAAAGATGACAATGAAGATGAAAATGAACATTTTAAACGTAGATTTGAAAGGCTGATTGTAAATTTGCGATTCCACTGTTAATTGATAACAAAACATCGCAATTATATTAAGTCAATGGGGAAACATTGTTATTATCGTTGCCATAAAATATCTGCAATTGGGTTGGTTTGAAACTGGTCAGTGAGTTAAAAGGCATAGTTGTTGGTTAAATTCAGCAATTTGGTTTCTACTGTGGTTAATCGATTAACAGGGAACCAATCAACTTTGCTTATGGTAATTATCAACATTTTGCTTTCCCTTAAACACCTAATAATTTGGATTGCTACCAGAGTGTCATTTTCATTGGCATGATTAACGAGCAATACAAGTTATTTTGAAACGCTTTCTCCGTTCAATTTACCACCAACTTGCTTATTCATTTTTATGTTTACAAATTTCATTGGTCCAACATTGGTAGGTGATGTTGGTATTTTGTTTGTAGGTTAATTTTGCTTGATTATAAGGTTGATTAATTAGTTGTTTGATGGATGATTAAACTTGCCAATCATATGATTAACTGGATAAAGACGTAGACTACAGAGATATTTAACTCTGGACTCATTAATGGTAAGGCAGGCTGGTGGAGATGATGATGAAGACACATACGAGGCTGGATAGGATGATGTAGATGCAGATGATGGTAATGGTGATGATGATGAAGATTGAAATGAAGATGGAGATGATAATGGAATGGAGGAGGAAAAGGGAAAAGAGTGGGATGATTGGGAACAGAGGGAAAACAATTTCCGTTCAAGAATTGATTTTCGCGTTGATGCAAGGCCAATCGGGTTAGTTGCACTGTTTACAATAATCTTTATGTACTCCTTATAATTAATTAAGCCTGGGTCAAAGATTATTATTGGTGTTAAAGTTATTCATCAGAAAAACATAAAAAAAGAGAAAAAGCTTAACATGATTAGTAAATTGAATAAAGAAAATAAAATTGACTGAAATAATATCGCATTTGAATCAAGTCTCACAAGAAATGAGGAAATTGTCTTTGGTTATAACTGCAGAGTTATTTATGGAAATGAACATAACTCTCATTGAATATTATCTTTCAAATTTCATATTTTCTTGTCAGATTTGATTCAGTGTTAGTTGGCCAGAAGAGATTAGTAAAATTACGTGATGAGAATAATGTGCTTTGAGATTAGTTTTTGGGTGAAAGTATGAACATTTTGCCCCCTCTTGATTTGCCATCATTTGATATATTGAAGGGTTTACTTTGATATGTTATTAGATAATAGAAAGGTTCGTTTTTCATCTAACTCTTGATTGGAAGATTTAACCAGAAATATGAAAGGGACGAAAAGGATGAGATAATGTTGATACACTGTGTATCTTTCCCTGTTTCCCTGTATTTAACTTTTCTACTCTAAGATCATTAATCAGTCTTCACCATTTTTTCCGCATTCAAATCCAAATGAGTGTGAAGGCCTCTTCATCTTCCTACCATTCACTCAACTGCAGAGGAGTTTAGAGATTGTCGAAGGTGATGGTTGAAGGTAAAGATGAAGACATCTTAATCTTTTCATCTACATTTGGGTAACTGATTATTGAACCTTATTAACAGAGAACGCCAAGGAATATTCTTGATAAAAGCATATTCATTTGTTGGTAACATATTCCAGGCTCTATTACAATACATTTACATACTTTTTCATTTTTGCATAAAACAATCATCTATCAAACCATTTCAGACAATTTATATTAGTCTTTTTATACACTGTTAGTAACTGTTCATTCATTGTTGATTGATTTAAAACTAAAAAAGAGACGTTTTAACAAATTTAAATTAATATTATCACCGAATCAGATTTACTAAGAAAATCTAAAGATAAATTTTGCTTGACAATGAGCCTGGTCGATAATATTTTCAAGAATAAAAAGCATATTCTGTTGCTTTATCAAGAATATGCTCAAGAATATTCTCACATATTCTAGACATTCTTTTACATGTTTTCCTGCCGTTCTCTGCTTATTAAAAGCAACACTTTTTACTAGGAAACACACAAAGATGAAGAAAAAAAAGGTCAAAAAGGAAACATTTGGGATCAAGAGGTTGTTTTGTAATTAAGCCATAAGGATTCCGAAGAGGATCAACAATGTGATGCCTCTTTAAATGATGGTGAGCTTGTGATGGTCGTGAATATGTTAAGCGTGCCAAAAAGCTTGAAGGTTATCTTTAGATTTGACATAACAAAGACGCAAACAGGACCAGATATCCTTGTCAAAGCTGTAAACAATCAGCTTAAAACGTTTAAACATGCAGTTGTATACTTTTCTAACTCAAAATATTCTAACATGTTATGTAGTAAGACGAAATACATTGCTTATTAGTGTTTCATATTTGATGCAAGATGACAATAAGAAAGGAAGTGATTAAAGCGTGATTGTAATTAAAGTGAAGAAAGCTAAATTACTTCAATCTATGATGAAAAGAGCACTGGTAGATGATAAAAGCCATTAGGTAAAAGGTTCGTGCAAATTGAACATTTTGGTTAATCATTAATTTTATGATCTTAAGCATTTGATAAAATTATGACCCTTACCTTTATGGGCTCTCGGTGCTGGAGCAGGTTTTTGAAGGCCTGAAAATGGTATATCCATGTCACCGCGTTGAATGGCACAATAAGTTGATCGAGAAGCAGGATTGGGAGCTGATGAACACCAAAAGAAAGGAATAGTTGTAAATATTGATTCTTAAAAAGACAATCGTTTTTAAATTTACCAGATTTTGGCTCCTTTTTCTTGATTATGTATGAAGAATCTGATTCATAGCCGTTTGGTGAAGTTAAAGCATTGAAAACACAATTTTTATGGTGAAGATCACGCTTGGATATTGTATGACGACGATGAGTATCCTCCAAGCTTCTTGGTCGATGGTGATGATTCTAGAAGAGATAAAGATAAAATAATATTAAAATTTAGCGCAATTTAAAAACATATTAAATACACAAATCTAAATAGATTGGATTGGTACCAAAATTGAATGAGAAACTTTTCAAGCACGAAGTATTTCTAAAACTGAAAGTGCAAATAATTTTCTGCGGGAAAGTATATTTTGAAAAAATTTCATGTAATGTCACTAATTAATAATTAACAGCTTGAATTAAGCTAACTTTTTGCTACCTTAATTTTGTTAAACCTTTCAATACGTGACCATTGATAATTTAATTATATCTATTTATAAATGAAACAACTGTGGAAACGAGCAACTCATTGGGAAAAATTTTGATTCCAGTTCTCATCTATTTGAAGGTAAAATATCAAGTAATGGTGCAAGGGAAAATGATAACCGGTAAGTTACCTGATTAGCGTTGATGACTCGATTAACTAAATCTTCATTTGTTTCAGATGATGAATCCTAAAAGATGAAATGGATAAAAAAGAGACATTAGAATCATCAGAACCAACAGCATGTGTGAACAAAGAGTTGATTCAAAAAGAAGAAATAATTTCAATTTTTCGATGTGAAATAAACAAAGTGTATAAAGATATGATTATCATGAAAAACGAGTGTAACTCTGGAATTCAAACTAAGCAGATTAGTAGTAACTGTTTCATTATAATTGCTGTTCAACTGCAAATAAACTGTTCATTTATTTCTGACTGTTGAAGTTTTTTATTTAAATGATGAGCTTCTATTGGTTAAAAATGGTTCTCACAATCAATCAACAGAAAAAATAAGCTCCAGAAAAGACTTTTTTTTTCTTTTTGGGTTCATTAGACGATAAGAATATTGGTTAAAGTGCTGTTAGTAATGGGTTAATGTATAGTCATCTTTAGCCTTTCTCTCAAATCATTAATCATCAGTCCAAAAAGAGTTACAATGTAACAAACAAATTGATTGACGAAAAGGTTTTTGATGTGAAAACAATCAAATGTACAAACATGGTTAATTGCATCAACAAAATAATGGCGACATGTAAACGAGAAAGTAATGTTAAAAGATGATCACCAATTGATTGGTTCACTTTGAGTCTGATATTCTTGTTCAATGGTAAGAAGTGTTCATTCGCTTACCTGTACATTAGATGAGAATACTTCTGAGAATATGGTATCAATGTAGTTAATTAAATCAGCATAAAACTGGGTAATTGTAATTATCACAGTTTATCACAATTTGAATGTGTGTGTGTGTTGGTCGGGTATCAAGTCAATCAGTCAGGTTTTGGATAGGCATAAACATGAGGATGGATGAAAAGGATGATTGTTAGTTTTGTGAGTTTGTCAAATGATTCATAATATCAAACGGATTAACAACTGGGTGCGGTTCAAGGTTTCATGAAAATTGAATTCGTTTTTTCGTTAACAGCTAAACACAGTGAAAGTATACGAAAAGGAACGAACAAAATACAAGGACAAACAGAGAAATGCAAAAAAGAACAAAAGGTGAAGAAGCGAAAAAAAACTACTATTCATATCGGTTCAAACAAACTACAGATGAAGTGTTTTTTTTTCATTAAATTCTGTTGACTGATAAATAAATATAAAAATTTTCAGGTAGGAATGAAATAGAAAATAAAATTGGTCTGGTTAGAGACAGAAAATTTACGAAAGAATGGCTTTACCTTATGTTTTTCTCGCAACGAAATGGATGATCTTCCAGGTTCATAATCAGCAATATTTCTTGGAGGTACTCTTGATGTGTTTTCATCTTCACTAAAATAATCTGGATCCATTCGATCTTTTAAAGTTAGTCCAAAGTGTTGAGAAATTAACAATTAATCAAAAAGTTACAAGATTCATGGTAGATAATGATTAATAACTTACCTCTACTTCTGCTTGATTTCAGTTTCACTCTAATAGGTTGATCTAACTCTGAACGGGGTCGATCACATTTATGTAAACGTTTGTACATGGTTTTATACCAATCAGATCCATATTCATCTTTAACACCCTGAAGCAAGAGGAGAGAGAAAAGTGAAAATTAAGTTGAAAAAAGAAAATTGATGAACATATGATAATTGAATTGATAATTTTCAATGTTTGTTGGTGAAAAAAAGGCACAGTTGAAAATAATAAACAAGGTCCACTGGATATATTGTTAATGGATAAAAAAGTTGTTACAATCCAGAAGTTAAGCTTTTGACTAACTCTCTCTCCCTCTTTGCCCATAACAACTCATCTTCATGTCTCTCTCAGTAATCATCATTTGACTCACTCGTTCAATTTTTGAAAAGAAAAATCTTTTCCTACTAACATTTAGCAAACTTTTTATACAATCACAAGAAGCGACTGGTTGACTGATGATGACAAGGTTCAAGTTTTCTGGTAAATCTTTGTTTTTATTACATTTTTCAATATCCACAAAGCTTTAGCAAACTTGACCGGGTTTAAGCATAAAAATAAACTAATAATCATCAAAGGGTGTGTCTTTTGTTAGCAAAACAAAAGGTGGAAAAAGCGCCAAAAGATTGAAAAGTAAAACACAGTTTTTTTATCGCCAATGAAACACACACATGAAAATGTTTACCAGGATAATCATTGGAAGGAATTAAAGTTTCACAAATATGTAACGTGATAAAATGTATTGCTGGTGACAATTTACAATGGTTAGACGAAACAATTGAAAAAGCTTCATCAGTTATGGATAAGGAAAGTGTCAATAGGTTTGCAAAGTGACAAGTCTTCAGGCCTTTGTGTTTCTTCCTCTTCATGGTAAGTTTTTTCTCTTTACTTATATAATGTGTATTGCGGGCTGTTACAAAATATTTTGGAAACATTTTACGACAAGGAAAAAAAGGAACCCTAGTTTGACATAAAACTTTTCTGTTGATGCTAAAGATTAGCTGTAAATGTTTCAATCTGTCAAATACTCGCAATGTCTCAACAAATTGATCTTTTCTCATAATCTTCTCTTTTACTGTCTCATCATTTCTCCAAGCTTAACCAGAACCAGTTTTTCCCCTTTTATTTGTCACATCTAACAACTTTTTTTTCTCCATCTTTTAATGTGTAACTTACTGATCTCAAGGAGACTGGAACTCCAGATTCATTGACTGGACCAATTCCTTCGTATTTAAGTGGTGGTGGGACAACAATCGATCGTACTTCTGTTTGGCTGGTTGGCAGTGTATAATATTTGGCTGTTGGTGTCTCATACAGAAACTTTGCATTTTGAGGGGGAGCTTTATCAGTTACCACTGAACTAATATTAGGATCATTGGGGTACGATTGTGAAAGGAAAGATTCTTGACTAGGATGATGCATCTCAGGGTACGATCCAACACCGGTTGCTGATGAGGAAGACGATTGACGAGGAAGTGTCCAATACTTGTTGATACCTTTGATTGTGATTGGTGGGGTTGGGGGTTCAGCTGGAGCTGAAGGTACATCGGATGAAGTTTCTCCTTGTTCACTTGGTGTTCTGGGTTGATTACTTGGTGGTGATGATGATGAGTTTACCTGAGGTACACCGGATTGAGAGGCTACTGGACTGACCAGTGATTCAGGTTGACGGACAGAGGTTTCACTGGGTGATGAAGGCATAACGGTGAAAGAGTTATCATCCCCTGTGGTTACCACTGAAGAGGCTACCAGAGCACCAGAGGCTGGAGAAGAGGCAGTTGTTGATGGTGCCATCATGTGTTGTTCATGGAGTAATTGCTGTTGTTGATGACCATCATTAACAATATCATCAAGGCCATGATTAGATTGAGTCAGTTTAACCGGACGGAAACCATGCGGTAAAGTAGCACATTTAATTACATTGAGAGACTCGGATCGGGTTGGTGTTGTTTGAGTTGCACAGGCCATTGTCATGGGTCCAGGAGTAACAGGTCCTGGGGTTGATGCAAGGTCACTACTTGAGCTTGATGTTGTACTTCCCGGACTCCAAACTAACCAAGGATTAAAGAAAAAGAAAAGATGAAATTACAATCAACATTCAATTTAATCACGATTTGCATGTGATTATTGATTTTTGACACAATAACTTGAACAATTATAAGGTTAAACTTCATCAAGGTTACCCATTTCATTGTAAAGAATGGGATTCTCATAGAAATGGTAATTAGAATCAAATAAACAACTAAAACAAAACAAAACAAAATCGGAAACGTGAATGATTAAATTAAATGGAGAGGATTCATGATTGACTAGACGGTACCTTCAGCTGATCAGCCTTTCTTCAACTGGTTAAACTGTCTATCATTGAACATTTAGTTAACCATTTAAATATTGCTGGGTTTGAGTTAAGAAAAGGAAATTGAATCTATACCATACCATATATAAAGTCAAAACATGAAATTTTTGCGTAAAGATTGTGGCCAAACTAAAAGGATTCTAAAGAAAATTTTTCCACAGCCTGAAAGCCATGATAAAACTACATCCACGAAAAATAGTCAGAACTTCATCGGAATTCAGGTACCTGAGAAATTAGCGTTTAAACAGGGTAGGGGAAAAAATGCAGAATCCGTATCTTTTACCATTGACTTTGGGGGAAAAACTTTTTTGGTTGTTCAGGTTGATTGTTGGTTTATTGTTAAATTATATAAGGATATGTAAAACCATTTTTCGAGTAAAGAGTTAAGCAAAAAATATGTTGCCTCTACTGTTGAACCAAATTTTATTTATTTTTCTCATTAACAATTGTTTTTCATCAATAATTGAATTTTAAATGTGGATTGGATTTTTTGTATTCAGTGAAAAGAAATTTACGATCAGTCATGATCGTGGCTCAGCTTGTTACAGTTAATATTTAAACTACTAGTAGACAATTAAACATTCAACAATTGACATTGAAATTGGCAACAAAAACTCATTGATTTCATTTAAAACAAGTAACATTGGGACAATATAAGAGTTTGACTAATACTCTGATAAATTATTACAATATTTACCTAAATTGTTAAATCTTTTTAACAAATTGCTATTAAGCTTAGTTTTCATTAAAGCTAATAAGCTATCAATAAATACACATTGAAATGATCAATTGAATCATTTCGTGTTTACAATCAGTTAAAGTGTGAAACTTGAAAAGTGAACCAATTCAATTGTAAACAATGATCAACTCAACGGATAATGATGATAATTATATCATGGAATAATGTTAAAACAATAAATCAAATGTGGTAAAAAGAAAAGTTAATTACTAATAAAAAAGAAAGTTAATTTTCAACTTTCCATTTAAAATATCAATTGGTGTAAAGTTAATTTATTTGTTGGTGTTTTGAAATTTGATACACTCTTCATGATTGAATGCCGTGTATATCACAATATGAGCAGAAAGAAGCAAAATTTGATTAGTAAATAGCATCATCATGATTGATAAGCCTGTCCAGTGAAAACGGAAATTAATGAACAATGTTTCCACGATAAGTTAACAATTTCAGATGTTACCGGTGCAAATTTGGGTAAAACTGGTTAACAAACATCAACATGATAAACTGGTTTCAGGACAATAAAGGTAAGTATTGTTGATAAAGTTTAATAATGATGCTGTTACTCGTCATCATAAGCATCAAAATAATGTCAACAATGTCAAGTATAAAAGTAAATAGGAAAATTGATTGACAACAAAAATTAAGGTAAAGGCTCTACAAATATCAACAAAAAGGTAAGTGATATGAAACCACTGTCTCTACCCGTTTTGGGTAGATTTGGGTAAACAAAAGCTAAAGGTAAATAACATGAATAATGAAACAAAACTCAGGGTTTAATCGTGATATGTGTTACAGAGGCCAAAGTAGGTCAAATATCTGTATTTAACTTAAACATTTTAAGGGGTTTTCCGTCAGATTTTTGAGCCTTTTTTGTTTTGGCTCTTGTTTATGGTTTAAAATAATTGATCGACTCAACCAATTTACCAGAAAACTGTATTTAGTTTTCTGGTTTACTCATCTTTTAACGTCTTACTTTCATTTGTTCACCAAAATTACAAATGATTAAGTGAATTGGAAAGTCAGTAATTAAGTTGAGTTCATAAATTATGTTCAATATTACCTTAAATTCAATTTATGTTACTTTATCTTTGCATGACTTTCCCATTTACCTGGTTTTTTTCATCCATCGCTACCATTGTTGTAACTAAATTATTGTGAACAAGTTAATTTAAGATATTAACATTGAAATTAAATTGTTGACTTATTAAGTAGCTAAAAGCTCAATCCGATTATTTTTAATCGTAAAAATAATGATTGTGATTTAAGGCAAGTTAATCTGACTTTATGATTTAACCCGAGAAGTGGAATAGTTTAAGCTAATCACAGTTACCGCGCTAATAATAATTTTTCAACAAGATCAAATTACGCCAGTTTAATTGCAATTTAGTGAGTAAAATATTGTTAGCTAAATGTTTAAAATCAATGAACAAAAAAACTGATCGTCATTGAATTAACCAAAACCAAAATGGAATCACTTTTTTTCGTATTTTCTGGTTGTAACCCAAAAAGCAACCCATTTTTTATGATACTTAATCTAGACTTGATCATAGCCTTAAGAGTTATTGTACATAATAATGATAAATATGAACTAAAGACCAGAAAAAATGATTAAATTTACAGCATAATATGACCAACGAATATAAAGAAATTAAAAATTAGATTCAAGCTTAATGATCAATTGAAGGTTAATCAAATTGAATGGAAACAACACTTGATTGAAATGAAATTTGATTAAAAGGAAAAGTACATTTTTGTGATTGACTTGCGAGAACAAAAAATGTCATCAAGTAAATTAAAAGACAATCAATTTTTGGTGTATTATTGATGATTACACCATGTTAATTAGTGTTGATGAACAATTTGTAAATGATGAATTAATAATGATAATGTTAAAAAATGAGAAGCAAACAGAAGCAAAGTAATGAGAAAAAATATGTGACTTGATTTATAACAAGCATATAAAAAGCAAGCCAAGGAATGGGTAAAATAAAGGTTGATGAAGATGTAAAATGTTACCAGATAAAGTGTAAAGAATGACGATGATGATGATAAAAGCATAGTAATGAATGAATGATAATACTCAGTATCATGATATTTTCAGATATTTAGGTATTGTTTGTGCGTGCAATAATATTAGGCCTAATAATAATATTACAAGTTACTTGCTTCAGTGTATTATCATTTTTACAGCAAGTATCACATTAAAACCTATTACACTTTGATGTTATAATACATTATCATTTGAAGGGAATCACTTTTAACTCAACAAATCATCATCATCAGTATAATAATAAGGAAAGAGCAATTCAAGTCTGTAAATCTCAATCCTCTGTAGAGTAAAACTTCATTGAAATGTTTAAGTATTACAAAAGGATGATATTGAATTTTCAAGTCATGACTGATGGAATGTGAAAATAATCATCAAAATAAAACACGATACACCACAAATCTGATGCATGATGATGGGGATGAAATTGTCAGTAGCTAATAGCATGGAAGTGCATAAAATTTTATCCCTTTTTTACCAGTAATTTCAGATCTTTAAGGTGTTTGGACTTACTGTTTTTTGGAGCTCGAGCTTTATATGAAGGTCCTTTGATAACGCTTGTCATATCGCTATCTTCCGATTCAGGGCTACAGGGTAACTGAAAATCTGACCCACCAGAAGGAGAATCGAGGGTTGATGATCTTTGAAGAGGCAAATGAAAATGGTTTTGATGGTGTTCTTGGTGGTGATGGTGAAGATGATGTTCAAGATGATGTTGACGATGGTATTCCTCTAAAGCTTCAAGTGAAGGGAATCCGGTAAAATTATTGGTGTACAGTTGATGGTGAAAAGGGTACAGATTATGGTGTAAATGGTGAAGAGGTGAGGGTGGTAATGGTGGTATCTCCGGTGGAAGGTGACTATCGTCTTCAAGTTGACCACTTTTCTTGCGTCTTCTTCTTCCTCGATGTCTATCTTTATCGTCTTCTTCCTCTTCTTCTTGTCTTTCTAAGTCTTCTTCGATTTCTTCACCTTCTTCAACCTCTTGTTCGACTTCTATCCTACAATTACCAGTGATTCCTACTTCTTGCTCGTTTTCCTGTCTTCTTCGCTGGTTTTCACTGTTTTGATTATGATCACAAATTAATCCAATTGCTGATGATTGGGATAGTTGATGAAGGGCTCGCTGTGTAGGAAATCGAGGTCTTTCTGGTGGTCGAGTGGGTATAATAATAGTCCCTGGACACGATATAAGAGCAGCTTCTGGGTGTTGATGGTGGTGATGATGGTGACCAGAAAAAAATTGTTGGTGTGAATGGTGATGTGAATGACTATCAATTGTTTCAACTTCTTCTCCAGGAGATAAAATTTCCTCTTCACTTTGACTATGAACTTGGTAGGCTGTGGATGTTGTTGATGGTGATGATGATGATATCCAATAGGTGCAGGGCCAGTTGAGGAAAGACAAGATTAGAAAAATTAATGAACAAATTGAGATTAAATTTGTAACAATTGAACAAGTAAAATCCCAATTATTTGGTGGTGAGGTAAACAGGGAATGGGGACAAGATTCAATATAAAATGACTCCAATGTTTATTATATTTTTGCTTGTTTGCTGTAAAAACACTTTTCAATGGTAAAACCAATTCAGTCGAACTATGGAAGAAATGAAATTGGCATTTATATTCAACTTCACAACCATTTAAACTGAGCAAATAATCAGCTTAATCAGTGGTGTATGGCTGATAAAAGGGCAAATGATCAAGAAGACTTTTTGGTTCAATCCAATGAAAGTGTTTGAAATGAGTTGAAAATATTGAAATAAAAAGCTTGTGAATAACAATAACAATCTGCTTTAAAATCACGGTAAGGATTAAAATTAAGACTTAGGATAACTTGTTGATGATTATGATGATGATGATGATAAGTTTGATGATGTTGGTTGAATCAGTAGTAAGAAAAAATAGAGAGAGAGATGAAGATGATCCTATTTTTGATGGAGGAGCCGAGAGCTTCTTCATTTACTGAGAATTGGTTTCATTTGGAAATGACAAGAAGAGAAAGAGGAAGAGAGAGAGAGGAAAAAGGTGAAGATGAAAATGATGAGGAAGATATGGAAGAGGGAAGAGGGCGAAGAAAGTTTGCCAAAAAACAGTGATCTAAAAATCCTGGTTGGTACCCATAGTGAGGCTTGAAGAGGAAGGCAAACGATAACTCGCAGCAACTACTCTTTTTGAAGAGGAGGACGATGGTGATGATTATGATGATGATAAGAAAGAGTCTAGATTTTACCTTTCTTTCAAACTAAGCCATCTCCATAGGAAGATGAGTCTCATCATGTTATGAATCTTAAATGTTGAGCTTGCTTTTAAACTATTTATGGCAATCTTAATCTCACTTTTATCTTCCTCTTCATTTTTCACTTTTCAATGTTTGCTTCTGATTTTCATCTTAATCAAATTGATTTGTTTAAATGTTAATGTTTAGACAATCAAGAGTTGAAATTGGGTAAAAGGTTAACATGAAACACAATGAATTTAAAATCTGTTTCCATTGAATTTTGATGTCAACTGAAATCTTCTGAATTACATAATGGTTATGAAATTAAAATATTTTCATCACTTGAAATGTTAACCTTGTTAACTAATTACATACTGTAATTGTTGTACAATATGTAAACATTGAAGCATAATAAGAGAGATGTTTCTGTTCAGTGAAATGTTCATGGTAACAAAGGGTAATTGAAAATTGACAATAGCAGTTAAATTGATTGGGAAAATAATGAGATGAAATGGTTAACGTTCATTGTTTAACTAAGGTGGTTTTAAATTGTTACGTATATCTTTTGTGGTTGTTTAAATATCAAAACAAGACTAATGGTGTTGATTGTTGATTATTGTATGCATGTTAAACCAAATGAATGCTTGTTATGCCATTTTGTGGTTGTTTGGTGAAGTGATGAAGATGAAACCATTAAGATTTAGATGATTATGTTAATGATATTTAGTCAAAGAAAAACATTTTCAACAATTGAATTCAATTAACTGTGATTCTGTTAACGGTTTAACATCAATTTGATTCCTCACACACTCATGTATTGTATGGAAAAACATTGTAAAATAAATGAAAAATGGAAATGAATTATTAATTATTGAGAACAGCAAATTGGATCAACATCAATATGGTTTGAGACATGGATTGACATTGATTGACAGTTTAATCAGATTGAAACATTTCATTGAGAGGGTTGATGATAATTTGATTAGCAGACAAAGAGAACTAGTTTTATTATTTCCAATTAATGAAAATAATTATCAACAGCTATAATGGATAACAGTTCAAATGAAATGGTTAGCCAAGCCAAAAGAGATTTTTCAATGTAAAGAAAAATGGGTTTTTGAGAAAAATTAAAAATACCATGGCATGTGAATGTGCTAATTCATGAATGAGATGGAAGACCTTGAATGGAACTTTTCAAGTTGAATAATTATTTGATTATTTAACAGTCCTAGTAAGTGAGGGTAAACATTTGGTTAACATCAACCATCTAATAGATTTGTATACACTCAGATGATTAACATTGTAACAGTTTATTGTGATCCAGAAATAGTGGGTAACTCTTCCCAGCATCGTCTGACACAACAAAATCAGATCAGACAATTTAATTTATCACTAGAAGACAGAAAACATAATTTCCAATTGCCTCATTACACTGTATATAAGACGAAAAATGGAATTGATGATCATAGGCAATTTAAATGAGTGAAGATACAACAATATGGAACATTTATGTTATGAGTTGGTAATGGTGAAAATGGCGGACATGATGGCATTATGTTGAACCATTATCAAATTGTAATAAGAAGAAAACCCGCCAAAGATAATTAGCAAGCAAATTATTCACAAATACATGAGGAAACACAGCAAAAGACAGAAGACACTTGGAGAAGAAAACACAAGAATTAAACTCACAAATTGACCAACTTATAACGGACAGATAACACTTTGAGTACAGAATACATGTTCAGAGTATTGTTAATTAGTGACAACTGATCATTGGTTAACAATAGTAAATCAAATGACAAAAAAATCAATTGAAAATTAGATTAAGACTTGCAAGAAACAGATCATTATGTTTGAAATAAATGGTGGGAAAAATGCTAAGATCGTCTGGTTGATGGCGTAACATGTGCATAGATTTGTCTAGAAGAAACTGGTTACCGTTTTTTTTGTCTTGATATTGCTTTTGTTTTGTTTTAGTTTTATTTAATTATTTTTATTTGTGATCTTATTCTGACGGTTAAACTTACATTGATTATCATTGTGAGGTGATGATATTGCTGATGATGATGATGTCTCGGTGTCTAAAGAGCTAGACGATGAGGATGACAAGTAACCTTCTTCATCTTCTTCAAAGATTGTCTCTAGGTATGCTGGTAATGGATGATGATTAAGGTAGTCCACTTCAATTGGAGTTACTCGACAATTGGGATTTTGTGGATTGTTTGATCCTGAGGTTGATAAGTTACACTCATAATCATTTTTAATATCATCAACATCTTCATCAGTATAAATGTCACTGGGTTTAATTGTGTAATTGTTGTATTTTTCAATTTTATTATCACTAGTTTTGCCATTAGTAAGCAAGTTTGTTGCTTCTGGATGGACAAACTCTGTTGAACTATCACTTTCATCAGCTGATACGTTAACGGTAACATGGGAATCATTTGGTTGTTTCGCATTTTCAATGTCACTCTCATCACTTAAATAAACAACTTGAGCATAAAGTGGACATAAATGAGTATCATTTGGTGTTACAGGTAAATAGACATGTGAATTACTATGGCTAATATTATTTTTACCATTAAGGTTATTGTCGTTTTGAAGATGCTGGTGATTTACACTGTGACAAAGGAGAGAGTTATTATGTAGTTCATACAATGATTTTGATCCCAACATGGTAACAAGGTAAATGAAGTAAAAACTCACATATAGCAATAAAACTTATTTATTTCAGTAGATTTTCTGGTGCAACTTGATAAATTGTATCCCAGCAAATAGTTTGACTGGTATCAATTGTTGAACCATTAAATTATTGAACACAAATCACTGTTACAGTTCAATCCATAGGTCACTTTGAAACAATACTAATTTAACTTAAATTAACACAATATACTTCGTTTTTTTTTCTTCTAGTGTACTTTGAACAAACTTCAGGGTCAGGCCATATTGACACAGCTAAATGATGTAAGGATGTCTTTTTGGAAGCTGATTTTTTTGCAAGCAACAAAATGGAAACAAAGATGTTACACAGAGACAGGGAAAAGTGAATGAACGACCAAGAAAAGAAAGACTCAAGGAGAGAAAATACTTGGAGATGTGAATCTAAATTAAGATTCAGTTAAAAGAGAAAAGAAAGAGCCAGAAGAAAGGAAACTGATGAGGACAGCAAAAAGATGAGACAAAGACACAAGGGTGAAAGACTGAAGACAAGGATTGGTGATGATAATCGTGAATGAAAATTATGAACGATAGCTTGATGGTGATTATGAGGGAAGGAGAGAAGGCGATAAGCAGATAGAGAAGATCAAGAGAAGTGGAAGAAAAGGCGTGAAGGGAAGACGAGAGAGAGAGATGAAACCTTATGGACAAAAGTTGAGAGTAAAAGTAATTAGAGTAATCCCTCTATAAGCGGTTATCACCATCAATATACACATTGTGATTGTTTGATTGCAACTCATGTTAAGCTATTCCTTCATTACCCGTTTCCCGTATTTCATGGTTATCGCCATTCAAACAAGGCTCATGGTTACGTACCGATGCTCCTCCGCCCATCATCATCCAGTCTCACTCACCATCTTTCTCCCTGTTATGTACACAGTCACTTTAGATCCACCTTCTCCTCCTCCATTATTAAAATAGGTTTACCTTAAGTTGACACATATTATCGTGTTTCGTGATTTTGTTATTGTTGCTGGATGACAATAGCATTACGGATGTACACAATTACTGTATTGCTGCCCATTTTTTTCATTAACCTTAATCAACTTCATATTACATTGAAAATGGTGCTTATAAACTTGTTTGGCTATTTATGCTTTTAACTTTCACTCAACATCACTTCAATCCATCTTAAATGATTTACCTAAACAACAATGAACCCAGCAACAACAGCATCTAACTAACGGTCAACACTTGAAAGCACTTTTTCTGGCAAGCAAACAATTGAAAGACTTGGCATTCTTTGCTTTTATGGTATTGTCCAGCTTACATTCAAATCATAATGATTCTGATCTCACGAATAAACCTTGTAAATCTTGGATAACAGTTTACCGTCAAAAAACAATATAAAATGAACAGTAATCACTAACATAATCATCGTAAACCATGATCATCATAAAAGGATAAAATAAAAACAAGTAAAATAAGCAAAATGGAAACCCAATAACTGATTGTAAAGTCATTCCACATTGGATCGCTCTTTGATTACAAGACATGGCGATGATCATGTTTTTCATGAACACCGGTTATACCAATAATTTCTCAAGATTATCTTTCACATTTCAACCCAACACTGAAATTATATTCAATTTACAACCAACGATGACACAAATGGAGTCAACTTGATCTCGCCATTTTTTTTGTATTAAAATATAAATACAATTTCATTTCAAACCATAGAAACATTATCATATGTAAAGTAATTAGGAAATTGCGACGATTCTGTCGGTAAAGTGATTTACAAGCAAATATGGAGCCAATCATCATTCAAGATGGTGATAAAGGAAATATATCAACTTGAAAGGTTACTCACCTTCATTATTGGAATCATCTTCAATGAAATAACAACAAGGTTGAACAATTTCCAGATCAGTGTATCTGCAAATAAAAGTGAAAGGTTTAATTGTTAAAAATAATTGTAATTATTGTTGAAATGGTAATGAAACAATCAATGTATAAATCATGAGCATAAATCATTGAGTAAACTGAGAGTCAGTCAAGTAAACATAAATTATATGCATATTAATGTATGTCAACCTTGATTATGTTATCAAATTGTTGCCATTAAATGTGATTCCTTGTGATTACCATAAATTTTAATATTTCAAAGATATCAACAGCAACAACAATAAAGAAAAGGTTACCATGAAAAGGTGAACAAATTTGGTCAATCTAACCTGAACAAGTTTCACCAAAGTAAATGTACATTATCACATCAATTGAACAAATTGAATCAATTTTCCATTTTCAGGTCCAACTTTTTTTATATTACAATGTACATTGTCATGAATTATTTGATAATTGAAAATAAATTGATTCAATTTGTGTAATACTTTCTATTTTATGACTTCATTTTTATTTCACTTTCAATTTTAGATTCAATTTCAATAGATGCTGGAAAAGAAAGTCAACTTCACCCTGTAATTCAAATAATGTTTCAAGTAGCATTTTTATTTCATTTTCATTCAACCTTTTGATTTCACTTGAAATGTGATTGTTGTGCTAAAAGGTTGATTAATACAAATGAAATATCAAACATGTGAACACTGGAATCAATGAAATACTTTAAAAGACTCAACTACAATAACCTGTAATGTTTTGCACCAATTAAATTGTAAATCACTGAATGTCAACAAACAAATCAATCTTTACAGCAAAATCACACTTATGTTTGGTTTGTGACCGGCTCGCGCATTCAGAGCCATCTATTGGTATCAGAGCTCTAGCCCTGTCAATAATAACAAAATAATGGACGGCGTTGTTTTTTGGGCTAAATAAGTGTGAATTTACTGAATTATGATGATGATGTTGATGAATTAAAGTTAAGTTTGCCTTGTTTTTTGGTACAATATTTGTGTTTATTATGATCATAAAATAATATCAATACAAATAAATTGTTTACTCGGCAAATAAGTCAGTTCATCTTGATCATCACCATTATTATTATCATTAGCAAATACAATGTAATATCTAGCTGATTCAGTTTTCATGATCTAACCCAAAATTAATCGTAGCAAAAAGGAAATCTCTGAAAACAGATTTTTTCAATTAATTTTTCTTCCAATCTTGACTGAAAATAATCAATTAACCATAATCGCCATTCAAATTAAACTATAAAAATGTGTTACATTGAATGTTGATGTTGATTGAATCTCATGATTTTTTGATGTTGTTTATAGAAGTAAGGAAAACAACAATTTTACTTTACCTTCGAGCAGTTAAATGTAATTGTCTATTTAATGTGTGTTTAATCAGTTGATAGGTAAAATCAAGTTTAGTCAATTTGATTGATTGATTTTCAATATCTGGATAAAGAGAAGAGTAAAAGTCGCAAAAATGATTTTTGGTTAAACTGGTCTCACAAACTGGGAATATTTTTCATTACCTTCAGGACTTGATTCATCAACATTTCGAGCCAATGTTAGTGGATGCTTATCAATTTCAAGGTTATTAACGGCAACAATTTCATCATTAACTTTGAGACCATTTTTATGGGCACGACCACCACAATTAACCTGTAAATTAACAATTAAACAAATGGTTAAACGAGAAGAAAGGACAACAACAACACACAAGTTAGGATGAGCAACCAGAAAATGTATAACCTTGTCATTGTACAGCATAATCATATGATTGTTCAATTTTCATAAATCATTATTAACATCATAATCATAATCATCATTATAATCATTATGTTAATCATTATGATAATCATCGTTATTGTTAGTAAACCCAATCAATTTGGGTTAACCTTGATTAACCAGATTATTTTACTCGGTGTTAGGCTCTTTACACCGTTACTGATGACCAGAGCTTTTCATTTTTAATCAACTCATATTTTCAATCAAAAGGCACCAATTTTATGCCGATGCATGATCTTTTTCCCTTTCATTTCGCTTTCCTTCAATCTTGATTAGTGCTGATGAAAAGATGGACGACGCCTTTTTTAACCAGTTTTGCTGATAATTTTTCCCATTGAAAATCAATGGACTTTTCACAGTCTTTTATGGATGAATGCATAGACATAAGGTAGATAAACGGCATAGAAAATGTAAAGTCCAGACGACTGTTAGACTTACCTTACTGATGATAACCTTGTTTCCTCTTTGTTTAATCCTAAAGCCCCATGGTGGCCCACCTTTCAGAATAAAATTGATCACAATTGTATTACTAATAACATCTTGGTCCATTTATGACCAATAGATAAAATATAAATAAAAGACTGTATATGCAGGCGAATACTTGTGTATTTATAATTATGGAATATCAATATTATATTAAGAATTTAACTTATTTTTCTGTCTTTTTTATGATAACTACTATATATCAGTAGTATCTCAACGAAATCACGGCTATATTCTTTCTATAAATATTCAAAGTAAAACTGCATCGAGATCAGAAACAGATCATTGTATTGAAAAACAGAGAGTCTGTGTATTTTGTCCCAAATAGACAGACTCATAAAGCCACAAAATTTGGTAAATAAAGAGGAAGCTATAAGAGATGATCAGTTTTATTCGATTTGCTTAGCTTTCCTCTTTTTTTTCCTGATGATGTTTTCCAATATGTAAGCAGAATATTGAGGTCACATGGGCTGAAACCTGGAACAAATGGAAGGTCAAAGGTTGGGTTGGCTAATGTTAATTTCATTGCTTCTTTAAAGCACTTTAATGTTTTCATTAATCATTTGTCAATTTTTTTTTCTACATTTGATTGCCATAAATAGCAAAGTTAACTCTAGAGATTTTTTAAGGCACTATGAAAATTTAATGACCAGATTTTGGTCGAACACAATGAAAATAATGATGATAATGATGTGACTGGCCAAATGAGTGATGATGATGATGGCGATTACATTGTTTTTCATGTAAGATTGTTATGAGTTGGCTGATTTAAGCAATAATAAAAATGAAGTTAAACCTTTAGTATTTCCAGGTCAATCTGGCACATCATTAAGGGTGACGCTATCGTCCCAATCAACGAAACCTTTATTGGTAGAGAAATCGAGTGTACGATGCATCACGATTGGCAGTGAGTAAGGAAGAGGTTTTGATGACGTTTGAGTGTCCAATTGACTTTTAGCCATTCGCAACTGTCGTTCCAATTCGTTTACTTTCATTTTGAGTTGAGTGTAATCGTGTTCTTTGAAGTCCAATTTAGCTTGAATATTGTTTAGCTTTTTATCGTATTGTTCCTTGAGTTCACTAACGGCAGCTTCCTTCTCGTCCCATAATTTTTGCTTGGCTTCTCTTTCCTCCTCCAATTGTTTCTTGGCGATCTCCAAGCGTTCCCTGAGCATGATGATTTCCCCATTTAGCTTGTCGAACATCGCCTCGGAACCTTTGGATGCACTTGGTGGAGGGACAAATTGCTGGACAGATCGATGGGCTGGTGACTGTGGAAGAGGCGGTGGGGGATCTGGTCTCTTGAATTGAGGCTCTATCGGTGATGGCTGGCCAGATCCTGATGATTCATCAGGTAAATCCAAGATTTGACTACAAATCAAATCATCATCAGGATCATCCAGGAGGTAATCATCCTCGTCCATTGGGGTGATGGGCTGATGACTCGACTCCTTGCCAGCCATCCCTGGTTTGGTCACATAAGCTGAAAAAAAGGAAACTAACAGTTAATAACAGTTCACAATAGTTGAAAATAGCTAAAAATACAAATTAAAAACCTTACCTTTTCTCATCATGATTAAAAACTTGTAAAATCACAGAGCAAATCACAAAATCATAAGCTTTTTTATTTGTTTACTTGAAAAAACCGGTAAGCTGTAAGAATAAGATTTTTTGCTATTTTAACAGCAGAGTTTGTTGAAATAAATTTTAATGAAATTAAATAAATTTTGTAATTGTTCATCATTTTTGAGTTTATTTTTTAACTTAATTTAATTTTTGAAACAGTAAATTAAAATTAACCCTGCAATTTAAATCATTTTACATTTACCATTTGTTATCCATATTAATATTCATTTAATAAGTGAAAGTAAATGTTAATTCTGGTTTAAATCTTAATGATATTTATTAATGTAAATTAATTGATTATTAACACAATTAGCTGTTCAAACATGTGGTTAACAGGTTACATTAACCCATGCAAATTGATTATTATACTTCAGACTGTTACATGTAAAAGCTTTTACTGTTACTCGTTAATTTACTTCGATGAAAGTAAAATCTAAATCTAAAAATCTTTCTAACTTAACCATTAATCTAAACGTTTATTGATTAATTTAATAAAACGGTATATCTTGCAAATAAATGGCGATAATTACCACTCTTTAATCTTGAGTGCTAAAGTACAATTGAATTTAGTTTCAAAATGCATTCAGATAATGAAAATTGATTGAAAATAAGCTTCGCCAGCTTTGGCGTTTGCTAATAAATACTAATCATGTTTCCCCTGACTTACTATATTTATACCTTTCAATCTTGGCTGCTGATTTTTTTAATAACAATAATACAAACATGACATTGAATATGAATTTATTTTTCGTCTGATAACAGCTTAAGATGGATTCGGAATCAATATTTTCATGGTTTTATTGTTGGCGGTTCCAACCAGATAAAAAGTTGCCTTGGTAACAGTCTAAACAAAAAACTTGCATTTTCATTGATTTGATTTGAATTAAAAGTTGAGTTTCCACCTGTACTCTTGTTAACTATCAATCAAGCATCTATTTTTCAATAATTGTTGAGCATTTCCTTAGCCTACAAGATGCTTAATCTCGGTGACACTATGCCTAACATTAAGGCTGACTCTACTATTGGACCGATTGAATTGTTTGATTATTTTGGATCTAATTGGGGAATCTTGTTCAGTCATCCTAAAGATTTTACGCCCGTCTGTACCACCGAGCTTGGTCGATTAGCTCAACTGGCTGAATCTTTTGAGAAAAGAGGAGTGAAAATTGTTGGATTAAGTGTTGATACAGTTCAAGATCACAAAGAATGGACGAAAGACATTGAAGCTTATGCCAAAGCACCAGTAAAATTCCCTCTTCTTGCGGATCCCAACGGTGATATTGCGAGGTTAGTCTTTTGTACCTTTTATCATTTAGGTTTCAATGATATTGTTGCATATTTCATGAATATTTCTATAATCTCTTTTTTGTACTACTATAAAGGTCGTTGGGTCTATTGGATAAAGATTCTGCTGATACTTTGACAGTTCGTGGTGTTTTTATTGTGTCTCCTAACCGTAAAATCCGTGCAACAATCTGTTATCCCACATCAGCAGGTCGTAATTTCGATGAAATTCTCCGTGTTGTTGATTCATTACAATTTACCGATGCAAGACCTGATACTGTTACACCAGTAGGCTGGAAATCTGGCGATGAAGTAATTGTTAAGCCTGGCTGTCCATCAACAGCTGACACTAAAGTTTTACAAGTGCCTTCTGGAAAAGAATATTTAAGATTCACAAAGTGATTACTTGCGAGTAAAATTCAGCAAAACATTGCTAATAAAGACCAATATACGATCTCTAAATAAAGAAGAATTTTAAAGATTATCCATAAATTACTTCAACTTATCGGGTAAAATTTTCTCTATTTCTCGGCAAATGTGCCGGAGTTTCATTTATGCTTTCCATATCGTCATCATTGCAGAATTTTATTTCACAGTTGGCGGTTAGATAAGTTCTTGGATTACTCAACGTCTCCCTCGAACTTCATTGCTTGGAAATTAAATATTACATAAAAATCAACGCAAGAGACATGATTTAGATAATTATCTTCGAATGAGGCTTATTTGAACGATTCAAACCATACTATACCAATACTTTAAATGGCATGAAAAATATTTTGAGCTCTTGTCAAATTCAGACTCCAGGCTTTCTGATGAATTTGCCTCATTTTAAACCATTTAATTTTAGTTATCACTAAATTGTTAATCTGTCGATCTATTCTATGAAAAAATGCTCAATGCTAATATTCCTGAGAAAAGTCGGCACGATTCTAAGACGGTTTTGTTTTCACCTTCAGCTCTTTCGCGAAAAGCGAGATCAAAGGCTTGTCATAAACTAATCCAATCAAGCTTGAGGCGGCATGAACAAAACAATTGTCCTTAGACTATTAATATGATTGAACATGGGTTCAGCTCAAGTCTGAACCGCTTCATCTCTCAACGGGTAAACCTCGCTAAAGTTAATTGTATTATGAAAATTATCCTTCAGATTTTCCTTTAATCTGAATCATATGTCTTGTATTTATTTTTTCACTTATTCATATTAGATACAAAATGAGCTGAAAAATTGTCAACGCAACTCATGGTTTCTGATTGATGATTACATATCTGAACATTGGAAAGATAACTTATTGGGAGAAATGGTTAGCAAATTGTTAAGAGATCCATCGATACGCCCAACAATAGAGAAGAAATCATTGATTACGATGGAGAGGGAAGAGAAAGTTGTAAGTTCAATCTTGATTAACTTGATTGAAAAAAATTGTCACTTTGTTTTCCCGTAAAAATAATGATAATCACAGTTGTAAGCCTAACAACAATCCAAGAGTGAGCGATTGAAAGATAGACATTGATATACATAGATGAATATGAAAAATTGATTATTTGTATTTCTTACATTGATTTTGTTTCGTACTCAGTATACCAAAAAAACCAGAAGCATCATTTAAAAATTGCAACAAAGTCAGTTAATTACGCTTATTATTGTTATTCCTAGTGTACTACAGTAATTATTGGTACGTGATTTTGTTAAACATTTGGTTAACCATTCATCATCAAGCAGCCAGTTTGATTGAAAAACAACGGTTATTTAACTTTGGAAATCGGATCATCACTGTTTATTCAGAACTGTATTGGATAAAATAGGAAAGTGCATGTAAATTAAAAAACCCACGTTAATCATAGACACAAAGAACCAGGGAAAGGGAGGAAAGAAAGACACTGAAAGAGAAACAAAAAACACCCATCAATTAAGCCTCAATGAACCCAATTACATTGTTAATTATTTTACTTCCAATAACATTTGCATTTCCATTGCCATTAACCAGCTCTTTGGATGACTATGTTCAACAAACGGAGCCTCCGAAATCAAATGAACACCGTCAATTTGACCATCGATTGATACAAAATCCAGACTATTTCGAAGGTGATATTGTCACTCCAATAGACGATGTAAGAATCTTACCGAAAGATCAACCAATAAACGGCCAAATACAAAACTGTAGACTTCAAAACAATATTCAATGATTAGACAACAGACTGTTGGCTTAGCAAGTGTTTTGTAGCAAGTTACATAAACTGTTGATTGCGAGGTCAGTTTTGTATTTTGTCAGTTTATTGGTCAACTATTTGTATTCACTTAATCAACTGTGATTTTATATTTTGTCAATCAAAGCTTTGGAGAAATGCTGTGTCCAGAGATGAACAACTATGGCCGTTAGGAGTGATTCCCTATGTTATTGACGCAAGCCTAAGTATGTATTCAAACCTGACTGGTGTTTTTTTGTGTGAAAACATAATTGAATTTAATTATTATCTAATTATTCCTGATTACCTTAAGCTTTAACCCAGTAATAGTTTTGAACATCTCATTAACTGTTTTCATTGTTAACAATAGATAAGTCCAGCTCCTTACAATGACCATTAACGTGGACCACAGAAAAGCTTGCTTTTCTTTTCACATCATCCTTATCCTTTTTTTTCATTTTAGCTTTTTCAAGTCCATCCTTTTTTCACAAAATTGTTTCTGTTTACTTATTTTCCTCTTCCTCTCCCAGTTTTAAGCTAAACACTCTAATCCTTTAACACTTGTTTGTAAACCAGTTGAAAAAAATTGTAGAGACTTTAATTAATTACAATTTTACTTTACATATTTTACAGACGATATTAAAGAGCATATTGATGCAGCATTGGCACATATTCAAAACCGAACATGTATACGGTTCAAGAAAAGGACAACAGAAAAAGATTATGTTAAATATTTTGCTGGAAATGGGTAAGTTAAACATTGGCTATTCTGGCATTTTTTATTAGCAATTTAAATAGCATTTCATTGTTATTAACAAGTTATAAAGCCATTTCAATAAAATGACCCAAAGAAAAAAGTTGAAGCAAGAAAAAAAAACAGAAATCAGTTTCAAAGTGAAATTATCACAACAAACAACAAGCTAAGGACCACCAACAATAACCTTTTTTAAACAAAACTGCAAAAATATTATATGCTGTGTCAAAATGAAGGGTAAAAAAAGAGTCCACACGACTACAACTTTCTCTTGCTTTGCCGACTTTTATCATCATGGTCATCCTGGTCATCTTCTTCTTCTTCAATCATTATCTTTATCATCACCTCCTCCTCCTCCTCCTCCTTTTTTCACTAGACCTTGCAGCTATTTCCTCATTCTTGTACTCTTTCCGTCGTATTTGTCTTTAACCTTTGCCCACTTTAATGTCCACTTTCGGTTTGCCTTTTTTTTGTGTGTCCATCTTTCTTTCTCTTTCACTTTATTTACCTATTAGGTGTGTCAGGTAAACGTCATTAACGCATTTCACAGAATCTCTGATTGTTTGTGATTTGTTTTGTTGAGTGTATGTCCAGGCTCACGGGTAAGGCTAAGAAAAGGCGAAAAGAAATATTTCAACCTCTCTAAGAATGTTTCATTGTCATTTCGCCATGGAATGTATTGAAAAAAGACCTTTAAGAATCTCTTTTTCTTGGTCTTCTTTCTTTTTCTTGAGTAAACTTGTCTTAAGAAAATGATGCTTAGCCAGACTGCACGGCGACTTTGCTCTTCCATCTTTTATTGTCGCTAACATTGTCATCCTCCTTTTTGCTCCTTATTTTGTCCATCTTTATCTTCTTGTTCCCTTTTCTTCTTTTCTTTCTTTGCTCTTTTTTTCTCCTTCTTCAACTTGTCCATCTTCGTCCTTTTTTCTTGCTTTCCTTTCTTTGGGTCATTATCATCATGATTGGTTACAGTAAATCACATCTCAAATAGTAGTGAACCAATGAATAGAAAAGATTTTAAGTTGAAATAATCTGTAAGAAACAAAAAGAAATGAGAAAAAGAAAATTCGTTAAAGAAAGTGAAAGGTTAAACTTATATTTTTTACTCTTACATTTAGGTCAAGTTAATGGTTTACTATTAGATGAATGTTTCATGTTAATGTTTAAATTGTTGTTGAACAACTTGATGTTTATTGGGAGATTTATAATAACCATCCTAATCATAATCATTATGGTAATAATTGTTGTTGTTTTTGTATTATTAAAATGTTTTCCACTATAGATGCTTTTCATCGTATACTGGAAGGAAAGGTGATCAACAAACTGTTAGTATTGGTAAAGGATGTGATTTTCATGGACTGATTGTTCATGAAACAATGCACGCAATTGGCTTTCATCATATGCATACTCGCTCTGATCGAGATAATTATCTAGATATTTTTTGGAAAAATATTGCTGAAAGTTATAAAGCTCAATTTATCGTTCAACCACCGCAAGAGCTACGTTTTATTACTCCATTTGATTATGATTCAATCATGATGTATGGACCGACAGCTGGTAGTAAAGATAATAAGTCAGTAACAATGTTACCAGTTAACCGGACGATACCTTTGATTGATGCCTCTATTAAACCTGGTTTGAGTAAGTATGATATTGAGGCAGTAATTAAATTGTACAAGTGTGAAGAAACGATGTGACCTGTTTAATGATTGTTTTTTTGTGCTGTTGATGAAACTGAATTTAGTTCTGCTAATAGAGTTATATTTTTTATCCTATTTATCTCATTTGCATACATTGTAATAACAAAGCCACAATAATTCATCAAGTTTTTTTTAAATAATTGTTCTTTTTACTATTTTTATTGATTGATTAATCAAAAAAAATCTGTCCATTTTATGTCATTCGTAAATGTGACAGCGGTTTGGGATGATCTTGGGTACCGCTTTTGAAGCTACATGAATTTCTCTATGTATTTTTGTATCAATCAAATATTGTTAAGTTTAAATTGTTAATTTTTTTGTTAATGATCTTTTACAAAATTGGATTTGTTCCATTAGGAGGCACGGGTACCGGCCCGGGTCCAACCAAATGTCCTTGGAGCACTGAAGGAAACTTAAGATTGCTTGGGTCTTGATCTTTTTCTTCTTCCCTCCTTTTTAAACATGCTGTTTTAGGATTCATGTTACGCTCTAAGGGAAAGGGTAAAGGATAACAGAGTTTTTAAAATAGGTATTAGTAATTATATTAATGAATCAAATTAAGGTGAAAAAAATAAAATCAGGTAGTGTTAATCAAAAGAAATCTAAGCCTCTTGTTAGATTTGAATATGAAATATGAAATATAAATTTACCTCTAACTTGTTGTTCTAAATTTGTAATTACTTCCACAGCTTGATGTAGAATATTGAGTTTGGTTTGCGCTTTTTCTTGTTTTAAATGCTGCATGCACATTTTACCCAATTCCTTAAAGGCTTCATTTATATCTCGTACACGAATTCTGGTTATTGAGAAAAAAGAGAAAAAAAGCAAGTGAGTTAATGAGTGAGAAGATTGAATGCAAAAGAAGGAAAAGTGTCGCTCAATAAACATAAACACAGTTAGACAAGAAGAAAATGTTGATGAATAAAACAGAAAATAAATTGAATACGAAAAAAAGAAACTCCAGCATACCTTTCTCTAGCGTTGTTAGCTTGACGTCTTTCTTTTTCCCTTTCTGCTTTGAGCTCGGGAGGGTCATCTTCATCATCAGCCGAACTGCTAATAGAACTAGAAAATAAAAATTGTTTCATTAAAGAATCGTCTCAGGTCCAGCAATTTGATGCGTTAATTCAAATTGTAAAATAATGCTTACTGTCTAGATCTGGACCGTTTGCTTCCTTTACCAATACTGGTTGTGTTTGGATTATTTGTTGTTGATGTTGAAGATGAGTTTGATGGTGTTCTCATGTATCTTCTTGGAGCTGTGGCAATGGCAAGCGAAGGTTGACTGTTAGTGGGCATATCCTGATTTGATGGCAATTCCTGATTTGATTTCATATCTTCTTTTAGGGACAAAGGAGGTTGAACACTTAATGGCGTACCGCTAAGGATACTGCTTTGACCGGCATCTGAGAATGCCAGACTTGGCTAGATCGAGAAAAGACAAATGACCGAAGGCAAAAAGATTACTAGATTTGCTAATTTAATCAATTATTCATAACATACCACGTGACAATCAATCTGAGGAGGATAGTTACAGCTTTCTGTTTGCTTCTGGAGAAAATCTATGGCATCGTCCAATCGTTCTTCCATAAATCCATGAAAATTTGTTGCCCAGGCTCCAGGTCCTTCAGGTCCTTGAAGAACAGGTATATTGATGGTTCCTGGTCCTAAAGGACCTGATACTGGTGCTGTTGGTGTTGTTGGAGGACATGGTGCTGGAGCTGTAGCTTGAGGTGGTGGTGGACATGGCACTGACACTGACACTGGCGCAGATGTTGATGTTGGAGGAGGTTGTGGGGGTGGGTTGGTGTATACATTATAATTTGGAGCAGCCGAACTATTCCAAGCATCCGGTGTGTCGATATAATTATTATATCCTTCAGGGGGATATGATTCATAATTAACTTGGTTCATAGTAACTGTAAATTTGATTCAAATAAACAAGTGAAAAACAAATCAAAACATGATTCATAAAAGACGAGAAAAAAAACATATATTTTCATATACAGGTAAGATACTTACCAAAATAGTTTTGGGCATGATTTTGGGTATCATATCCATCTTCAATTTTATTAAAACAATTTTGAAACACTTCCAAAAGATTAATTCCTGGTTCCTCTTCATTATTGACTGGACCACTCATGATGAGAGACAAAAAAACTTAATGAAAAATTAAATAAAAAGAATCAAATGTGGAGTTGTAATGATGAAAATGGATGATGATGATGATAATGATGATGAAGTTGTTGTTCACCTAAAAAACAGAGACAGGAAAAATAGAAAGAGAGAAAGATGACAAAGAAATAAAAGAGATGAAGGAGCGTATCAACAAACAACAAAACTACTACACACTCGCCATCTCTACAATTGTTTGTAAACTACAAGCTTCACATAATACACAAAACATAGACTAACAACAAAGTAACATAGTAATTGGTGAAAATTTTTTTATATATTATTTTATGTTGATTGATCTGTGCATTCTTGTTAATTTAGCATTTTTGGAGTTCAATCATCTTGACAGAGCAACAATTAAATCTTCATTAGTATTTTTAATGTGATGGAAGAGGCAGGAAAATGTCGAAAGAAAGCTGAACAGCAATATTACAAGCCTCCAAAGATGGTCAACAAAGTTAATCGAGAAGGTAAGGGTTAAGAAAAGACAAAAAACAATCATTTTTAAAGCTATGATGATTATTAGATTATGCCTTTGATGATTACTAATCTTTCTATCTTGTTCAAAACAATTACATTTCTCTTATCTAAAATATCAAGTCTTTACACTTTTGCGTCTCCCTTGTCATTTCAACTTAATTCTTAATATCTTTGTGTGTTTTTGTTTCTGCTTTACTCTTTTGTGTTAACCTTTAGGTGAATCAGTTGAAAGTGGTAAAATGGAAGAAAAGGTAGTTCCTCTTAACAATAGCCATGACTCAAATTATTCAGAGCTTAATGCATTGGATGCAACTAAATTAGCTGCATCACCAGCTTCATCTGTAGAACAAAAGAACCGAATCAACTGCAAAAAGCCAGAGAAACAAGTTTATATACCTCGTGGTAAAGCAAACGTTCAATCAGGAGAAGATGGTGGCGGAGGAAGTAGAGTTGATTACAACAGACAACGGAGACGCTCGGATCGACACAAAGAATCATCTGAAGAGGATAATCGTTCAATGATGCATGAAAGAGCAGGAAGTAGTGGACGAAACCATAGCTATAATAAACGTAATCCTGATCTCTCTGGTATGCGTCCTGTTGACACTATATCACCTTTAGTATTTGAAAATAGCAGATTCCATAAGAGCAGGTAATTTTATTTCAGTCAATACTTGAATTAATCAGCTGTCTAGCCTACTTTGAATTTATCTTAACATAAATCTTTCTTATCTCTAAATAGAGACCATGACAAGGATACAAGAAGTACTAAGGTGAATGATAATCAACATAATACATTTCCCCGCGGATCTAAGGTTCAACCGAGCTCAACATTTCGATCAAATACCAAACCGCCTTCTAAAACAGAAAATTCTGATGCTCGAAGCTCTACAGTTGAGTCAATAAATATCTCCGAAGCAAATCGAGGGGATGAGTCTGCTATCATTGCTAGAATCCGAAAATTTGCATGTGCTCATATGGCAGCACAGCAATATTCTGAAGGGAAAGTACCACCAAACCCGCAGCCACAGCCTATTCAGCAACAGCAGCCTCATTCGCATTCTAGCCACAATGTTGCTTCATCTGGTCCTCACATAGATCGTTTAACTAACACTTTTCCTCATAACCCTCAACCATCTCATCAGCATCAGATTAATAGCTCGAAGTCTCTTCAGGTAACTCAGGTCAATTATAATCCAGCTCATAAACCAATCCAGCACCAACCGTATCCACAACAATCAATTCATATGCACCATCATCCTACGCCACCCCCTTCATTGTCTCATCAACCACCCTCACATGTGTCACTTCATCCTTCACAGCAACAACAAAAGCAGCAAAATCAACTCTTTCGTCCATCTCAAAACCATGATGTTAAAAATAAAGATAAACATGATCCTGTTAACTACCGTTCATCTTGGACAATGCAGGATCAAAGAAGCTCACAATCAAGTTACATAAATGATAGATCACGGAATAAAAAATTCAACCGTGGTGACCAGAAAACATTCGAACAAAATCTTCCTCCTCGACTTCAGCGAAAGTTAGCAATGGAAAAGGTAAGTTCATCTTTTTTGTAAACTGAAAATGTTGTATTGAATCGAAAAACATTACTCATATATACACCTGTATTTATTCAGGCAAATCTTCAGAATCGGAATTCACGCCAGACTCCCAACCCTCATAATCAAAATGCATCAGCTCAAGATTATTATTCAAATCAAGCAACTCGTGGTGGAATAATTCGACTGCCCCAAGAATCTAATTCAAATGATTCTCAATATTTTAGTTCATCATCAACTGATAGGCATTGTAATTTAATGAATGAGTCTCACTCAGAGTATTCTAGAACTGAATCTTTCTTTACCAATTCAGGCTATCAAGGGGACTCAAAGAATTGGATTAACTCGAATCAATCTAATCCGTCAAATAATGCAGTTCCTCGACAATTGTATGATCCATGTACCACTCATAAGCCGTGTGTTATCATTCGACCAACTACCCATCAACCATATCAACCCAATGAGCAACAACCACAATCCCGATGCGTACTTCTCCCTGGTTTATTACCAGTTTCTGTTTCAAATACTGACCACAGTGGCAACAATTCAGTCAACCCTACCAATGATTCGGCGAATGCTAAAAATTGGTCCAACTCAGGTAATCATCAACAATATAATAATAATAACCTTCAGCAACACCATCATTCACATCAATCTCATGAGAATGATCACCAACGCTTACCTACCTCACCTCCCAATGTACTTGTTCACTATTTACCTAACTATTCGTCTCATGCTAATCACCAAACTGAACCAGCTCAAAGAAACCAAACAGCTTCGCCTCAATATGATTCCAGTTCCAATAGTACTCGGCGTAAATTGGTGGAGAAAAATATGAACGAAATAGTTGATCTGGCTAATGAATTGCAGAGCCATCTCAAGCAATATCCTTCATTAGACGAGAAAACGGTTAAAACTTTACGTTGGAAGATTCAACAACGATACCAAAGCATTATTGTCGCAGATCCAAAATTTTGTGCAGAACATAATGTTGAGCTATCATTATGGAAATCAGCATTCTATCAATTTATTGAAATGAGACGACGAGAACTTGAGGAAAATCCAGACTCGGAGACAAGTAAAGAGGAACTTCTTAAGCTTACAGAAGAAGCTACAATTTTCTTCGAAAGTCTCTTGGTTATGTTACAAGATGCCTTTAACTTTGTTGTTGATAATTACATTGAGCATCAGTATGATCCAGAAAAACCTGGTTATGAAATGATTAAATTAGCTGCTATTTCGGCTCAAAAAATATATCTTTACCTTGGCGACCTTGCTCGTTACAAGGAACAAGCAATTAATGGATCCAATTATGGTGAAGCTAAAAGGTAAATTCATTCGCTTGAAAATACTATTAATACTTTATTTTATACAAACTTTAAAATTCTGTTTTCTAACCTTGACGTTTTTTACTTACAGTTATTATTCGAAAGCTCAACAAATTGCACCTAAAAATGGTCGCCCTTATAATCAATTGGCTCTTTTGGCCATGTATGGGGTGTGTAAATGTGATATTGATTTTGATTTATTGAAACGGAAAAACAAATATCTAATTTCATTTTCATTTTAATTCTTTTCATTTTCTTATAGAGACGTCGATTAGATGCGGTTTACAATTACATGAGAAGCTTGGCTGCAAGTAATCCATTCCAATCTGCCAGGGAAAGTTTACTCAGTATATTTGAGGAAGTTCGTAAAAAGTACGAGGCAGCCGAAAGTAAACGTTTGAGTGATCGTTTAGTTGCCCTCAAATTCAGCGACAGTACTAGTCCACAAGATGAAGATTTTCTTGTAAATAATGTTTTTAAAGAAAGACTTGAAATTTGGATTCGTCCTGATGGAACAAGTTCAAAGCATACTTCTGTCATGGGAAATGAATCAGAAGAAGAAGAATTGGATTTGTTAACTGATATAGATGTAAATATAACCTTTACCTAATGATGAGCATTAATCTTTAATCATATTTTAATCTAAAATTTTAATTCTACTTTTCATTCAATTTTCAGCTCAACAAAAGATTTGTCCTCAGTTTCTTGCATGTGCATGGTAAACTTTTTACAAAAACAGGGTAAGTTACTTGAATCTAATTATGTTTGGTGGTAAATTGTTGCTAATTTAAGTGTCTTGTTCATTTTTCTTGTTATTAGATTGGAGAGTTTTAATTCCGCCGTTAATCAAATGCTTATGGAGTTAAGATGTTTGCTTAAACGTTCACCTTTCCCAATGTCTTCTCAAAGATTGTTACAATTAATGGCTATTAGCATGTTCTCTGTTTACCAATCATCTTTTATAGGTTAGAAACTATTGCAATTAAGTTATTGTAAATAAGCTTTTCTAAAAAATCATTATCATTTTTCAATTTGTAGATGGCTCCTATCAATCAAATGTGCGGTCATCTTTGCAAGAGCAATCGATTCAAGTTATACTTGCTTTGGTCTCACTTTTACTCGATCGTGTGGACAATTCATTAAAAGAGCATATTTCAAAAGGCTCGTCTTCTTCATCACCCCAGTCCTCATCAAATATTGTCAGTGATGATGTTGTAGAAATGTTACCAGCAATTAAAGTTTGGACCGATTGGATGTCTTGTCAAAAACAATTCTGGTCTCCTCCACTTTCAAAACCAGGATTCAGAATCGGGTATGATTGAATATTATTATTAAATCTGATGAGAGTTTAATTATTCTATTAAATTTATTCCATTCAGAGCCCGTGGAGATGTTTGGACACTTTTTGCTGAAGTACTTACGAGACTAGGTGACATCAATACTAGGTTTGTGATTTTTTTTATTTTTAATTTGTATTCAATCCAATTATTAACTCTTTCTATCATTTGTTTACAAATTTTATTCAGGCAAATTAAATTATTACCAACCAAGTTTGAAGGATGCGAACAAGTAATTTTACCAGAAGATAATATGCTTTCCGGATTTATTCCTCTTCTTGGGGCTCCTTCAGCACTTTCCTATGTTCAACCTCCATTTGATAAGGTTTGTTGTTCAATTCAAGACGTTTAACAAATTGATTATAATTGATTTTCTATTTGACAGGAAAAAGCAAGAACTTGCCTTAGAATTAGTCGAATCCAATTTTTCGGAGATTATTTGTGTGGTATACCAGAACCTTATCTTGAATTCGATGTTGGTAAAAAAAGATTCAACTCATCTGTTAAGATTTTAAGTGACGATGAATCTGAATGTGGACATAATATAAGTTTGGATGTTAGTATTTTTGAATGTTTTAAATTTTGAATAAATTTTTAATCAATCATTATTTGTTCATTTGAATCTAGCTTGACGATGATTTGGAAGACATTCCCACGGACTCTTCATCTGGAGAAAATGTTAATTGTGAAGAAGATGATAAAAAGACAGATGATCCTGCATTAAAAGAATTGTGGACCAAACAAGAAACTTTACGAAAAGCTCAAAAAAGAGAAGAAAAAATTCGACAGCAATTAGATGTAAATTAGAATCACTGTTTTTTGTGAATATTTGTTAATATTGTTTTTCTTTTGTTCCAGGCTATGCTCAGAGAAGAAACCAAAATACGCCTTGTGATTCAGCCACGTTTTCTTATTCCAGATACTAATTGTTTCATTCATCACCTCAGTAAATTGCAAACTTTGGTAGAATGTGGTCATTTTGAAGTGATTGTACCTTTAATTGGTAAGTAATTGGTATCCAAAATTATGCTCCGTTTAAGCGATGGTTTTTGAATTAATTTATTTTCTTCTTTCATCAGTGATAAATGAACTTAATGGGTTAATGTCGAGGATAACTCAGCCTACATCAGATTCTCCTTTACCCCTGAGTATTCGAGAAACATGCGACACAGATGACCGAGAAAAGGAGATGAAAGTTGGACAAGCAGCGAAAGAAGCTTTTGATTATCTAGAAACTAGTTTTAATGAGAAAAGTAACAAGCTCAAAACTATTACATTCAAAGGATCTTTACTAAACAACATGAATTTTAGGAATGAAAATTTTAAAGTTAAAGTAAGATTATTTTTACTATAATTATTAAACTAAGAATTTTAATTATCAAGAAGCTTATATTTTTTATGTTTCTTGTATTACAGAGGACTAATAATGATGATCTGGTTTTGTCAAGTTGTCTACAATTTATTAAGAAAAGGAACTCATCAAAACAAACAAATCCCGAAGATACAGGTAAATCTCTTTACTTTTATTTCTTCATTATATTCATTTATACTAAATAATCGTTTTTGTACTCTTACAGATGGTATTGTCAATATATTTCGAGAGACTGTTTTGTTAACTGATGATCGTAATCTTCGAGTTAAAGCTTTATCACATAACGTGCCCGTTAAAAGCTTACCTGTGTTCCTTCAATTCGCAAACTTGCAATAATTTAATTTATCCGCCCCGTAACTATTCGTATACTGGCAATTATCAATTGTCTTCTGTGACTGTTTTTTCATATTTTTTAGTTCTTATAGAAACAACTTTGTATACAATTTCGACTTAGCTTATCATGCAAAAAACCAAAAAAACTGAATAAACAACAAAAAATCTCACATACAATTACTCATTGTTTCATGTTTATTAATTATAGCTTGATATTATTAGCGTTAATACAATTTAATGTCTGTGTTTACAATTCAACAGTTATTTAACAAAAATCATGATTTAAACGCCTCCAATCATCAACAAATAATCTTATGCTCTAACAAAAATTGCTATCGGTTATTCGGTTGATTTGACTACATATTGAATAATATCAGTATTGAATATTTATAAAATGTTCATTGATAATCAACAAACAACAATCAACCATTGATTTACCTGGATACCAAACAATACGCAAAAGATAAGGTATCGAGGTCTAACTCCATCTTCACAGCTGTATAAATTAATAGAATATAAAATTAATATAAAATTGTTGAAAAGTCAATTGAACTCATTTGTATGAATCTATTCAGAAATGGCTCGCCAAGACACTTACGACAAAGTTTATTTCAATGTAGAAGTTATGCAATTCAATTGTGATCAATCAGAGACTAATTTTGACTCCTTCATGTCAAATTTAACTTCAATTTTCAACCATCACTCATTCAAATCTTGTTGTGTCATTCATCCATCTGGTGTTGAATATCAATTGATGGAACATAGTGAAGCAAATAAATCTCAAAAAGTTATTCCTAATCTTGGTGATTGCGTGGATCCAGTAACATGGAAGGGTTACGTTGAATTACCTAGACATGATTTACGAAGACATTGGATAAATCTTGTCAGACGATTGTGTTTTTTGCACTCACGCAAACCATCTCACTGTGCTATTTGGAGATTTGATGAGGATCCTAATTTTTTACAATTGATTGGAGTTGAACGAAACATCGAACTAGATGAAACACCTTTTCCAACGTCCATTTATGCCTTCAGTCTTGGTAATATAATCAATGGGAATCGCTTTATGATTCACTTTGGCTCCTTCTGGCTAAATCCTCCGATATTAACTTATAATGATAAAAGAAAAACTGAAATTTCGATCGAGGATATAAAGATCAAAGACAATTACAAGAAAAAATTTGTGTTAAAATTCACTTTGAAAACTTCAACCAGTGATACTCTTACAAAGATTGAATCAAAATATCGACTTGTCTATGATTACAAGTCAATAAAAAGAGTACACATTTTATTGAACAGAGCTAATCAAATAAGACTTTACTTTCAATTGCTTTATCCTCCAAGAATATTCGTCGAAGCGCCAAAGAAGAAATTTTATGATTCAAAGCGAGCCCGAACAAGCGACTGTGGTGATAAATTATCAAGCCATGTCATAGGCAAAAGCGATGTTCTTAGACTGGTAATTAATATCGAAGATGATTCCATTATAACGACTATCTATCGATGGCAAAAATATCATCATTTTGATATATGTTATGGATCATTGACTGAATACAATATGAAACCGATCAAGCCTAAATACAAACTGAGCTTTCCTTTATCAGTAAATTATGCTTTGAATTGTATCTACTCGATTGGATATCATTTTCTGGATGATCTTAACATAAATCATGGAGGAGTAGAAGTGCTTAATGAAATAATCTTGAAATACGTTAAGGCTAATAAGGAAGAGCTAATCGTTGAAGCTCTGCACCGGTTATTTGATGCTTATCTGGTTGGTAAAGTTTACAATGCTATTGAACATTTAAAATCACTTTTGAACCAAATTGAATCTGAATGGATCAACGATACAAATGACCGAAAAAACAAAGACAAGACTACTTATCAAAGTTGGGCCATTATAACTCCGACTCGGACAATATTTACGCCACCAATAGCTTATGATACATCAAGCTACCTGACTGATCACCTAATAAGAGTTATTGTACGCGATGAAAATATCGATTTGTCAATTTTGTACGATAAAAACATGTATCGTGATTTGGATGATCGAATACCATATAAAGAAAGATCGAAAGCAAATGATCAATTTTTAAACAGTTTTGTTGGCGAAAAAATTGTGAACCTTGAATGTTTAAGGACCACTAAACCGCCAGTTAGATCTCCAAAAGTTGGGAAAACTTTCCGCTGGGCATCGAAAAAAGGATATCGGGTGTTAATAAAATCTGACAGAACCTTGCTACAACTTTCTAGTTCAAAACCGAAATATTTTTTTGTCAATTCCTCCAATGGTAACAGTTTCCTGGATGAATTTATAAAAAGACGGTGGACCAGGCGATTAACTGAACTATCTCGAAATATTTCAAGACAATTATCATAAAGCATTTGCGACGAATTTCATTACAACGTGAATACTAATTTCAATGACCAAACACCTTGCAAAATTGAATTAACTAATCTCGCCTTTTTCCAAAATTAAAAATATCTGTACAAATGCGTTGAATTTCATCATTTTAATTGTCAAGCAAAACTTTTTGATCAATCTAATACTACATATTTGGTAACGTGGTTTCCCCCTCAAGTTACTGAAGGTGAGAGCATAACAAAAAGACAAAAAACTCGAGGGAAAAGTGTAGTCAGTTTTATCTTTTGGTTCAGCACATTATTACAATCTAACTCTCATCCATTATGTCTATAATCTAGAATTATTCAACAATAATCAGGAATTAGACGCCTCTAATATAAATTTTTTTATGCTTTAACAGAAACAGCAATAATATTATTATAGTTATTCAGTTGCATTGACCAGAAATTAACAAAACATTTAGTTATGCTGTGAAATTAACTGATCTACAACTTATTGAATTATATTCAATATGACTATAACAGTTAAAAGTCCTTTTAAAAAAGTTTATTTCAATTTAGAAGTTATTCAGTTAAATTTTGATCCAGAGCAGTCGAATTCTAATTCATTTATTTCACATTTAACTTCAATTTTCTCTCACCATACAGTCCGATCTTGGCGTATCATTCATCCATCTGGTGTTGAATTGATTGGACAAAGTGACGAAAATAAATCTCAACAAGTTATTCCTGTTCTTGGTGATTGTGTGCATCCAGTGATATGGAAGGGTTACGTCGAGTTAAAGAGGCATGATTTACGAAGACACTGGGAGAATCTTGTCAGACATTTATGCCTTGATCGTTCACGTCAACCATCGCATTGTGCTATTTGGAGATTTGATGAGGACCATAATTTTTATAAATTGATCGGAGTTGATAGAAACATCAAACTAAGTGAAAAATCTTTTCCAACATCCATTTATACCTTCAGTCTCGGTAATATAACCAATGGGAATCGCTTTATGATCCGCTTTGGCACCTTCTGGCTTAAACGTCCTAGAATTACTTATAATGATGAAGGAAAAACTGAAATTGCGATTGAAGATACAAAGATCAAACACAATAACGCCAAGAAAAAGTTTGTGTTAAAATTCACTTTGAAGACTACAACCAGCGGAGCTATTGGACCAGGTACTTCAAAATATAGACTAGTCTATGATTACAAATCAATAAAAAGAGTCATAATCTGTTCGAGCAAAGATGGTCAAATCTTTACTGTACAAAGACTTTACTTTCAATTGCTTTATCCTCCAAGAGTTTTTATCAAAGCTCCAGAGAATAAATCTGGTGTTTTAAAGCGAATACGAACAACTGATTGTGGCGATAAATTATCAAGCGATGTCATAGGTGGAAGCGATGTTCTTAGATTGGTAATGAATATCGAAGATGATTCCATTATAACGACTATCTATGGATGGCAAAAATATCATCATTTCGATATATGCTATGGATCATTGACTGAGTGTACCTCAACATCGACCAAACCTAAATATCCAAAAAGCTTTCCTTTAACAGTAAATTATGCTTTGAATTGTATCTACTCGATTGGATATCATGGAGGAGTAAAGGTGCTTAATCAAATAATCTTGAAATACGTTAAGGCTAATAAGGAAGAGCTGATTGTTGAAGCTCTGTACCGATTATTTGATGCTTATCTGGTTGGTAAAGTTTACAATGCTATTGAACATTTGAAATCACTTTTGGACCAAATTGAATCTGAACAGATAAATGGCGAAGAGAAATGTGAAACCAAAAATGAAACGAATTATCAAAGCTGGACAATTATAACTCCGACTCAGACAATATTTACTCCACCAATCACTCATGATCCAACAATGAATGATCCCCTAATAAGAGTTATTGTACGCGATGAAGATATCGATTTGTCAATTTTACTCGACAAGAACATGTATGATAATTTGGATGAACAAATACCATACAGAAAACGATCGAAAGCAAATGACCAATTCTTACGCGATGTTATTGTGAAAAGATTTTGGAACTCTGGATATTTTAATGTCGCTGGCCAAGCATACATTCCAAAAATGGACATTTTAATCAAATCTGATCAAACCACTTGTTATGATCAATGCAATGTTCAGTATAAAGCTGCGATTTCTTTTGCCAATGCTTCTAAGGTATGACTCCTGATGTCTCAACAAATTATTGCAAATCAATAGACCAGAAGGTCACTTTCCTACTGTTGACGAGATTCAGATCTATTAATTTGCAACAATTTGTTGAAATATTCGAAATCGAAGCCGATTTTTCTAAAAATCCTGAATGATTATCCTTAGATGTAAATTATTAGAATTTATAGAATTACCATTTTTTGTGAATATTTGTTAATATAATATTGTTTTTTTTATTCCAGGCTATGCTCAGAAAAGAAACCAAAATACGCCTTGTGAAACAGCCACGTTTTCTTATTCCAGATACTAATTGTTTCATTCATCACCTCAGTAAATTGCAAACTTTGGTAGAATGTGGTCATTTTAAAGTGATTGTACCTTTAATTGGTAAGTAATTGATATCCAAAATTTTGCTCCGTTTAAGCAATGGTTTTAAATTAATTTATTTTCTTCTTTCATCAGTGATAAATGAACTTAATGGGTTAATGTCGAGGATAACTCAGCCTACATCAGATTCTCCTTTACCCCTGAGTATTCGAGAGACTTGCGACACAGATGACCGAGAAAAGGAGATGAAAGTTGGACAAGCAGCGAAAGAAGCTTTTGATTATCTAGAAACTAGTTTTAATGAGAAAAGTAACAAGCTCAAAATTATTACATCCAATGGATCTTTTAAAAACGACATGAATTTCAAAAATAAAAATTCTAAAGTTGAAGTAAGATTATTTTTACTATAATTTTTAAGAATTTCAATCAAAAAGAAGCTTAAATTTTTTGTTTTTTTGTATTACAGAAGACTAATGATGATGATCTGGTTTTGTCAAGTTGTCTTCGATTTATTAAGAAAAGGAACTCAAAACAAAAAAATCCCGAAGATACAGGTAAATCTAATTTTATCTCTTTCTTCATTACAATCATTTATTCTAAATAAATTTCTATCGTTTTCTTACTCTTACAGATGTATTTCGAGAGACTGTTTTGTTAACTGATGATCGTAATCTTCGAGTTAAAGCTTTATCACATAACGTGCCCGTTAAAAGCTTACCTGTGTTCCTTCAATTCGCAAACTTGCAATAATTTAATTTATCCGCCCCGTAACTATTCGTATACTGGCAATTATCAATTGTCTTCTGTGACTGTTTTTTCATATTTTTTAGTTCTTATAGAAACAACTTTGTATACAATTTCGACTTAGCTTATCATGCAAAAAACCAAAAAAACTGAATAAACAACAAAAAATCTCACATACAATTACTATTCGATACTTCGCGCTGGACATTGAAAAAAGGATATCGAATTTTAATCAAATCTGAAAAACCGATTACTACAATTTTACAAACTGAAATTTAGATTTGTCAATTCTGCAAATTGTAAATAATCTCTTGTAAAAATCTTGACATTTATCATAAAGTATTTCATGAAACATTTTGGCTTTCAACAAATCCATTTCAATGGTAAAGTTGATTTTAATCTATAATTTTATGTATTTAGTAGCTTTCAAATTGTAACTCTCACTCAGACAATATGCACTCACCAATCGCATATTCAACTAGATACATGAACGGTCACCTTATAAGAGCTATCGTAATAGCTGATGTGATAAAATTTCAATAAAGTCATTTATCCCTAGATTTGATAAGCTCCATCTGATTATCAGTCATTTATGTCAATTGAATGTTATGTTGGTTAAAAGTTCAAAAACTGACTTTGTTTCCAAACATCAAATTCTAGGTGGAAAACATTTGAGTCTAATCACGGCTATTTCAATGATTTAATGATTTTAATTCAAGAATTAGATTTTTCCAAGTTCAATCTTCATGCAAAACTTTCTGATCAACCTCATAATGTTAGTATACAGTATTTTTCAAAAAAATTGTCAGTAATACAAACATTTATTTTTTATTAATTATAAACATTAGATGATTAAGATTAACTGAGCTGAAATTATATGAGTCAAAGATTAAATTTGGAAAAATTTAGTATGATATGTGCCGTCCTTCGACTTTTAAGCACATAACAAGTCGAGTTTTTAGTGAAAAAATTATGTAAGTTAAAAACTTCTATGGAGTTTATTATGGAGAAATGATAAGCGCCACCTGTTGGTTGGTTGAAATTTAGGTGTCCGACCCGAATTAACGCTTATTAGCCTCAGACTCTGACTTAATAATTTTATTTTCAGCGATGAAAATGATTATACGACTGACTCAGCACACATTAGCTAAGCTAATGCCTTAGTTTGTGGCATTTTTCAATCCAAAACAGACTTGCAGTCTTTTTTCATGATTTTAGGCAGCTGAGGTCATTTCAATGACAATTATTTCATACAAATTGGACTCTGAATGCTAAAATTTTTGTAAATTCGAGCTCTCTGAACACGTTTTAGTCTGTTTCCAGAATTTGATAAAATTTCCAAGTCTAATATCAGAGATATTCAATCGTGAAACAAACATAGAGAAATGACAGTTTTTTTTGAAAAATACTGTATTTTATCTTTTGGTTAAGCACATTATTTCCAATTTTAATCTCGTCTATTATGTTCACAATAAAAAGCTATTTAACAACGATTATGATTTAAACGCCTCCAATTATCAACAAAATAATCTTATGCACTAACAACTACTGATTTTGAGTTGTTTTGACCAGAAATTAACAAAATAGTATTCAGTTTAGTTGTAACTGATCTACAACTTTAATTATATTATTGTCAGATATGACTGTAAAAGATCCTTTAAAGCAAGTTTATTTCAATGTAGAAGTTATTCAGTTAAATTGTGAACAAGTGAAGTCAAATGTCGATTCATTTATTTCAGATTTAACTTCAATTTTCACTCATGAGATAATCAAATCTTGTTGTATCATTCATCCATCTGGTGTTGAATATCATTTGATTGGACAAAGTGAAGGAAATAAATCTCAAAAAGTTATCCCCGTTCTTGGTAATGGTGTGGCTCCAGTAAAATGGAAGGGTTACGTTGAATTACAGAGACATAATTTACGCCAAAATTGGATATATCTTGTCAGACGATTATGTTTTTTTCATTCACGCAAATTATCTTATTGTGCTGTTTGGCGATTTGATGAGGATCCTAATTTTGTTCAATTGATTAGAGTTGATAGAAACATCAAGCTAAATGAAACATCTTTTCCACTATCTATTTATGGCTTCGGTCTTGGTAACATAATCAATGGGAATCGCTTTATGATCCATTTTGGCTGCTTATGGAATAAACCTCCGATAATTACTACTAATGATGATAAAAATTCTGAAATTTCAATTGAAGATATCAAGATCAAACACAATTACAATAAGAAAAAATTTGTGTTAAAATTCAATACAAAGACTACAACCAACGAATCTATCGGACCAGATGTAGCAAAATGTCGACTCGTCTATGATTACAAATCAATAAAAAGAGTGCTGATCTGTTTGAGCAAAGTCGGTCTAATAAGTCTTTACCTTCAATTGCTTTATCCTCCAAGAATATTCGTCAAAGCACCAAAGAAGAAATCTGGTGTTTTAAAGCGAATCCGAAGATGTAATTGTGGTAGTAAATTGTCAAGCGATGTCATAGGTAAAAGTGATGTTCTTAGATTGGTATTCGATATAGAAGATGATTCAGTTATAACGAGCATTTATAGATGGCAAAAATATCATCATTTTGATATATGCTATGGATCATTGATTGAATCTTATATGAAACCACTCAAACCTGAATACCCAAAAAGCTTTCCTTTATCAGTAAATTATGCTTTGAGTTGCATCTACTCAATTGGATATCATTTTCTGGATGATCTCAAAAAAAATCATGGTGGAGTAGAAGTGCTTAATGAAATAATCTTGAAATATATTAAGGCTAACAAGGAAGAGCTAATTGTTGAAGCGCTTCACCGTTTGTTTGATGCTTATCTGGTTGGTAAAGTTTACAATGCTATTGAACATTTAAAGTCACTTTTAAAACGAATTGAATCTAAATGGACGAATGACAAAGATAGCAGTGAAAGCAAAATAAATTATCAAAGCTGGACAATTATAACTCCGACTCGGACAATATTTACTCCGCCAATCACTTATGATACATCGATGTACATGACCGATCATCTAATAAGAGTTATTGTACGTGATGAAAATATCGATTTGTCAATTTTGCTCGACAAGAACATGCATTATATTTTGGATGATCAAATACCATACAGAGAACGGTCGAAAACAAATGATAAATTTTTAAGCTTTGTTATTGGAAAAAAATTGTTGGACTTAGGATGTTTAAGTGTCGCTGGTCATTCATACGAGCTTCCAAAAATAAAGAAAATTTTTCCGAATGAATTCAAAAATGGACATCGAATTTTAATCAAGTCTGCTGATTAAAAATTTTAATAAATTAAAGTTATGTGGAAATGATCAAGTATCAAATTTTACTTTGAACGATTTTAATTGTTAAACAGAAATAATAAATTGAAAAAATCTCTAAGTTAACTGACGAAATAGCAAGTTTGATTGGTTATAGTTTCCTGGTTAATTAGTCTTTGATGACTAAATGATCGCACAACTTATGCCTTCAATTAAGGATTTTCAATCTATTGCATGATTGTATTCCGATCCAATTATATGCATTGGAACTTTTGAAGTCGCTTTCAACCCATTTGGATTAAAAATAGGTTGATCCATTTGCTTCATGAGAAACAATGGAATTGCATTCTCAAATGAATCTGTCCAAATAAAGAGTTCCGTGAAACACAGTTCTACTAATTGTTTTGTCGTTAATTATTAAACTATTAGCATAAAATCACACCATTCCTTAAAATCATAAGTTAATTAAATGGTTATTAAAGCGATAAGAAGAAACACAAATTTAGAAGGCGGTTTTAAAATAGTTAACTGGTGGTTTAATCAACTTTTCAAAGTTAACTTACACAGTGGTTAACGATTTAAAGGCCAATTAACAAAAATTTTTAATTAAAGAAACAGTAATTAAATTGAGTATCAACTAGCAAATTGCTGGCTAAATTGTTACTTTGGGTATCATATTGACAGATTGTATGTTATTTGATTCACCAATGTTTTTATCCATTTAACTTGAGGAGCTTTTCCTAGCTGATAAGCAATGTTTATGATCTGATCAGTTCCCATGTTTAAAGCTTCAGCTCCGTCTTTTCGCCAATATTTTCAAACAGTTTGATAATTGATCCTTATTCGCATCAGAATCAATTGATTGTGTTTTAGATGGATACTAAAACATCGTTAGTATTTAATAAACTGTGTTTTAATCCTTGCAAAAATAACTCTTTGTTTATTGTTGTTGTAATGTTATATTATCTTGACATAACCTTATGACTCGTTTTGTTTTTCACTTTTAATCGCCTTTTTTAAACGGCTTTGCTTTGCTTAACCGTTCTGTTTTAATCATTTCAATTTTTGTCTCATCTGACGTTTCCATTTATCTCTTAACCCAAGTTTTATGCATTTTCTTATGATCTTTTATTTTTGTGTCACTCTATTTTAACGTATTTTAATTCAAAAATCAACATGCCAATCAGTTCAGAATCTCAGTTTATTCCCTTCAATTTGGAAATGATCTTAACTGGTAACAGGAAAGTTGATACTGATTTCAGTGAATTATTGAAACTTTTATCATCTTTATTTGCACCACTTTACCTACTACATGTTGAGATAACTTCAATAACTCATTCTTCACCCAAGTTTTATCTGGAAAATGGAAATTTTGTTTCTCGTGCTCCGTGTTCGTTTGCGACTAAAACGATTGATTTCTCTTCTCATGGACCCAATCCGATTCTTTGGACTGGAAAATTTGAGCTTGGACAGAGAAACCCGCATGAAATGGACTATCTTTTACGTAACTTGAGTGCTAAGTTGCGTCCTGAGCTACAAGTTGATCTGATTTGGAGGTTCAGTAATGACTATTCTCCAGAGTTTCAAGAATTAGTCGGTGTTGTTGCTTTTGACTATAAAAGAGCTAGAGTTGAACTCAACTCAACATCATTTGCTTTTGGGACCATTGTTAACGGAAATCACTTTATATCACATTTCCAAAGTAACCTGACAGGACAAGAAAGCCTCACTATGGGCATGATGCCAATCACTGAGAAAAACGTCCATTTTAATCACACCAGTGAATTGATCGAGCTACAATTTCATGTTTGTCGTAGACAATTACTTTCTCATGTACATTATATTCAAGAATTTCAACTTCGCTATGGTTATAATTCAATTGAAAGAGTTACCATATGTAAGAAAACTTCAGAAATTATGATTCTTTACTTTCATCTGTCTCGACCGCCTAAAATTTTCACGGATAAATATAATCTCGATGGAAGAGATGTTTACATCGATAAAAGAAATCTGAATGATGGCAGTGGTAGAGATCGCTGGACAAGATGGCATGATTGCTTTTTGATTTCTCGAGATATTGTGGGTAAATCAAATGTTCTCAGATTGGAAATCCAATCGAACACCTGTTCTAGGTTCCAAGCTGCTTTGTCTGCGCTTTATGCCTGGAGACGATTCAGTCCTCTCGATATTAGCTTTGGACCTGTTTATGAAACTTCATTTAATGGGTACCAGGGAAGTTTCCCTGCAAATTTACCTGAAGATGTGAATTACGGGATAGAGTGTCTCACTTGTTTTGACTTCAGCTTTCAGAATGATCTGGAATTCAATAATGGAGATGCGAGTCTTTTCAACGATTTTATTCGTCAACAAGTAAACTTCTCCAAAAATGGTCAAATCGTTGAAAGTTTACACAGATTGTTCTCTAGTTATCGATCTGGTAAAGTTCATCGCGCTTATGAATATTTCAAATGGATTTTCGATCGAGTTTGCTGTGAGTGGGAAACTATTAAAAAAATGAGAGATCGTCAATTATTGAAGACCAAATTTCTAAGACGATGCATCCTTACTCCAACACGAGTCCTTCCCCTGCCATCATGTCCATTCCAAAGCAGTCTTTTTCTTGAATCTATAAATGCAGATTATGCATTAAGAGCTTTAATTCGAGATGAAGACTTTTCTAGTCTCAGCTATGCTGTTTCGGTTACACACTCTGACTCCTCTACGCCCAGAAAAAAGCCCAATCCTAATCACCCCAATTACCGTCCAAATCGTCGAGAATACTTTTTGAGAAAGGTGATTGAGGATCGGCTAATTGGTAATGTAAATGGTCTGCAAATTGCTGGCCGTCTTTATCAATATTATGGCGCATCATCATCTCAATTCAGAGAAGGTGGAATGATGCTGTATGCTCGAGATAATTTAGGACGAACTGCACAGTCCATCAGAAGCTCACTCGGCGTGATTAATGAGAAATCAGTCGCTAAATATGCATCCAGGGTTGGCCTGAGTTTAAGTCAAGTCTTTGGTTTTGTAACCCTACCTCCAGGGTGTCAAATTTATATTATGTCTGATGTTTGTGGTGGTCGACATTCGCAAACTGGAAAACCTTATAATTTTACTGATGGCTGTGGAGCGATATCCACTCAATTGGCATATTATATTTGGCAAAAATTGAAGGAGGATGGAATTCTGAATGCTGAGTCTACTGAAGAACGCATGCCCTCAGCTTACCAGATCAGATTCATGGGGACGAAAGGAATGGTTTGCATCGATACCGAACTAGAGGGAATGACCATAGTTATTCGTGAAAGTAAGTTCATATATGCACTCAAAAAAATAATAATCTCTAATTGTTTTTGTTTATTTTTTGCAGGTATGCTCAAAATGAAAGCCCCTAAAAGTGATCTTGGTATTTTAAAAATAAGTGAACCTCGAAGAGCTTACCTTAATGCTCCCTTCATAACGATCTTGAACCAAATTGGACTTCCGACAGAATTTTTCATGAAACTTTTGCTAGAAACTATCGAAAATTTGATTGCTTCATTTGATGATAGCGATATTGCAGTTTCTGCATTAGAAATGTTTGGATCGCTTCATCGTCTGATAAATTATAAAAAGTTGGCTAGAGCTGGTTTTCAATTGCATCATGATCCATTTTTCCGATCAATTATCATTCTGATATTCAATCAAGGTTTGGACATAATTAAAAGAAAAGCCAGAATTCCATTGAATATGAAAGATGCTCGAACAATGTTTGGAGTGTGTGACCCCACCATCAACCGATTTTGTCAAAAACGTGTTGTAAGTTTCAATTACAATGGAGTTTGTGATACACCGACATTGGGACCAAGCTTTGATGCATTAGGTCGAGGTATTCTTAAAAAAGGAGAAGTTTTCGTTTGGCCTTCAGATTTTGAACGGCCAGTTACTGGAGAGGTCATAGTAACGAAATTTCCGTCCACTCATTCTGGTGATGCTCAAAGGTTAATAGCCATTGACTACAAAGAACTTCATCACATCAAAGATTGCATTGTATTCCCAGTTGATGGGAATCGACCACATTCCGATGAAATGGCCGGTTCTGATTTAGATGGAGATGAGTATTGTGTTATTTGGGGCGAAGAATTCAAAAGAATTTTCATCAAACCTCCAATGGAGTATCCGGCTGGTCAAAATGGTACCGTTTGCGATAACATCACGGAAAGAGAAATGGTTCGTTTTCATATGCGATATCTTCAAGAGTGTGCCATTGGTAAAATTGCTAAAGCTCATTTAGCATGGTCTGATCTTAAAGGTATTGACTCAGCTAAATGTAAGAAGTTGGCTATCAAATATGCTGGAGCATTGGATTTTGCTAAACAAGGAATTGAGGATGAATACAGATTTAGTAAAGAGGATTTATGCCCAGAAGTTCCTGATTTTATGCAAAGACATGACTCAAAACCAAGCTACCATTCAATACGAGCTCTTGGTGCTATCTATCAAGTTATTTCCCAATTCCAAATTTACTTGGCCGATGAAATCAAAGTTAAACAAGTAGTCAAACCAAATATTGACTTGAGATTAGTACATCCCCAATGGGGATTGTACGAAGACGCAGCGGTGTCAGCTTATGCAAAATACGAAGCAATTGTTGGATACTTGTTACACCGTTGTGAATTTGCATCAGAATCTGAATTACTTTCTCAAATATTTGAGAAAAATCGCCTCTTTCGCCAAAATTTTGATGACAGAATCAGAGCCAATGACTTTGAAGACTCTTCTGTATCTATGGTAAAAAAGTTTCTTGTTCAAGAAATGGAACGTGATTTTGACAATGGTATCACATCTGTCTCACCCGAAGACCTTGCTCAAGCTCGAATGGCCAAAGCATCAGCTTACTACATGGTTACACTCGAAAAAGCTAAAAATTCCAAGTTGAAGTGTTATGGTCTTCCTTGGATTGGACGCTACAATGATTATTTCGTACAAATGTTGAACAATAATGTGAACGTGTCTCAACCTCTAGTTGACTATCAAAGATTAGGTTATAGACGAATGGGATTCACTGGAGACAATAATGAGATTGAAACATCTTGTAAAAATACATGGAACAAGTTGGACTATTGGATTCGCCAATTCTTTGGCATGACACAAATTGTTGAGCGAGATGAGCTTTACAATCAATTGCACAAAATTTACCACCGAGCCATCATTCCTTACTGTACTGGTGAACGAACTAACGGAAGTTCGGGTAAAATTTTGTTGAAAATTTTCAATGACATTCAAGAAGATAATTGTTGTGGACTTGAGATACAAAGAACCAGTGGACTATTCTCTAGTCATCACAACCCAATGGGTCAAATGGTAATGGCCTTACTGGAACAAGAACTCTCTAACAGTTTGATTAGAGAAGATGACAACTCAATTGACCTTTTCACTAACCGATGCTTTAAAGTTCGTATCACTGATGCAAGAAATGGAAGGATCTCAGTTATAAATCTTGTAGATCTGCTTAACAAACTAACTTCAGGAACTGGAGCTGAAATAACAACTTTCGATACTGGTGATGTTGTCTACATTCCTTTGGCTGTTTATGGACCTCCAGCATCTCTCATGATAGCTCAAATTGCCGTTGGAATTCACAATCGCCTCTGTTCACAACAAATTGATCTTTAAACTATTTTGACGATTCAAAGTTCAGACATTCCTGCCCTCACTGATGCCTGTTCTGACAACGATTTAAACTTGCTTTTTTATTGCTGATTGATTTTTCAAAAAAAAGAGAAATTAAAAAGGATAGATTCTCAAGTTTGTCCAATTTATTTAGCAGCAAAGTAAGTAAGTGAGCTTCCATTGCCACTCAAATCATAAGGGGCATTTCTCACGAAAAACTGACCATCGTCAACTCCATTTTACGGAAATTTTGATGAGACCTAAGATAGTTTTTGATGTCTTCTTTCGAAGTTTCTCTTTAAATTGACGAGGGTCAGTTTTTAATGAGACTTATCCCTTTAATTTTGTTTTTTATGTTTAGGATGATTGGCAAAAATCATTTCATCATGCATGCGATTAATGCTTCTAATTTTACTGGTGATTTCAATTTTGGTGACTCATTCGTGATTTTATCTTTATTGTTGAACATAAATTATGAATCATTGAAATGAGATTATGATGCAACTATTCATCTACTTAATAATTGAACCTGATTAATTTGACACTCTTCACCCTATTGATTCTAATTGTTGGTGACATTTGACATGTATTTTGGTGCTGAATTGACCTGTGTGTGACTTCCTTGTTGGTGGAATCGATTTGAATCGCAAGAGTTTGAGTAACTTTCTTAACAATTCATGACAACATTTTTGATTTACTTGTTTTTAAAATAACTTACAATGAATATATTGAAATATTTTACTGAATGTCATCCATTTATATACTTATTGGACAAAAAATATCTAATTTTCCATTTTCTTTATTCACTATTAATGTATCACAAATATGTGTCTCATTTTATTTTTTTCATTCCCTGTTACTATTATGTGTGTGTTACCATGTTACTGTTATCTTGACGAAAATTTCAAATTTTAAATTATTGTGTTATTGCTGTGAAATTGTAGTGTTTATTAAATTTAGTTTGATTAGCAGTTGGATGTTTGCTAGAAACTAGGCCTTCAAACCATGTAATTTTGACTAAAATTATATCTAAATTGCTGTTTGCTTTAATAAGAAAAACAAGCGTATCATTCCTCATGTCAAGCAAATCAGTACTTTTAAGAAAAATTAACTGATCAAATAATCGTTTAACAGAAAATAGATTCAAATACTGTAATTAAGAGTAATTAAATACAATAATGAGTCTAGTGTTGATAAAAGCATCAATTTATTACTATGGGATTGTAAATCATTTATCCCAGTGTTTGATGCACAGATTAATTTAAGAAGCCAGAGGTTAATTTTTGTTTTTAGTAATGAATAAGAGACTAATTATCATCCCGTCTATCCGCTTTAATCAAGATTGACCAATTGTTATAAGCTTAACTCTTTACTGTTACTAGGTAAATGATAAGGGGATTTTATTTTTGTTATCCTCTGGTTCTGATTGTTACCCTTTCAACAATTATAACCAGATTCTATATCTTATCCAACCAGAGATCAAAATCGTACCCTTTTAATGTGCAGTTTAATCAAATGTTTAGCAGAGTCTATCTGTAGATGCATCTCTACAGTTCAGCCTGAATAGATTATATTGCAAAAATTAGTCAGTCTTAGAACATGCTGGATTTTTTAAAATTTATTAGATAACCAAAAGTATTTGCGTAAAAGCATATGATTAATTAATGATTAATTAAAAACAATAGAGATAAGATGAGTGTGAGAATCTTTTATTCGCCATAGATTTCATCATTGTGAATCATCAATGCTAAACAATATGAAATTAATTTTTCAATTGATAGTATAAATAGGAATGTATAGAATTGAATTTCATTTATTAATATTTCTCATACGTTCTATCTAAAACATACTGTTAAAGTTTTTGCAAAATGCTAAAATTCAACGAAACGTTAAACTCAGTCTCTTTCAACTTGAAAATTGTTCCCGACAAGAAAAAACTGTTTACGATCGACAAAGCGAGAGTATTGGGTGACATTAAAACTATCTTCATCAACTCTAAAGTCACTTCGGCTGAAGTCACGGACCATTGCGGTAACAAACATCTTTATAGTGATGGTGAATTCCTGGACCCTGTTAAGCTTGACACTTGGACCGATAAACCTCTGGATTTGCCTTCAATTTATGGATGGACAGGCACAATTGATTTGAAGACCAATCAGTTGGGAGATTTAGTCAGCAATTTATCACCTCTGGAAAGTGAACCTGCTTTGGTCAATAACGAATCTTATGCTTATTTCTGGAAATTTGATGATAGTTCTATTAATTTTCGTCAAGTTATTGGTTCATCATCTTTAAAGCCTAAGCTGCCTTCCAATATTGCTAAATTTGCATTGGGAACCATCGTTAATGGTGACTGTTTTGTTTCTCATTTCAGTACTCAATCAAGTTCAAAAATTGATGATTTAAATGTTAAATTAGTCCCTCACAAAAATGAACTAAATTTAATGTTCACTGTTATTAATGAGACCGGTACCAAGAAAAAAGTGATGTTTTGTTATGATTGTAACTCAATCAAAAGTGTTAACATTCATCACGTACAGTCGCTTGATTCCTCTTTTTATGCCGAACTGTCCAATGCTCCAAAGGTGTTTGTGGCTGATGTTCAAAGCTGTTTTAATAATGGTAGAAATCAAATCAAATGGAAACGAAAGAGTTCCTGTGGTCCTATTTACCGGGATTTAATTGGTAAATGTAATGTTTTACGATTAACCTGGTTGTCTTATGATACATCTTATATACCGGCTTTGTACATTTTGCGTCGTTCTTTAAAGTTTGATCTTTCCTTTGGAAGCATCGTAAATTGCAGCAATTTTTTGGTTGACGAATCTATTGATATGGAATTTCCTGGTGAAATTAAATATCTTTTAGCTTGCATTAAATCATTGAGCTACAACTATCAAGATGATCTCCAGATCAATCACAGAGGAGAAAAGGCCATCAACGAATTGATTGAAAAACAAATTGCTGCGGGAAAAAGTGATCAAGTCCAACGAGCGCTTCATCGCCTTCACGAATCTTATGTCAGTGGTGAAGTTTACAACGTATATGAGCATTTCAGATACCTTCTCGACAAAGTTAAACTGGAATGGGCCAACATCCAAGATCTTGAAAAAGACACTGAGCATATCAAATATATAAAGACTGTTGTATTTACTCCCAGCCGAACTGTTTTCATGCCACCGGTCATGACGAGAACAAGCAGATTTCTTGATTCAGCAGAAACAGATTGTGTTTTACGTGTCATCTATAGAGATGAAAACTATGGAACCTTGTGTTCTACATTCAACAACTTCGAATACAATCAACCGGGAGAAACAGGTGATGACGAGGAGAACGTTGACTGTGTTACCTCCATGCTGAAAAAAAGGATACTTAGAAAAGGTCTTACCGTTGCTGGTCGCACCTATCAATACTTTGGTGCATCGCCATCACAACTTAAAGAAGGTGGGATGATTTTATACGCGAAAGACTCGCAAAATCGGACAGCAGCCTCAATTCGAAGTTCACTTGGTATTGTGAAAGAAAAAAGTGTATCTAAATATATGTCCAGAATTGGACTCAGTTTAAGCCAAGTTATGGCTTTTGTTGGTCTGCCTGAGTATACAAAAATATATTTAACCAGTGATATTTATGGAGGTTCGCATCCACACACTAATAAGCCTTATAATTTCACTGATGGATGTGGTTTCTTATCATTGGAAGCTGCTCGTTATATTTATGACGATTTGATTAGACAGAAAGTATTGGAGCGCAAAGATGATGACAGTTATATACCATCAGCGTTTCAAATAAGGTTCATGGGATCAAAAGGAATGCTGGTAGTTGATCCTGACCTGATTGGAATGACTATTGTTATTCGCGAAAGCATGCAGAAGATGTTTACTGAGAAAGATAAACTTGGAATCGTTAAAGTCTCTGCACCAAGAAGAGCTTATTTAAACAAGCCTTTCATTATGGTTCTGAACCAGATCGGATTGTGGAACGATTTCTTCATAAATCTTACCACCTCAACCTTACGTGATTTGAATTCTTCGTTTTACGATGAACAAGTTGCTTTGATGACCATGAAGATATATACACATTTGAATCGTGTAGTGAACCTAGACGCTTTTGCTAACTGTAACTTTAGCTTCACGACCGACACTTTCTTTCAATCCATTTTACATCTTGCTGTGAAACAAGCTTTTGATAGTTTGAAGACTAAACAAAGGATTCCTTTGCCGTGGTTTGAGGCACGAACAATGCTCGGAGTTTGTGATACTACAGCAAAGTCTTCAAAGGTGTTAGCTAATTTTGAAAAAGGTATCTGCCAGCCTCCCGAATTTCTGGTCAGTATGGATGGTCTTGGAACTGGTGTTCTCAAAGCAGGGCAAGTTTTTTGTTGGCCTTCTGATTTTACTGCGCCATTAAGAGGAGAATTGACTGTCACAAAATTCCCAACAAGTGATCTTGGTGGTGTTCGTAGATTGATCGCAGTTGATTGTAAAGAACTACATGCGATAAGAGACTGCATAGTGTTTCCAGTAGATGGTAAACGTCCTCACCAAGACGAAATGGCTGGATCTGATTTAGACGGAGATGAGTATTGTGTTACTTGGATGGAAGATTTGCTCCGGATTCAAGAACGGAATCCAACGAGTTATCCAGAAAATCCTAAAGCTGAAACTCAATATGAAATAAGTGATGAGCTGATGATTGAACACCACATAAATTGTGTGAGATTAGATCAGGTTGGAATGATTGCAAATGCACAATTAACATACGCTGATATCGAGGGTTACGACTCTATTATTGGTAAAAGATTGGGTTATAAACATAATGGAGCATTGGATGCTCCTAAGAATGGATTCAATTCTAAGTATTTACTTGAACGTGGTGATCGACCTTTGGAATTTCCTGATTTTATGGATAAATGGTCAATTAAGCCGACATACTATTCAACCAGTGCTTGTGGTGAAATTTATCGTTTGGTTAATTTGTATCAACACTCATTAAACTTTTTGAATGTGCCTGCAGTATTTGAACCCAGCTCCGATATTGATGAACGTTTACTTCATCCAAGAATGCTGAAATTTATTACATTCGCTACAGAAAGTCTACTTGTTTATGAATCAATCATAGATCACCTGTTGAAAATATATGGACTCAAATCGGAAGTTGAGTTGTTCACAGGAATTCTCGATGGATCTTCTTCCCTTCTTAATGAGTCGAGTCGATTCAAAGATAAAGAAGACGCAATGATAGCCTCTATAAACTCATTGCTAATCAATAAAATGGATGAACTATTTGATTCGAAACTGATCAATGTATCCAAAGACGATAAGATGGCTGCAGCTTCAGCCATTTACTATGTGTCTAAACAGAAAGTCGAAGAAACTACAAATAGTTATATTGGATTGCCTTTTATTGGCAAGTGTGGTTTTTACTTACGACAATACATGGAATATAAAGCTACTACAAAAATACCAGAAAAAACGCCAACCACGAAAGCTGTTGCTGTTCATAATCAATCAAAAATTGAACAGCCATTGATGGTCTCAGCACTTTGTGAAATAAAAGATAAAGTTATTAACATCATTAAGACGTTTTTAACTTATGGTAAAGTGGCAAAAGATACAACCCTGGCAATCTCATCGCGAATCGACAAAATAATGAGCAGAGATGATTCATGTGCTGTTGTCAGCTTACCATTTCATATTTTGATTGCTAAGCTTTTACAAGAAACTAAACTTGTATGGACAAACTTGGCTGGGCGCAAAAATAATGAATTGAATCTTAGTCAATTCATCGATTCTACAATCCCGACATTAATTTGGTCTATATTGGTCGCTGAAACATCTCTATATACAAATGAAAAGACAACGTCAGGTTATATGAATAAATCTTTCCTGGTTCGGTGTGGTAAACGAGGAATCCACAGTTCAATATGGACACTGCTTGAGAAAACTTTAGCTGCCGATACTCAGATAGAGATACTATTTGAGTCAAAGGAAAAAAACTCAATTCCAGTTGTGATTCATGGTTCGCCTAAATCAATATGGATGGCATCAATCATCATTGGAATTCATAATCGACTGTGCTCGATTTACTTTGAAAACTATGCAACCTGACAGTATGTTCAACAATGTCGACACATTCCATTGTTTTCATACTCAGGCTCTTAGTGGTTACACTAATCATCAGGTCTACAACACCAATGATATCATTTGGGTAAATCGTTTGAAGCATCAAATCGAAATCCAATAACATCGGCTGTAAACTATTATCATTGAATGTTAGTTAGACTTGATGGTTAATGTAATAAACCATATTTGGTGATAATACAATAGCTATTGCTGAATGAAGCACATCGCTATTGTATTGACTATTAGATCATTTATTGAGAGCCAAGAGAGTGCATGAGATAGAACCTTAACGTCAAAGTTACAATTCAAAACAAAAAAACGGTTATTCCGAAATTTTTCGATCTTTGATTGAGATTTACCCAGAATTGTACACTTTCAATCTAGATTCTATCTCGTTCAGTCCCTTAGCTTTCAGTTAATGATCTAATATCCCAATTCCTCTTCCCTTATATTAATGTATCCTGACATTGAAAACAAAAAAAATAAAGTATTTTGAAAAATATTATCCTCTGAATTTTTTTCTTTCTTTCTGAAGTTATGTTGATCTATCAAGTTGTTTCCCAATCCCAAATTTACTTTTAAAATACGAAGCAATTGTTGGATACTTGTTACACAGCTGTAAATTTGCTTCAGAACCTGAATGGACTCAGACTCAGATCTAATATTAGAGAAAAATGGTCTCTTTCGACAAACGTCTCTTTTGATGACAGGACCAATGGACTATTGGATTCGCCAATTTTTCGGCATGACACAAATTGTTGAGAGAGACGATCTTTACAATCAATTGCACAAAATTTACCAGCGAGCCATCATTCCTTACTGTACTGGTGAACGAACTAACGAAAGTTCGGGTAAAATTTTGTTGAAAATTTCCAATGACATTCAAGAAGATAATTGTTGCGGACTTGAGATACAAAGAACCAGTGGACTATTCTCTAGTCATCACAACCCAATGGGTCAAATGGTAATGGCATTATTGGAACAAGAACTCTCTAACAGTTTGATTAGAGAAAATGACAACTCAATTGACCTTTTCACTAACCGATGTTTTAAAGTTCGTATCACTGATGCTAGGAATGGAGAGATTTCAGTTCTTCAGCAGCAAAGTAAGTATCTGAGCTTCCATTTCCACTCAAATCATAAGGGGCATTTCTCACGAAAAACTGACCCTCGTCAACTACATTTTACGGAACTTTTGATAAAAACTAACATATTTTTTGATGTCTTCTTTCGAAGTATCTCTTCAAATCGACGAGGGTCAGTTTTTAATGAGACTTATCCTTATAGACTTTAATTTTGTTTTTCATGTTTAGGATGATTGGGGAAAAATCATTTCATCATGCTTGTGATTAATGCTTCTAATTTTACTGGTGATTTCAATTTTGGTGACTCATTCGTGATTTTATCTTTATTGTTGAACACAAATTTTGAATCATTGAAACGAGATTATGATGCAACTATTCATCTACTTCATAATTGAACCTGATTAATTTGACACTCTGCACCCTATCGATTCTGATTGTTGGTGACATTTGACATGTATTTTGGTGCTGTGAATCGACCTGTGTGTTGGTGGAATCGATTTTAATCGCAAGAGTTTGAGTAACTTTCTTAACGACTCATGACAACATTTTTGATTTACTTGTTTTTAAAATAACTTACAATGAATATATTGAAATATTTTACTGAATGTCATCCATTTTTATACTTATTGGACAAAAAATATCTAATTTTCCATTTTCTTTATTCACTATTCATGTATCACAAATATGTGTCTCATTTTATTTTTTTCATTCCCTGTTACTATTATGTGTGTGTTATCATGTTACTGTTATCTTGACGAAAATTTCAAACAAATCTTAACAAGCGTATCATTCCACATGTCAAACAAATCAGTAACTGAGCAAATAGTTCCAACATAAATCAAGAAATAGACTGAAAATACAAAATAAGTGTAGTGTTGATAAAATTGACAATTTATTGCAATGGGATTGTAAATCATTTATGCCAGTGTTTGATGCACAGATTAATTTAAGAAGCCAGAGGTTAGTTTTTGTTTCTATAAATGAATTAGAGACTAATTATTATACTGTCTATCCGATTTTAATCAAGATTGACCAATTGTTATAAGCTTAACTCTTTATTGTTACTAGGTGAATGATAAGAGGATTTCATTTTTGTTATCCTCTGGTTCTGATTGTTACCCTTCTAACAATTATAACCAGATTTTATATCTTATCCACCCAAAAATCGAAATATTTCATTTTTAATGTACAATTTAACCTATTATTTAGCATAATAGAGTCTACCTGTAGATGAATCTCTACAGTTCAGCCTGAATAGATTATATCGCAAAAATTAGTCAGTCTCAGAATATGCTGGATTTTTTAAAATTTATTAGGTAACCAAAAGTATTTGCGTAAAGGCATATGATTAATTAATGATTAATTAATGATTAAGTAAAAACAATAGAGATAAGATGAGTGTGAGAATCTTTTAATCGTCATAGATTTCACCAATGCTAAACAATATGAAATCAATTTTTGAATTAATTGTATAAATAGGGATGTGTAAGTAAAATTTTATTTCTTTCTCATTTCAGTTCTATCTAAAAGTTACTGTTAAATTTTGTGCAACATGCAACAATTCAACGAAAAGTTAAACTCAGTGTCTTTCAACTTGAAAATTGTTCCAGACAAGAAAAATCTGTTTACAATCGACAAAGCGAGAGTATTGGGTGACATTAAAGCTATCTTCATCAACGCTAAAGTCACTTCGGCTGAAATTACGGATCACTGTGGTAACAAATATCGTTATAGTGATGGTGAATTCCTGGACCCTGTTAAGCTTGATACTTGGACTGATAAACCTCTAGATTTGCCTTCAATTTATGGATGGAAAGGTTCAATTGATTTGAAGACCAACCAGTTGGGAGATTTAGTCAGCAATTTATCGCCTCTGGGTGGAAAACACGATGAATCTTATGGTTATTTTTGGAAATTTGATGAAAATTCTTTAAATTTTCGTCGAGTTATTGGAGCTACATCTTTCAAGTCTAAGCTGCCTTCCAATATTGCTAACTTTGCTTTCGGAAACATCGTTAATGGCGACTGTTTTGTCTCTCATTTCAGTACTCCGTCAAAAATACAAATTGATGATTTAAATGTTGAATTAGTTCCTCACAAAAATGAACTAAATTTAATGTTTACTATGATTGATGAGAATGGGACCGAGAAAAAAGTGATGTTTCGTTATGATTGCAACTCAATTAAAAGTGTTAACATTCACCATGTACAGCCCCTTGGTTTCTCCTTTTATGCCGAACTGTCCAATGCTCCAAAGATGTTTGTGGCTGATGGTCAAAGCTGCCTGAATAATGATAGAAAGCAAATTGAATGGAAACGAAAGGGTTCCTGTGGGCGTATTTCTCAAGATTTAATTGGTAAATGTAATGTTTTACGATTAACCTGGTTGTCTTATGATACATCTTATATACCGGCTTTGTACCTTTGGCGTCGTCACTTTAAATTTAATCTTTCATTTGGAAGCATCGTAAATTACAGCGATGAATTTGTTGACGAATCTACAGATATGGAATTTCCTGATAAGATCAAATATCTCCTAGCTTGCATGAAATCATTGAGCTTCAATTATCAGGACGATCTTCAAATTAACCACAAAGGAGAGAAAATTATTAACGAATTTATGAAAAAACAAATTGCTGCGGGAAAAAGTGATCAAGTTCAACAAGCTCTTAATCGCCTTCACGGTGATTTTGTTAATGGTAAAGTTCACAATGTCTTTGAGCATTTTAAATATCTCTTGACCAAAGTTAAACTGCAATGGGCCAACATCAAAGATCTTGAACGAGACACTGAGCATATAAAATATGTAAAGACTGCAATTTTAACTCCGAGCAGAACTGTTTTCATGCCACCAGTCATGACAAGAACGTGCAAATTTCTTGACTTAGCTGAAACAGATTGTGTTTTACGTGTCATCTATAGAGATGAAAACTATGGAACTTTGAGTTCTACATTCAAGAACTTCAATCAACACAAAGGAAAAAGTTATGATGAGGAAAACGTGGACTGTGTAACCTCCATGTTGAAAGACAGAATACTTAAAAATGGCCTTTGTGTTGCTGATCACACCTATCAATACTTCGGTGCATCTCCATCACAACTTAAAGATGGTGGTATGATGCTATATGCGAAAGACTCACAGAATCGAACTGCAGCCTCAATCCGAAACTCACTTGGTATTGTGAAGGAAAAAAGTGTTCCCAAATATATGTCCAGAATTGGACTCAGTTTAAGCCAAGTTATGGCTTTTGTTGATCTGCCTGAGTATACAAAAATATATTTAACCAGTGATATTTATGGAGGCTCTCATCCAGACTCTGGTAAGCCTTATAATTTCACTGATGGATGTGGTTCCATATCATTGGAAGCTGCTCGTTATATTTATGATGATTTAATTAGACAGAAAGTATTGGAGCGCAAAGATGATGACAGTTATATACCATCAGCGTTTCAAATAAGGTTCATGGGATCAAAAGGAATGCTGGTAGTTGATCCTGACCTGATTGGAATGACTATTGTTATTCGCGAAAGCATGCAAAAGATGTATACCGAGAAAGATAGACTCGGGATCGTTAAAGTCTCTGAACCAAGAAGAGCTTATCTGAACAAGCCTTTTATTATGGTTCTAAACCAGATCGGATTGTGGAACGAGCTCTTCATAAAGCTTATCTTCGCTACATTCCAGTTGAATTCTTTGTTTTATGACGATCAAGTAGCTTTGATGACCATGAAGCTATATACACATTTGAATCGTGTAGTGAACCTAGACGCTTTTGCTAACTGTAACTTTAGCTTCACGAATGACTCTTTCTTTCAAGCCATTTTACATCTTGCCGTGAAACAAGCTTTTGATAGTTTGAAGACTAAACAAAGAATTCCTTTGCCGTGGCTTGAGGCACGAACAATGCTCGGAGTTTTTGATACTACAGCAAAATCTTCAAAGGTTTTAGCTAATTTTGAAAAAGGTATCTGTCAACCTCCCGAATTTCCTGACAGTATAAATGGGCTTGGATCCGGTGTTCTTAAAGCAGGACAAGTTTTTTGTTGGCCTTCTGATTTTACTGAACCTCTAAGAGGAGAAGTAATTGTTACAAAATTTCCAACATCTGATCTTGGTGGTGTTCGTAGATTGGTCGCAGTTGATTGTAAACAACTGCATGCGATAAGAGATTGTATAGTGTTTCCAGTAGATGGTAAACGTCCTCATCAAGACGAAATGGCTGGGTCTGATTTAGATGGAGATGAGTATTGTGTCATTTGGATGGACGATATCCTCGGAATTCAAGAACGAATTCCAATGACCTATCCAGAAAACCCTAAAGCTGAAACTCAAGAGGAAATAAGTGACGAGCTTATGATTGAACACCATATAAACTGTGTGAGATCAGATCAGGTTGGAATGATTGCAAATGCACAGTTAGCATTAGCTGATAGTAAAGGTTACGACTCTCCTGTGTGCCGAAGATTGGGTCGTAAATATAATGGAGCATTGGATGCTCCTAAGAATGGATTTAATGCTGAGTATTTACTTGAACGTGGTGATCGACCTTTGGAATTTCCTGATTTTATGGATAAATGGTCAATTAAGCCGACATACTATTCAACCAGTGCTTGTGGTGAAATTTATCGTTTGGTTAATTTGTATCAACACTCATTAAACTTTTTGACTGTGCCTGCAGTATTTGAACCCAGCTCCGATATTGATGAACGTTTACTTCATCCAAGAATGCTGAAATTTATTACATTCGCTACAGAAAGTTTACTTGTTTATGAATCAACCATAAATCACCTGTTGAAAATATATGGACTCAAATCGGAAGTTGAGTTATTCACGGGGATTCTCGATGAATCCTCTTCTTCCATTCTTAATGAGTCAAGTCGATTTAAAGACAAAGAAGACGCAATGATAGCCGCTATAAACTCATCGCTAATTAATAAAATGGATGAACTATTTGATTCTAAACTGATCAATGCATCCGAAGACGATAAGATGGCTGCAGCTTCAGCCATTTACTATGTATCTAAACAGAAAGTCAAAGAAACGACAAATAGTTATATTGGATTGCCTTTTATTGGCAAGTGTGGTTTCTACTTACGACAATACATGAAATATAAAGTTACTACAAAAAATCAAATAAAAACGGCAACGACGAACACTGCCGCTATTCATAATCAATCAATAATTGAACATCCATTGACGACATCAGCAAATAGTAATATAAAAGATAAAGTTATAAACATCATTAAAACGTTTTTAGCCTATGGTAAAGTGCCAAAAGATATAATCCTGGCAATCGAATCGCGAATCGACAAAGTAATGAGCCGAGATGATTCATGTGCTGTTGTCAGCTTACCAGATAATAATTTGATTGCTAATCTTTTGCAAGAAATTAACCGTATATCGACAAACTTGGCTGGGCTGAAAAATAATGAATTGAATCTTGATCAATTCATCGATACTACTATCCCAACACTAATTTGGTCGTTATTGGTCGCTGAAACAAAAGAAGTGACAACGTCAGATTATATTAATAAATCTTTCCTGGTTCAGTGTGGTAAGCGAGGAATACACAAATCATTATGGATACTTCTCGAGAAAACTTTAGCTGCCGATACTCAGATAGAGATACTATTTGAGTCAAAGGAAAATAACTCAATTCCAGTCGTGATTCATGGTTCGCCTAAATCAATATGGATGGCAAAAATTATCATTGGAATTCACAATCGACTAACCTCGATTAACTTTAAAAACTATGCAACCTGACAGTATGTTCAACAATGTCCACACATTTCATTGTTTTCATACTCGGGTTCTTAGTGGTTACACTAATCATCAGGTCTACGACACCAATGATATCATTTGGGTAAATCGTTTGAAGCATCAAATCGTAAATCCAATAACATCGGCTGTAAACTTTTATCATTGAATGTTAGTTAGACTTGGTGGTTAATGTAATAAACCATATTTCTATTAAACAAATACAATAGCTATGCCTGAATGAAGCACATCGCTATTGTATTAACTAGTCCATTTATTGAGAACCAAGAGAGTGCATGGGACAGAACCTTAACCGAAAGTTACAATATAAAACAAAAAAAACGGTTATTCCGAAGTTTTTCAATCTTTGATTGAGATTTACCCAAAATTGTTAAACTTTCAATCTAGATTCTATCTCGTTCAGTCCCTTAGCTCTCAATTAATGATCTAGTACAACTTTCTTTTCCTTATATTAATGTAATCTGACATTGAAAATAAAAAATAAAGTATTAAAAATTTAAAAATATTGTCCTCTGAATTTTCTTCTTATAATATGTTGATCTTTTCTTCAGTAAGTCATAAAGAATCCTCGTCGGATCAATTCTCTCTTTTCTTACATTAGCAGAACTCTTTTGATAACCTGATTGTCTTAACATATAACATATTTTTAAATACACTAGTGGTCAGGGTTAAGTTAACAAAAAAGGTCAGAGTTTTGTTTGATAATCTAACCTTATTACAGGGTTATGGGATACCGCCTCTTGGTTGGTGCCTGATCAGTAAATAGATAGGTCCCAGCAATTACACTTGCGTGCATTGCTACAAACGGTTTGGGCGACCGTCTCGGTTAAAAATACAAAAAATACATTAAATTACGTTTTTACAATATCATTTGTTCTGGAAATTGCTTAGATTCTATCAGTCGTTTGGTTTTGATTTAATATTTTTTTATCATGAATTTTTTTCGCTCATTCCTTTTAAAAGAAAGCCTATTTCGATATTCTAAAATAGAATATTGAAAGCCACAGACTTACCTGATTGTTTTTATCACAAGTCACAATGACACAAATAAATGTAGATCTAACTATTTGATGAAATTACCGGGTCCACAGAATATTAAGCATTGAATTAAAACAAATTGCATATAAAAAACTAAAATCAATCAAAATTAATTTACATTTAAGTCAAGTTAATTTTTAAATGTCGCCATCTCGAGAATTTACAGTTTTAAGTGATGCTAAACAATAGAAATCTAAATAAGGCCTATTTATCCGAAGAATGGATCCGATCTTTAGATAGATGATAGTCACTATCTTTGGCAGCACGAATCCTCGTGCGATTATGGTTTTACAAGACGATTGATGTCGATATCGATAGTTTTTTTATCACTTATGTATGAGCAATATTTACATTTATTTAAATTTTGAACTTAATTTATCCGATGAAATTTTGATTGTTTTTGGTACTTTTGGTGGTTTCTTGCTGTTTTAACAGTGAATCTATTTGGTCACACAAAATTGAAATTTTATCGACATTTTGTTGACAAGTTATACAGGGTTGGCTATCCTACAATTTTTATATCGTCACTAAATGAAGGTGAAAGTGATCGGACTTGATTGAGTAAGGGCTGATTTAGTTCAAGATTGATTCTTGATCATGGGGTTTGGCAAGGATGAGGTATTGGAAAAGCTTGGGTAAGCGATTCTGTCTCTTCAGATTACAAGGATTGTCAGACCTAGGGTAATTATAATTTTGATATCTGTCAGACCTATGTAACTGCTAACTCTTAATATTGTCAGACCTATCATAAGACTGGTGATGATTTTTTGGCGAATAACTTCAACATCGATGATGAATTTTATAACGAACTCATTAGGTTGTTACTCACTCAGGGTACTCTAGCTGGTAGCTGGTACTCATTGGCTTTCCAATAAAAAAATCCCAATATGTAGCAGTTAAAAATGTAATTTTTAGTTCTTCTATAAACTGAAGCCTAATTTTTATTTTAGAGTCTTGATGCAATTTCTTGTAAAAACCAGTCTTAGCAGAACTTTCTAAATAACTTCCAAATTTAATTCATCATAATAATCATAAGAATTTACAAATCTGACAATTATTTAAAATCTTAATGCTTGGCCAGACATTTTCCATAGAAAGGGCGAATTTCATAGGTTTAAGAATTGGGCGTGCAGTACGCATGGCTATCAGTCCTTCAGGCAGACATCCTTTGGTTCAGGACTGACTTCTCTTTCTCTCTTTTCTCTTTAATATTGTAAGGATTCGGAATTTCAAACATTATTTGAAAGTACGATTTGCCAGTGTTTATCTAAAATCCTTTTTTATTTAATGATTCTAAGAAACTGACGGTCTGACTAGGCCTGGTAACTGATCTTAGGATCAAGAAATACTTAGTTAACGACGAGCCAAGACCTCTATTGGGTCAGGACTGACTTCTCTTTTTTTATACCGTTGCCTGGGTCTGACCTTTGTAGACCTGGCTTACGTGACCTCTTAGTTTCTTCTTATTTCTCTCACATAAATCTAGCTTCTATACATAACGGTTTGACAGATTTTATTATTTTCGTTTTAACTATTTAGTATTTCTTGATCCTGGAATCAGTTACCAGGCTTCATCAGGTCGTCAATTTATCGAATAGTTCCATCGGAATTCTTTCCAAATAATGCATAAAATTTGTGATCCTTACAGTATTTTATTGTTTTGTCAAAGCTGAAAGCATAAATTTCGATAGTGGTCATGTTGACTACATTCCTTCGATTGTTTAAGTTACTACCCTTACCGCTCAGATAACGATATTCAAACTTTATTTTTATTGCTGATTGCTTTTTTTCAAACAGCGAACAACGGAAAGGATAAACACACAAGTTTGTGCAATTCATACAGCATCAAAGTTAGTTTCTGAGCTTTTATTTTTACGCAAATCAATGCAGTCAAACTTCTCAAAAGTTGCAGTAACGGCCCAATCGTTCACAGATAGCGCCGCCGGAAATCCCTTAAAAAAGAGGGAGACCTGTTTCTTTCTTTTAAGTTTCTCTTTCTTTGCAACTTTTGAGAGGTTTGACTGTCATTTAATTTTGTTTCTTATGTGAAAGATGATTTAACACAAATCATGAGATTATGATGCGCCTATTCAGCTACTTACTGAATGTACCTGGATAACTTGACACTTTTGCTCGCATTGATTCTATCTTGAGAACATTTTACATGCATTTCGCTGCTGGATCGACCTGTGTATAATTTCCTTGTTCGTGGAATCAATGCGAATCGAAAAAGTTTGGATCAACTAAATGATTAAAATATTTTTGATTTGCTATTTTTTCTAATTATAATGAAAATGATGCAATATTTCAATGAATTTCATACACTGATAAATGGTTAAATTTTTAATCCAAGTAAAACATTTTGAATGGTTTTTTATCATTCCCTAAAACATACAATTTGACAAAATTTCCACTTTTTATACACTTACATTTGGATTTGGATTTTCAATTTTAATTTGTTTCACTTCATAATTAATTGAGCAGGGAAAATTAACATTATTATACCAAAACTAAGTTAAGTTGTACTAGGTATTGACTAGGTGATTAACAGAGTAAATCTAATTTTGCTTTCTTAAGCTGAATAATTGATTTAAATTAACAATTTTAAAATTCAGTGCACACTCTCCCGTGTTAGTTGCAGTGTTTTCAAATTTAGTTTGATTAGCTTTTGGATGTTTGCTAGAAACTAGTGCCCGTTACGTAAATTCAATTGGTTTCACCAAATTATATCTAAATTGCTGTTTGCTTTAATACGAAAAACAAATCCTAACAAGCGTATCATTCCGCAAGTCAAACTAATCAGTACTTCTTACTTGTTAGAAAAATTAACTGAGCAAATAGTTCCTATAAATCAAGAAATAGACTGAAAATACAGTGATACGAAATAATTAAATACAATAAAGAGTGTAGTGTTGATAAAATTGACAATTTATTGCAATGGGATTGTAAATCATTTATCCCAATGTTTAACGTCTGGATCAAATTAAAGAAGCCTGAAGTTATCTTTTGTTTTTAGCAATTAATTGCTATTCTTTAGAGACTTATTATTCCGTCTATCCGATTTAACCAAACTGTGCAAATAAACCAGGAAAATAATGTATCATTGTTGAGGGGATTTCATTTTTTCAACCTCTGGTTCTGATTGTGACCCTTCTAACAATTATAAACAGATTCTATAACTTATCCACCCAAAGATGAAAATCTTATCCTTTTAATGTGCAGTTTAAACAAATTTTTAGGATAATAGATTCTAGATGCATCTCTGGAGTTCTCTCCGATATTGCAAAAATTGGTGAGCCTCAGAATATGCTGGATTTTTTTAAATTTAGTATAAATAGCAATGTAGTTTCATTCATGTTCCAGTTCCAAATCTGTTGTTAAAACTTTGGACAAAATGACATCTCAAATGTTAAACTCAGTGTCTTTCAACTTGAAAATTGTTCCAGCCAAGAAAAAACTGTTTACAATCGACAAAGCGAGAGTATTGGGTGACATTAAAGCTATCTTCATCAACGCTAAAGTCACTTCGGCTGAAGTCACGGACCATTGTGGTGCCAAACATCGTTATAGTGATGGTGAATTCCTGGACCCAGTTAAGCCTGATATTTGGACCGATAAACCTCTAGATTTGCCTTCAATTTATGGATGGACAGGCACAATTGATTTGAAGACCAACCAGTTAGGAGATTTAGTCAGCAATCTATCGCCCCTGAAAGGTAAACCTGCTTTGGTCAATAACGAATTTTATGGTTATTTTTGGAAATTCGATGATAGTTCTGTCAATTTTCGTAAAGTTACATCTTCAAGGTCTGAGCTGCCTTACAACCTTTCTAACTTTGCATTTGGAACCATCGTTAATGGAGACTGTTTTGTCTCTCATTTCAGTACTCAAGCAGCATCACAATTAAGTGATTTAAATGTTAAATTAATTCCTCACAAAAATGAACTAAATTTAATGTTTACTGTTATTGATGAGAACGGTACTAAGAAAGAAGTGATGTTTTGCTTTGATTGCAACTCAATCGTAAGCGTTAACATTCATCATGTACAGTCTCTTGGTTTCTCCTTTTATGCCGAACTGTCCAATGCTCCAAAGGTATTTGTGGTTGATGGTCAAAGCTGTTTTAATAATGGTAGAAACCAAATCAAATGGAAACGAAAGAGTTCCTGTGGTTCTATTTCTCGAGATTTAATTGGTAAATGTAATGTTTTGAGATTAACCTGGTTTTCTCAGGATACGTCTTATTTATCGGCTTTGTACCTTTGGCGTAGTCACTTAAAATTTGATATTTCATTTGGAAGCATCATAAATTACAGCGATGACTTTGTTGTTTAGTTACTTAGTCACTTGAAAATTGTGTTTATTTTAAAAAGTTGAAAAAAGCTGACAACAGCAGTGAAACTGTTTTTAAACTATGGTTGCAACGAGATCAGGAGCTGGTCGTACTTCACAGGCTCACGATTCAAGTGCTGATCCTTCGACATCTGGTTCGGCTCGTGGTCGTGGTCGTGGTGGCGGTCGTGGCCGTGGTGGCGGTCGTGGTCGTGGTCGTGGTCGTGGTGGCCGTAGTGGCCGTACAAGTAGTACAAGTAGTAGTACACAGGAGTCCCGCCAACATGCCTCGGCTGCAGCTTCAGTCATTTACTATGTGTCTAAACAGAAAGTCGAAGAGACGACAAATAGTTGTATTGGATTGCCTTTTATTGGCAAGTGCGGTTTTGACCTACGACAATACATGAAATATAAAATTACTACAAAAATACCAGAAAAAAAGCCAACCACGAAAGCTGTTGCTGTTAATAATAAATCAACAATTGAACATCCATTGATGGTCTCAGCAATTTGTAAAATAAAAGATAAAGTTTTAAACATCATTAAGACGTTTTTAGCCTATGGTAAAGTGCCAAAAGATACAACCCTGGCAATCTCATCCCGAATCGACAAAGTAATTAGCCGAGATGATTCATGTGCTGTCGTAAGCTTACTAGATCATAATTTGATTGCTAATCTTTTGCAAGAAACTAAACTTGTATGGACAAACTTGGCTGGGCGGAAAAATAATGAATTGAATCTTAATCAATTCATCGATTCTACAATTCCAACATTAATTTGGTCTTTATTGGTCGCTGAAACATCTCTATATACAAATGAAAAGACAACGTCAGGTTATATGAATAAATCTTTCCTGGTTCGGTGTGGTAAACGAGGAATCCACAGTTCAATATGAACACTTCTCGAGAAAACTTTAGCTGCCGATACTCAGATAGCGATACTATTTGAGTCAAAGGAAAAAAACTCAATTGCAGTCGTGATTCATGGTTCGCCTACATCAATATGGATGGCATCAATCATCATTCGAATTCATAATCGACTAACCTCGATTTACTTTGAAAACTATGCAACCTGACAGTATGTTCAACAATGTCGACACACTCCATTGTTTTCATACTCAGGTTCTTAGTGGTTACACTAATTATCAGGTCTACAACACCAATGATATCATTTGGGTAAATCGTTTGTACTATGTCCTGTGTACTACTACTTGTACTACTTGTACGGCCACTACGGCCACCACGGCCACGACCGCCACCACGGCCACGACCGCCACCACGACCACGACCACTACCACGGCCACGACCACGAGCCGAACCAGATGTCGAAGGATCAGCACTTGAATCGTAAGCCTGTGAAGTACGACCAGCTCCTGATCTCGTTGCAACCATAGTTTAAAAACAGTTTCACTGCTGTTGTCAGCTTTTTTCAACTTTTTAAAATAAACACAATGTTCAAGTGACTAAGTAACTAAACAACAAAGTCATCGCTGTAATTTATGATGCTTCCAAATGAAATATCAAATATTAACTGACGACGCCAAAGGTACAAAGCCGATAAATAAGACGTATCCTGAGAAAACCAGGTTAATCTCAAAACATTACATTTACCAATTAAATCTCGAGAAATAGGACCACAGTAAACATTAAATTTAGTTCATTTTTGTGAGGAATTAATTTAACATTTAAATCACTTAATTGTGATGCTGCTTGAGTACTGAAATGAGAGACAAAACAGTCTCCATTAACGATGGTTCCAAATGCAAAGTTACATTGGATTTACGATTTGATGCTTCAAACGATTTACCCAAATAGTATCATTGATGTTGTAGACTTGATGGTTAATGTAATAAACCATATTTGGTGATAATACAATAGCTATTGCTGAATGAAGCACATCGCCATTGTATGCATTATTAGATCATTTATTGAGAACCAAGAGAGTGCTTGGGACAGAACCTTAACCGAAAGGTTCAATTAAAAACAAAAAAAAACGGTTATTCCGAAGTCTTTCGATCCTTGATTGAGATTTACCCCGAATTGTTAAACTTTCAATCTAGATTCTATCTCGTTCAGTCCCTTAGCTTTCAGTTAATGATCTAATATCCCAATTCCCTTCCCTTATATTAATGTATCCTGACATTGAAAACAAAATAAAATAAAATATTTGCATGAATATTACGGTATTTTCTGAATTTTTCCCTCTGCATTATACGCCAATCTTTACTTTAAAAATTTCACATTGTTGGTCTTCACAAAAGTCAACGTCACAATTGTCTCTCTGGCATTTTGTTTCTTACCTAATTGCTTAGTGACAATATACAAACAACTCCATTTTAAAATCTAAATCTTGATTCGATTATACAGTTATCGATTATTGTAGTTAACTCGAATAGTAGTTTAACGTTTCTTGAATCAGGGTAGATACAATTGAATCTTGTTCAACAATTTTCCATACATTGGTTTGCATTTTTATCCAATTAATAGAGCGAGCCACTGAGACACTAAAAACATTTTAACAGAGCTTAAAAAGATGATGTAATTTAGTCGTTTGTTACAAGATATTATAATATCAAAAAAAATAATTTACTTTTTCTAGTATGAGTCACTTCCCTGCTACATTACTGTCTGACAAGTCATGAGTCTACTCATTGAGTCAATCATCTACTTTTTTACCGCCAAAAATTAAACTGGTTAAAGATGTCTGCATTTTTATTGCTGTATCAGTTATCTGGAGTTGCTCAGAAAGTAATCTCTCAGATATTGACCAGTTAGTTTTAAGCTCACGTTAGCTTTTAAATCTTTTTTAGTAGACTTGAGTTTTAACCGGTTTTACAAAATTTATGTTTTAAATCTCAATTTTTCCGTGTAACTGCGAGTGTTTATTTAGGCAAAGATGTGACACTTGTTCACTACACTTCTCGGATTTTGTTGAATCTAGTTTAAAATTCGTTTCCAAAGAAAAGCTAAAAAGTAACTTGAACCAGGATCTTGGTAACCCAAAGAAAAGGGCAAATCTTATCTTTCAATGCTTTATTAGTGTCTTTGATGTACCAGTTTTAGACAACTTTTTATTGCTTTTGTTATTCCTAATCAACATTGGATCATCAACAACGATAAGGACAATCAACTCTCAGTGATCACTGATCAGGTAATTCATTTTCCCCTCTTTATTATCATCTAAACTTGTTTTGACGTCTCTGTCAAATCTCGTTCTTCTCTTGCATTCTTTTCTTTTGTATTCTTTCGATGAAAACTGGAAGTAAGATCTTATCCTTGAAAAAATTCATTCACCTCTCATAAACAGGTTATCTGATCGAAACTTGTTGCATTTGTCTCAATTTCTATCAATCAGCTCTTATTTGTCCGTATTGATTAGAGAGTAGAAACTGCTTTTGACCCATTTGCATGCTGAAATTTATGATCAGAGCGTTTAAGTTTCTTAAAGTTTGTTCATTAAAAAACTATCAATTTATTAAAGATTACAACAAAGTGAGCTATTGGACAAGATTTCTCGAAATATCGACTCGTCTGTGATCTCAAATCAATAAAAAGAGTTCTGATCTACTCGAGCAAAATTTACAATATTTACTAGCTTTAAATCGCTTATGATACAACGATGTGCATGACCAACACCCAAAAAAATTGGGAAAAATTGTTGGATCTACAAATTTACAAATTGATTAGGATTTTAATGAAAAGAAGTGCAATTTTGCAATATTGTTCAGGCAAAATACAGTTTTAAAAATTTCATTTCAATGAATAAGTAAACCTTTGCTTTTGTAATCTGATATTTAAATAGACGATTCTTAGATTATATCAGATGACAAACAAACTAAGAGTCACTTTTGACATTGATATTTGATCGTTTAGATATGTGTGTCGATTAATGATTTGATGTAATTAACTGATGTCGCCTATTTCGCATAAATAGATATTCTGTCACAGATAAGTTGAATTTCATCATTTTAATTGTCACCATTTTTGCAGCACATCTATCATTTTGCTTCATGAGAAACAATGGAATTGCATTCTCAAATGAATCTGTCCAATTAAAGAGTTTCCGTGATACATAGATTCACTTATTTTCTTGTCGTTACTTATTGAAATATTTTACTTGAATCCTTAAAATCATGAGTTAATTAAATGGTTATGAATTTAGCGATAAGAAGAAACACAAATGTAGAAGGCGGTTTTTCAATGGTTGAACTGGTGGTTAAATCAACCTTCCAAAGGTTAACTTTCACAGTGGTTAACAATTTAAAGGCAAATTAACAAATATTTTAAATTGAAGAAACAGTAATTAAATTGAGTATCATCTAGCATATGGTTGGATTAATTGTTACTTTGGGTATATTATTGACAGATTGTATGTTATTTGATTCCTCAATGTTTTCATCCATTTAACTTGAGGAGCTTTTCCTAGCTAATAAGCAATGTTTATGATCGTCAGTTCTCATGTTTTAAGCTTTAGCTTCATCTCTTCGCCACCAGTTTTCAAACAGGTTGATCATTTATCTAGAAATCTCTCTTCAGAATTAATTGATTGTGTTTTAGTTGGATAACTAATATTAAAATTTTCCTTTCGTTATTGTTAAGTGAATAGACTATGATTTTTATCCTGCAAGATTAACTCTTTGTTTATATCATTTGTGATGTTGTATAATCTTTACTTTAACCTTATGACTCGTTTTGCTTTTTCTCAATTTTAATTTTTCCTTTTTCTTAAGCGGCTTTGCTTTGCTTAACGCTCTCCAGTAAACATTTCAACTTTTGTCTCATCTTATGTTGCAACTTGTCTCTTAACCCAAGTTTTATGCATTTTCCTTTGTACTTTTATTTTTGTGTCACTCTATTTTAGCGCATTTTAAGCTCAGCAACCTGGAATAAATCAACATGCCATTGAGGCCAGAATCTCAGTTTCTTCCCTTCAATTTGGAAATGATATTGACTGGTAACAGAAAAGTTGATACTGATTTTAGTGAATTATTGAAACTTTTATCATCTTTATTTGCGCCACTTTACCTACGACATGTAGAGATAATGTCAATAACTCATTCTTCACCCATGTTTTATTTGGAAAATGGAAATTTTGTTTCTCGTGCTCCGTGTTCGTTTGGGACTAGAAGGATTGATTTTTGTTCTCATGGACCCAATCCGATTCTATGGGCGGGTAAAATTGAACTTGTGCAGAGAAAGCTTCAGGAAATGGACTACCTTTTACGAAACTTGAGTGCTAAGTTGCGTCCTGAGCTACAAGTTGATCTAATTTGGCGATTTACTAATGATTCTTCTTTAGCTTTCCAACAATTAGTTGGAGTTGCTCCTTTTGATTATAAAAGGGCTCGTATTGAACTCAACACTTCATCATTTGCTTTTGGTACCATTGTTAATGGAAATCATTTTGTATCACATTTCCAAAGTAACCTGACAGAACAAGAAAGCATCTTTATGAACACGATGCCAATCAATGAGAAACACGTTCATTTAAATCACACCAGTGAGCTGCTTGAGCTACAATTTCGAGTTTGTTCATTTCGCATGTGTGATTATTGGGGTCAAGAATTTCAACTTCGATATGGTTATAATTCAATTGAAAAAGTTACCATATGTAAGAAAACTAAAGAGATTGTGATCCTTTACTTTCATCTGACTCGACCGCCTAAAATTTACACGGATAGATATCATCTCGATCCAAACGTTGTTTACATTGATAAACAAGTTGCTGATGATGGCAGTGGTAGGGATCGCTGGACAAGATGGCATGATTGCTTTTTGATTTCTCGAGATATTGTGGGTAAATCAAATGTTCTCAAATTGGAAATACATTCAAACACCTCTCAAAGGTTCCAAGCACCTCTGTCTGCGCTCTATGCTTGGAGACGGTTCAGCCCTCTCGATATGAGCTTTGCACCTGTATATGAAACTTCATTTCGTGGATACCAAGAAAATTTTCCTGCAAATTTACCTGATGATGTAAATTATGGATTAGATTGTCTTACTTGTTTTGACTTCAGCTTTCGCAATGATCTGGAATTTAATAATGGAGATGCGAGTCTTTTCAACGCATTTATTCGTCAACAAGTTAGCTTATCCAAAACTGGGCAGATTGTTGAGAGTTTACACAGATTGTTTTCAAGTTATCGATCTGGTAAAGTTCATCGTGCTTATGAATATTTCAAATGGATTTTCGATCGAGTTTGTCGTGAGTGGGAAACTATTAAAAAAATGAGAGATCGCCAATTATCGAAGACTAAATTTCTCAGAAGATGCATCATTACTCCAACTCGAGTGTTACCCCTTCCATCGTGTCCATTCCAAAGCAGCCATTTTCTTGAAGCTATTAATGCAGATTATGCATTAAGAGCTTTAATTCGGGATGAAGACTTTTCTAGTCTCAGCTATGCCGTTTCGGTTACACACTATGACTCCTCTACACCCAGGAGAAAGCCCAATCCTAATCACCCCAATTACCGTCCAAATTGTCGAGAATACTTTTTGAGAAAGGTGATTGAGGATCGCCTAATTGGTAATGTAAATGGCCTGCAAATTGCTGGCCGTGTTTATCAGTATTATGGAGCTTCATCATCTCAATTCAGAGAAGCTGGAATGATGTTGTATGCAAGAGATAATTTAGGACGAACTGCACAGTCCATCAGATGCTCGTTGGGAGTAATTAATGAAAAATCAGTCGCTAAATACGCATCCAGGGTTGGCTTGAGTTTAAGTCAAGTCTTTGGTTTTGTAACCCTACCTCCAGGGACTCAGATTTATATTATGTCTGATGTTTGCGGAGGTTGCCATTCACAAACTGGAAAACCTTATAATTTTACTGACGGTTGTGGAGCGATATCCACACAAATGGCATATTATATTTGGCAAAAACTGAAGTGCGATGGAATTATGAATGCTGAAACTACTGAAGAATTCATGCCTTCAGCTTATCAGATTAGATTCATGGGAACGAAAGGAATGGTTTGCATCGATAAGAAACTAGAGGGAATGACTATAGTTATTCGTGAAAGTAAGTTCGTAAATGCACTCAAAAAACAACAATCATTAATGCATTATTTTTGTTAATTTAACGGTGATTTTTGCAGGCATGCGCAAAATGAAAGCCCCTAAAAGTGATCTTGGTATTTTAAAAATAAGTGAACCTCGAAGGGCCTACCTTAATGCTCCCTTCATAACGATCTTGAATCAAATTGGACTTTCAACCGAGTTTTTCATGAAACTAGTGATAGAAACTATCGTAAATTTGATTGCTTCATTTGATGATAACGATACTGCAGTTTCTGCATTGGAGATGTTTGGTTCACTTCATCGTCTGATAAATTATAAAAAGTTGGCTAGAGCTGGTTTCCAATTGCATCATGATCCGTTTTTCCGATCAATTATCATTCTGATATTCAATCAAGGATTGGATATAATTAAAAGAAAAGCCAGAATTCCATTGAAGATGAAAGATGCTCGAACAATGTTTGGAGTGTGTGACCCCACCATCAACCGATTTTGTCAAAAACGTGTTGTAAGTTTCAATTACAATGGAGTTTGTGACACACCGACATTGGGACCAAGCTTTGAAGCATTAGGTCGAGGTATTCTTAAAAAGGGAGAAGTTTTCGTTTGGCCTTCGGATTTTGAGCGGCCAATTACTGGAGATGTGATTGTAACGAAATTTCCGTCCACTCATTCTGGTGATGTTCGGAGATTAATAGCCATTGACTACAAAGAGCTTCATCACATCAAAGACTGCATTGTATTCCCAGTTGATGGGAATCGACCACATTCCGATGAAATGGCTGGTTCTGATTTGGATGGAGATGAGTATTGCGTTATTTGGGCCGACGAATTCAAAAGAATTTTCATCAAACCTCCAATGGAGTATCCGGCTGGTCAAAATGGTGCCGTTTGCGATAACATCACTGAAAGAGAAATGGTTCGTTTTCATATGCGATACCTGCAAGAGTGTGCCATTGGTAAAATTGCTAAAGCTCATTTAGCATGGTCTGATCTTAAAGGTATCGATTCAGCTAAATGTAAGAAGTTGGCTATTAAATATGCTGGAGCATTGGATTTTGCTAAACAAGGAATTGAAGATGAATACAGATTTAGTAAAGAAGATTTATACCCAGAAGCTCCTGATTTTATGCAAAGACATAAATCAAAACCAAGCTATCATTCAATACGAGCTCTTGGTGCTATTTATCAAGTTATTTCCCAATTTCAACTCTACTTGGCTGATGAAATTAAAGTTAAACAAGTAGTTAAACCAAATATTGACCTGAGATTAGTACATCCCCAATGGGGATTGTACGAAGACGCAGCGATTTCAGCTTACGCAAAATACGAAGCAATTGTTGGATACTTGTTACACCGTTGTGAATTTGCATCAGAATCTGAATTACTTTCTCAAATATTTGAGAAAAATCGCCTCTTTCGACAAAATTTTAGTGAAGGAGTCAGAGCTAATGACTTTGAAGATTCGTCTGTTTCTATGGTTAAAAAGTTTCTTGTTCAAGAAATGGAACGTGATTTTGACAATGATATAACAGCTGTCTCACCCGAAGACCTTAATCAAGCTCGAATGGCCAAAGCATCGGCTTACTACATGGTTACTCTCGAAAAGGCTAAAAACTCCAAGTTGAAATGTTATGGTCTTCCGTGGATTGGACGCTACAGTGAATGTTTTGTGCAGATGTTGAACAATAATGTGAACGTCTCACAACCTCTAGTTGACTATCAAAGATTAAGTTATAGACGAATGGGATTCACTGGGGATGATAATGAGATTGGAAAATCGTGTGATAATACATGGAACAAGTTGGATTCTTGGATTTGTCAATTCTTTGCAATGACAGAAGTTGTTCAGCGAGATGAGCTTTACAATCAATTGCACAAAATTTACCAGCGAGCCATCATTCCTTACTGTACTGGTGAACGAACTAACGAAAGTTCGGGTAAAATTTTGTTGAAAATTTTCAATGACATTCAAGAAGATAATTGTTGCGGACTTGAGATACAAAGAACCAGTGGACTATTCTCTAGCCATCACAATCCAATGGGTCAAATGGTAATGGCATTATTAGAACAAGAACTTTCTAACAGCTTGATTAGAGAAGATGACAACTCAATTGACATTTTCACTAACCGATGTTTTAAAGTTCGTATCACTGATGCAAGGAATGGAGAGATTTCAGTTCATAATCTTGTGGATTTGCTAAATGAACTGACTTTCAAAGCTGAAATCACTCTTTTCGATAATGGTGATGTTGATTACATTCCTTTGGCTGTTTATGGGCCTCCAGCATCTCTCATGATAGCTCAAATTGCCGTTGGAATTCACAATCGCCTCTGTTCCCAACAAATTGTACTTTAAGATTCAAAGTTCGAACATGTCTACCCTTACTGCTGACACTCACACTTATACACATACACGTAAAACGATACTTACACTTGCTTGTTTAATGCTGATTGCTGATTGATTTCTCGAAACAAAGAACAATAAGAATAATAGAATCTCCATTTCGATTTATTTAGCAGTTAAGTAAGTCTTTTAGCTTTCATTGTTACTCAAATGATAATTTAATTTCGTTTTTTATGTTTAGGATGATTGGCAAAAAATTGGCATTTCATCATGTTTAATGACTAATGCCTCATATTTTTACTGATGACCTCAATTTTGGTGACTCATTCGTGATTTTTATCTTCATTGTTGAAAGTAAATCATGAGATCATTCAATGAGATTATGAGGCACCTATTCATCTACTTAATAATTGCACCTGATTAATTTGACACTCTTCATCCTTTTGATTCTTTCTCGAGGACATTTGACATGCATTTCGCTGCTGAATAGACCTGTGTATAGTTTCCTTGTTGGTAGAATCGATTTGAATCGGAAGAGTTTGGAGTAACTTTCTTAATAATTCATGAAAATATTTTTAATTTGCTTATTTTAAAATTACTTAGAATGACAATATTGATATATTTCTATAAAATGTCATGCATTTTCATACTTATTGCAAAAAAATTTCTAAATTGTTAAATTATCATTGTCAGTATTAACAATTAATGTATTACAAGTACAGTCACCTACCTGATACTGCACCTACCCAATACTGCACATAAATTTTTCAATGGTCCCTATTATGGGGGAGCTATATTAACTTTTGAATCCAGTCGAATTTCGATTCGATTTCTTTAATTATCAATTGGCTTAATTCAATTTTCTTTCGTGAAATTTTAATCTAAAAACTCTGAAAATCAGTTTAAAAAAACATTTTTGCTTGAAATTGATCTATTAAGGAAGATTGAAAATTATGAATTACGCTGCCCGACGAATAGTGTAAATAAGCTATTTCGCGAGTGGTGCAGTATCGGGTAGGTGACTGTATATGAAGCATTTCATGTTGGTATTTTTTTCATTCCTTCTTACATCTCTTAATTTGACATTAAATTCACATTTTTTTTCATTTTAATGTGTATTTTTCAATGTTAATTGGGTTCATTTCATGATAATTAATCAATCAGCGAAAAATTAGTATCTTTTGACTATTGAAATTAACTCGTTTCACTAGGTATTGAACTAGGCAAAATTAACAAAGTAAATCTAATTTTGCTTTCTTAAGCTGAATAATTGATTTAAATTAACAATTTTTTGCCGTTAAATTGTAGTCTTTTCATATTTAGCTTGATTAGCAGTTGGATGTTTGCTTAAAACTAGTGCTCGTTACGTGAATTCAATTTGTTTCACTAAAATTATATCTAAATTGCTGTTTGCTTTAATACGAAAAAAACATCTTGAACAAATCAGTAACTCTAAGAAAAATTAACTGAGCAAATAATCCATACGTAAAACAGGAAATAGATTAAAATACAGTAATTAAGAGTAATTAAATACAATAATGAGTCTAGTGCTGATAAAAGCATCAATTTATTATTATGGGATTGTAAATCATTTATCCCAGTGTTTGATGCACAGATTAAATTAAAGAAACCAAAGGTTATTTAGTAATGAATTGCCAGTTTTCAAAGAGTTATTATTCTGTCTATCCGATTTTATCAAATTGTGCAAATAAATCAATTGTTACCAAGAGTAAATTTAATTCAATTTTACTGTTACCAGGAAAAATGATGGATCATTGCTAAGGGGATTTCATTTTTTTTATCTTTTGGTTTTGATTGTTCTAACAATTAAAACAGATTCTGTCTTATTCCAAATAGATATCTTATCCATCAAACAGATCTAAATGATTCACTTTTAATGTACAATTGAACTAAATATTTAGCATAATTTATTCTAGATACATCTCTGGAGTTCGGCCTCGATAGATTATATCTCAAATGCGTCAGCCTCAGAATATGCTAGATTTTTTATCAATTTTGTATAAAAAGAATTGTAAATTATATTTCTTTCACATTCCAGTATTATAATATTTAAAATCTGTTCAACTTTGCTCAAAATGCCCACTCAAATGTTAAGCCCAGTGTCTTTCGAGTTGGAAATTGTTCACAGCAAGAAAAGGCTGTTGCATATAGTGAATGTATTGCTTTATATCAAAAACATCTTTATTGACTCTAAAGTCACTTCGGCCGAAATTACCGACAATCGCGGTAACAAACATCGTTACAGTGAAGGTTCTTTTTCATCAACTTGGTGTGACAAGCCTCGAGATTCGCCCTCAAAAAGCGTACAGTGGAAAGGTACAGTTGATTTGAAGACCAACCAGTTAGGTGATTTAATAAGCAATATATCGCCCCGGAGAGGAAAAATCGATGATTCTTATGGTTATTTTTGGAGATTTGATGAAAATTCTTACAATTTTCGTCAAGTTATTGGAACTAAATCTTCAAACTCTAAGCTTCCTTCCAATATTGCTAACTTTGCTTTCGGAAATATCGTTAATGGTGACTGTTTTGTCTCTCATTTCAGTACTCAATCAAGTCCAAAAATTGCTGATTTAAATGTTGAATTAGTTTCTCACAAAAATGAACTAAATTTAATGTTTACTGTTATTGATGAGACCGGTACTAAGAAAAAAGTGAAGTTTCGTTATGATTGCGATTCAATCAAAAGTGCCATTATTCATCATGTACGCCCCTTTGGTTTCTCCTTGTATGCCGCATTGTCCAATGCTCCAAAGATGTTTGTGGCTGATGGTCAAAGCTGTTTCATAAATGGTAGAAATCAAATCAATTGGAAACGAAAGAGTTCCTGTGGTCCTATTTCTCGGGATTTGATCGGTAAATGTAATGTTTTAAGATTAACCTGGGTTTATCATGATACATCTTATATGCCTGCTTTGTACCTTTGGCGTCGTCACTTAAAGTTTGATCTTTCATTTGGAAGCATCATAAATTGCAGTAATTTTTTGGTTGACGAATCTATTGATATGGAATTTCCTGATAAAATCGGATATCTTTTAGCTTGCCTTAAATCATGGAGCTACAATTATCAGGATGATCTCCATATTAATTACGAAGGAGAAGCAATCATTAACGAATTCATTAAAAAACAAATTTCTGCTGGTAAAAGTGATCAAGTCCAACGAGCGCTTCATCACCTTCATGAATCTATCGTCAATTGTAAAGTTATCAATGTCTTTGAGCATTTCAAAGATCTTCTGAACAAAGTTGAACTGGAATGGACCAACATCAAAGATCTTGAAAAAGACACTGAGCATATCAAATATGTAAAGACTGGTGTTTTCACTCCAAGTCGAACGGTTTTCATGCCACCGGTCATGACGAGAACAAGTAAATTTCTTGATTCAGCTGAAATAGATTGTGTTTTACGTGTCATCTATAGAGATGAAAACTCTGGACCTTTGAGTTCTACATTCAACAACTTTGGATTCAATCAACAGAAAGGAAAAAGATATGATGAGGAAAACGTTGACTGTGTAACCTCCATGTTGAAACATAGGTTACTCAAAAATGGCCTCTGTGTTGCTGGTCGCACCTATCAATACTTTGGTGCATCGCCATCACAACTTAAAGATGGTGGTATGATGCTATATTCCAAAGACTCACAAAATCGAACTGCAGCCTCAATTCGAAGTTCACTAGGTATTGTGAAAGAGAAAAGTGTTCCTAAATATATGTCCAGAATTGGACTCAGTCTAAGCCAAGTTATGGCTTTTGTTGACCTACCTGGTTATACAAAAATATATTTAACCAGTGATATTTATGGAGGCTCTCATCCACACACTAATAAGCCTTATAATTTCACTGATGGATGTGGTTCCATATCATTGGAAGCTGCTCGTTATATTTATGACGATTTAATTAGACAAAAGGTATTGGAACGCAAAGGTGATGACTGTTATATACCATCAGCGTTTCAAATAAGGTTCATGGGTTCAAAAGGAATGCTGGTAGTTGATCCTGACCTGATCGGAATGACTATTGTTATTCGCGAAAGCATGCAAAAGATGTTTACCGAGAGAGATAGACTTGGGATCGTTAAAGTCTCTGAACCAAGAAGAGCCTATTTGAACAAACCTTTTATAATGGTTCTAAACCAGATCGGATTGTGCCACGATTTCTTCATAAATCTTACTACCACAACATTACGTGATTTGAACTCTTCGTTTTATGATGAACAAGTTGCTTTGATGACTATGAAGCTATATACCCATTTGAATCGTGTAGTCAGCATTGACGCTTTTGCTAACTGTAACTTTAGCTTCACGAATGACTCCTTCTTCCAAGCCATTTTACATCTTGCCGTGAAACAAGCTTTTGATAGTTTGAAGACTAAACAAAGAATTCCTTTGCCGTGGTTTGAGGCACGAACAATGCTCGGAGTTTGTGATACTACAGCAAAGTCCCCAAAGGTGTTAGCTAATTTTGAAAAAGGCATTTGTCAGCCTTCAAAATTACCTGTCAGTATGGATGGTCTTGGAACCGGTGCTCTTAAAGAAGGGCAAGTTTTTTGTTGGCCTTCTGATTTTCCTGAACCTTTAAGAGGAGAAGTGATTGTTACAAAATTCCCAACAAGTGATCTTGGTGGTGTTCGTAGATTGGTCGCAGTTGATTGTAAACAACTGCATGCGATAAGAGATTGTATAGTGTTTCCAGTAGATGGTAAACGTCCTCACCAAGACGAAATGGCTGGATCTGATTTAGACGGAGATGAGTATTGTGTCATTTGGATGGAAGATATCCTCGGAATTCAAGAACGAATTCCAATGACCTACCCAGATAATCCTAAAGCTAAAACTCAAGATGAAATAAGTGACGAACGCATGATCGAACACCATATAAATTGTGTGAAATCAGATCAGGTTGGACAAATTTCAAATGCACAGTTAGCATTAGCTGATAGCAAAGGTTACGACTCTGATTTGTGTAAAAGTTTGGGTTATAAATATAATGGAGCATTGGATGCTCCTAAGAATGGATTTGACTCTAGGTATCTACTTAGACGTGGAGATCGACCTTTGGAAACTCCTGATTACATGGATAAATGGTCAATCAAGCCAACTTACTATTCAACCAGTGCTTGTGGTGAAATTTATCGTTTGGTTAATTTGCATCAACTTTCATCAATCTTTTTAAATGTGCCAGCAGTATTTGAACCAAGCTCCGATATTGACGAGCGTTTACTTCATCCAAGAATGCTGAAATTCATTACATTTGCTGCGGAAAGTTTACTCGTTTATGAATCAAGGATAAATCACCTGTTAACAAGATATGGCCTCAAATCGGAAGTTGAGTTATTCACAGGAATTCTTGATGGATCCTCTCCTTCACTTCTTAATGAGTCAAGTCGAATTAAAGATAAAGAAGACGCAATGGTAGCTGTTTTAAACTCATTGCTAATCAATAAAATGGATGAGCTATTTGATTCGAAACTGATCAATGCATCCGAAGACGATAAAATGGCTGCAGCTTCAGCCATTTACTATGTATCTAAACAGAAAGTCAAAGAAACGACAACTAGTTATATTGGATTGCCTTTTATTGGCAATTGTGCTTTTTACTTACGAAAATATATGAAATATAAAGCTACTACAAAAAAAAGAGAAAAAACACCAACCACGAAAGCTGTTGTTACTCATAATCAATCAACAATTGAGCATCCATTGATGGCATCAGCAATTTGTAAAATAAAAGATAAAGTAATTAACATCATTGAAACGTTTTTAACTTATGGTAAAGGGCCAAAACATACAACTTTGGCAATCTCATCGCGAATCGACAAAGTAATGAGCCGAGATGATCCATGTGCTGTTGTAAGCTTACCAGTTAATATTTTGATTGCTAAGCTTATTCAAGAAACTAAACTTGTATGGACAAACTTGACTGGGCAGAAAAATAATGAATTGAATCTTAATCAATTCATCAATACTACAATCCCGACATTAATTCGGTCTTTATTGGTCGATGGAACATCTCTTTATAAAAATGAAAAAACAACGTCAGATTATATTAATCAATCTTTCCAGGTGAACTACTGTAAACGAGG